TCCTTTTTCCTATTGACATTACTTATGTCTTTTCAGTGTTGATTCTCATATTATTTTCAATAAGATCTTCAAGATAAGGTCTTCGATAAGATGCTAAAATTATTGACAGCTAGATAGGATGTTAGCATAGGATATCAAGAGATGGATGAACAGTAGTCTGAGAGAGTGTACAACCAAGACACAATACACAGCATGTTGGAAATCCATTGCAGCCAGTCTTCATTGTGGAGATGGCATCTCATTCATTGACTGATATATACATTCAGCAGGCCTGCACATTTTCAGGAAGTGTTTTACAGATCTGAGAAAATATACCTTTATACTTATAGTTTAATACATTTTTGGGACTTCCGGTTTAGAAATGGCAGCGTGAGGACGTGTTTGCGGCGACACACGATTTTATTCTAAAATTTTCACTTAATCGGTGTTTTTCTCTTGATAACAGAGTGCGATTATTACTAATTCATTGACGATGGATATTTTCTTGTTCGTGGATACAAGCATTATGTGGTTTAGGGGTGTCATAACGGAATTATTTCCACAAAATAGCCACAGCGGCGGCCGTGTCCTAATTCCGATAATGTAACCGCGTAGGAGCCACGCTCCCATTATAAACATGGGAGTCCACGGGTAAGACCCCAGTCTACTCTAGCATAACAAGGTGCTGAAGTCGGAGGCAACCAGCCAGGAGGCGCACCACAGCAATCAGGATGCCACGCACAAACGCAACAGGGAATATTTCTATATCTGCTAATAAGTTTGATTTCCACCATGAGACCCACTCACGTACACGTGGTTCGATTTACCGGCCTACGACAAGAAGAAAGAGTCCAGCTTCAAATACTCGAAGCCTCCCCCTCATGCCCCGTAGAACCAGAAAAGCAGAAAATACAGCTAGCTTTAAAATAATGCACTGGAACGCGGAGGGAGTACATACCAAGAAATTAGAATTAGAAAACGTCTTGAACGAAGAGAAGATACATGTATGCTGCCTACAAGAGACGTATCTCAAACAAGATATGGCCTTTAAGATCAGAGGCTACCAGTGTTTCCGATCTGACCGCAAAGACAGGAGAAAAGGTGGAATTCTTACCCTGGTCAAAAATAACATCCTTGCGGGCCGGATTGAAACATACATGGAAGGTGCTGAGTATCAAACTCTTGAGCTCAAGTTAGAAAATACAGATTTACATCTGACCAACTATTACTGTCCGAGCGACCGCCCTCAGGCACTGGATACTGTACTAATAAATGAAAAAATGATCATTTGTGGGGATTTTAATAGCCATTCCCAAAGTTGGGGCTACGATCATATGGACCAGAGAGGAGAGAAACTAGAGGACTGGCAGGATGAGAATAGGTTCATCCTCGTAAATAAGCCAACCGACCCACCAACCTTCTACTCTAGAGCATGGCATACCACCTCGACACCAGACCTAGCCTTTCACTCAGCAGACATGGAACTGAATATTACCAGAACTGTTGGGAAGCAACTAGGAGGCAGTGACCACCGGCCAGTCTTTCTAACTATCGAAAGCCAGTCTGTAAGAGAGAGCAGCACACTGCCAAGGTGGAATTTTAAGAAGGCAGACTGGAAGTTATATCAGCTTCGCACAAATGTTCTGCTGGAAAATCTTAACACAGATAATGACGTAGAAAAAGTAGTCCAAGAGTTGAGCAAACACATACTGCAGGCAGCCCTAGAAGCAGTTCCAAGAGGTGCGCGTAAACAATACAAACCGTACTGGAATTGCGATCTGGAGCAACTGCACAACAATATGGAAACAGAAAGAAAACAGGCTGAGACCAGACCTTGTCAATAGCAGTTTTAACAACTACCAACATTCAAAGGCCAAATTTCAAAGAGCCAAACTGCAGGCTAGACGGAGAAGCTGGCAGGAAAAGACAAAGTCCCTAAACTTTGAAAGAGACACAAGGAAGTTGTGGAGGTTAATTAAGCAAATTAATGATGAGAATACAGGGAGAAATGGTTATATTGCACTGTGCAAAGAGGGAGCCATCCTAACAAGAAAACAGGCAGCTGACCACTTTGCAGATTCCTTTGCAGAAGACAGCAACATTAATGTCAGCCCAGAGAAACAGCGAGAGGTTCAAGAAAAAAAAAACAACATACAAGACAAAAAGATATAATTCCTGAGGCACTGGTGGCAGCATTTACATCCAGCGAGTTAGAATTAGCAATATCAAAGCTGAGAATGGGAAAATCACCTGGAATTGATGGAATCACCAACGAAATGATCAAGAACCTTGGAACAACTGCCAAAATAAAGCTGCTACAGATCTTTAATCATTGTTGGACCAGTGGCAAAGTTCCTCAAATATGGAGAGAAGCAATCACAATACCTCTGCTTAAACCAGGAAAGGACAGTTCTGATGCCTCCAGCTATAGACCGATCAGTCTTACCAGCTGCCTCTGTAAAACAATGGAACGTATTGTCAACCTTAGACTCCAATGGTACTTGGAAAGTGAAAACATTTTCACGCTGCAGCAGGCAGGATTTAGACAGTGCTACTCCACAGAAGACCAGACAACTTACCTTTCACAAGAAATTGAGGGTGCCTTCCAGGAAAAGAAGCTAGTGCTAACGGCATGGATAGATCTGAAGAAAGCCTTTGACAAGGTCTGGAAAGAAGGTCTACTGAAGAAACTGAGAGACTGCAGGGTGAATGGGAGTATGTACAAATGGGTCAAAGCATACTTGTATAACAGAAGATCCCGAGTACAGATAGATGGACTTAAGAGCAAGAAAGTTTTGCTGCGCCATGGCGTCCCACAAGAAGGTGTCCTGTCCCCCACACTCTTCCTAGTCTATATCAACGACCTGCTTTCTGAACTACCCCATGGAATTAAAGCTGCAATGTATGCTGATGACTTGGTACTCTGGTGTACAAATAAAAATGCGACAGTGGCCACCAGACTGCTACAAAGAGCCATAGATGCAATGGCTAAATGGGCCGACAAATGGTGTGTCAGCATCAACATAGGCAAATGCAGCACCACTCTCTTTACCCTTTCTCCTAAACAAAAATCAGGCGCCATGCACATAAATGGAGTACCCCTGCGAGAGGATAAGGAGCCCACATACCTCGGCGTAACGTTTGATGATAGATTAACATGGAGAAAACACATCAACAAGGCAGCAACCAAAGCCAGAAGGAGGGTAGCCATTCTGAGAAAACTAAGTGGAACCACATGGGGTGCTAGCGGGAAAATACTTAGAAAAGTTTACCAACAAAGTGTTCGACCACATCTTGAATACGGATCAACAGCATGGAGTTCGGCATCAAAAACCACATTGCAAGAATTAGACAAAGTGCAAAATCAAGCACTCAGAGTTACCACAGGCAGTATGAAATCAACACCTATAGCTGTGATGGAGAAAATGGGGATGACCCAAGCACTAAGTGAACGCAGAGACACCAAGATGCTTTTACAAGCAGAAAAGTTTCTTAGTATGCCCAGTCACCCTATGAATGAAAGATTCAAAAATTTAGCTTTGAGACGACTAAAGAGAAGTAGTTTTATCCACCAGGCCAAACGGCTCGGCAGACAAACCACTGATTTACCTGCAACTGATAGATCCTTAAATGCTGTCCCAGAACGGACCCCCTGGAGAGAGGAGTATAAGTTTCCAATACACATCAAGACTGAAGTGAAAGGGGTATTTGACAAGGAAGAACAAAACAGTGTGCAGCGCAAAACAGCCACCCTCAGTTTACTTGATGATGAATACCCGCAGAACCTTTGGGTCCGTGTTTACACAGATGGGTCAGCAGAAAGCGCAGTCAGAAACGGAGGTGCGGGAGTGTACATTGAGTATCCTAATAATACCAGGGATACAGCCAAATTACCAACGGGAAAGCACTGTCACAACTATGATGCAGAAGTTCAAGCCATCAAGATATCGTTAGAGAAACTACTAAATACAGGGTATTTTTCACAACCAGTGGTATTCCTGACAGATGCAAAAGCAGTACTTCAGTCACTCCAGTCTGGAAAATTACCAAGCATACGGACACTATTATCCGAACTAGGCAACCGCTGTAAATTAGTAATGCAGTGGATACCTTCCCACTGTGGAGTTCCCGGAAACGAAAAAGCTGAAGAACAACCTGACATACCAGTCTCTTATCAACAGAAGAAGAGAATGATCAAATCAATCAGAATGCCACCGAAACTGGCACAAGATGATTACCATATTATGGACAGACCAGAGCAAGTTATTATCCTTCGCCTTAGAACAGGGCACAATAGACTTCGCTCCCACATGTACAACAAATTTAAGATTGGCCAATCGGCCATGTGTACTTGTGGACTGGCACCTGAAACAACAGATCACATCCTTCAAGACTGTCCCATATTCAACGCTTTCAGACAAAACATTTGGCCAAAAGAGACACTTGTGAAAGTCAAACTTTACGGGCCGCTTAGTGAATTACAAAAGACAGTGAAATTCATACAAGAGACGGCTTTGCAGATATAGACAATTTATTTCATGCGAACCAAAGAAGAAGAAGAATAAATTTTTCATTGTTGCTTTATGAACAAGCATTGTTTAGTAAAAGACTGCAAGAAGTGGTCAAAAACTGTTACACTTCAGTATAAAGGAATCAAAGCTGGAACCTGAAAATGGGTGTGAACTTAGGTCTCTAAGTATTCAACCCTCAAGGTGATGAACTTCATCTTCATTCTGCCGTTACCCAGAGTGTAGATCCTCATCTGAGCCAGGAACTGTGTTATTGGACATTTACAATAGTGATAAAGATGACTTATTTTCTGTAGGAATAATTCCAAAACATATCCTCAAATTGTGCATGCAACAAATGGCCACAGTTGGCTATTTTATTTAAGAGTAAATCTAATTAAGTTGCAATTAATGCAGGAAGTATTAAATGTTATCATATAAATCTGCACAGACTACTTACTACCAACTATTTTATGTTTGTTTAATTGTTGTTCTTATCTATTTTATTCACAGCTGAAAAAACAGAAGTTTCTGGCATATGCAGTATTACAGGGTAGAATATTTTCATCAAGTCCCAAGAAGTATTCATTTCATCCTCAGCACAAGAAGGATAACATTCCAAAGGATTATATTCTAATATATGAAAACCGACTGAGGAAGATTATAGGTCCTGCCAGAGTGGTATCAACCATAACAGGCCTTGCTACGGCTGCTATGTGCCTAGAGTATATCGTGAATTTTCCAGAGACAATGGAAGCGTGGAATATTTATGTTGTGTCTGGGACATGTGTGTTTTCTTTGTTCATTGTTGTTTTTATGAATTTGATGTTTCGGTATTATCTTCTGCGGATATATGCCAGTGAAGACAGTCAGAGATTTATCGGAGTGTATCATGGGTTTTTTGGGAACCTAAAGCAAGTCAAATATTCATCTTCAGATCTCACAGCGATTAGACACCCCACGTCTCAGTCACTTCAAGTTAAATGCAATGTTTACCTCAATGGAAGGATGTTTCATTTGAGAGACAAGGACTTCGTTTTGCCTAAATATTTTAACATGCATTTAGGATTAAAATAATTATTTAGCTTTAAATGGGCGGACAAGTCTTTGTCTTCTTAGCATTTACAACTGTAAGGTCTTTTTTTTTCCAAAAATATAAATCCTTTGACAACATTCATCTAGTAAACATGGTTCGGTTGTTTTTATCTTATTGCAGTAGTTGTAGACTGGCTTATATTGTTGTAGACAAGTGTCTTTAATGCTGTTTCCCTGAGAAGCTGCAAAGACTGACACTTCCGGTTGGGACCAGTTCCCTGTAAATGTCACTTTCAGACTTGTCTAGAGTGACCTGTTTAAAAGATATATAGTTTATGATGTTGGCTGAGTTTGCACCTGTGTAGCACTTAGGAGGTCGGAATATGAATACAGTGAATATAGTTTTTTAAATTGCATAGGGGCGGGCAATTTCAAAAACTGTTTACAAATGTGGATAAATAAACATGTTAAAACTTTATGAGTGACCTGTGTAAATAATGTTTTTTTAACTCTTTGAGTCCCAGGGGGTTTAGCATCACAGGCCCAAGGGGTAGTCAAGAGAGATGTAAAATCGGCGCATCATGCTTTCATTGGGCCTCTAGGTAGGAATCTGTGAACGTATGATGCGTTCCTTGGGACTCTAAGAGTTAAAGGATTTTTTTCTCTGGTATTCCCACTGAGCCATGACCCAGTTTTTTTTTCGTTTTTTAAAGTTGTAGAAGCAAATGGAAAGAACGTGTTGATTCATTTTCAAACATGTTCTAATGTCGTTAACATATTAAATTTGCAGTATTTGTTTAATTATCAAAGTAAACAAGGAAATGTTTTTACCAATTAGATCTGCACAGTGAAGGCTGGCTGCAATGGATATCTAACAAGCTCTGTCTCTTGTCCTGGTTATGCACTCTCTCAGTCTGCTGCCCATCTATCTTGAAATTGTCCTTCCACTTGAATCGTTGCACACGTATTGCTCTCTTGCCTTTGACCTTTCCATCCAGTATAGTTTTCAAAAGTGTTTTGTGTCTTTTAATGTGGCTGAAGTATTTCAGTTGTCTCTTTTTTTTTCTTTCAGCAACTCTCTACACATTTGTAGTCCTTTCAGAACCTCTGCATTAGATGGTTTTTGCTTCCATGATATATATATATATATATATATATATATATATATATATATATATATATGTATGTATGTATACCAACATTTCCAGAGACTCAGTTCGATTTTCTAGTTGCTTTTTCATTGTTCGAGATTGGGTACACATAACATTTGCAATTCTCATTTTCATTGTGTTGTTCATCTCTCTAGCTGTCAGTAATTTGCACATCTTATCGAAGACAGTTCTAGCCGTTCCTATTATCTTTTTAATTTCTGTTTTACTGCTTCTATCATCTGTTACTACGTGTCCCAGATAGGAGAAACTTGTTACTTGTTCTAATAGCTCTCCGTTTAGCATAGCGTTCACTTTTGGCCGCTCTTTTGCATTGTTAATTACCATAATTTTTGTTTTTCGAATATTAATGTCTAAACCATACTCAGCACTCCGCCTGTTGACTTGATTAACTAGTTCTTGTAACTCTTGCTGGCTTTCTTCTAGTAGTGCTGTGTCATATGTGTATCTTAGATTGTTTATTGGTCTTCTAATATATTCAGTCCAGGCAATTCCTTGACTCCTCCCATCAACATTACTTTAAATATCATTGTTGGCTGTGTTTAATATTACCTTTCCCATACTTTCCAAACTGTGTGGAAGGATGTCCTCAGCAGAAAATTCTACAAACAAAAGTTACAGGATGTCCTCAGTGGAAAATTCTACAAACAGAATTTACAGGATGTCCTCAGTGGAAAATTCTACAAACAGAAGTTACAGGATGTTCTCAGCAGAAAATTCTATAACTTTAAGTCTCAAGCTCAGAGATTGTGAAAAGAACACAGACAATGGGGTACCCGGGATACAATTTGATTGCAGCTTGGCTTATACTGAGCACACAGATCAGGTAATAATAAAAGCCAAGCAGGGCTTGGCTGCAATGAGACCGATGGCTGCTACAAATTGTGAGCATCGTCATTTTTGTTGTTTATATCAAGGTCTGGTTCTTTTTGTCTTTGAGTATGTGATGGTGATCCTGATTCAGCTGTAAGCAGATGGAGACAATGGAAAGCATACAGAACAAGGCTATGCACATTATACTTGGATGTACAAGAGATACAGCTTACAGGGTGATGCGCTACCTTCTCGATTTTCCAACCATGTAGGACATAATTCAGATCTGCCGAGCAGGGGCCTACCTCAGAGTCAACTCAGACAATGACACCCGCTGCATGGTGAAATGAAGATGAGAAAAGGCAGCAGATTAAAAAGAGGAAAATCGTGGATGAGTTAGGCCAAGGACATTATTCAGCAGTTGTATTCACTTGAGGACATAAAACCTGGTGAGGAATGGGTACAAGTACTAAAAGAGCATGGCACGACCTTTCCTGTTTGCCTCTGACTAGACAGAAAATGCAGACAAGAAAGTCCAGCCACTGTTGAGGTTGAAGTGCAGGCTTTGATTTTTGAGAATTCTCAAGAGGGAAGGGGGTGCTGTCATTTACACAGATTGGTCTATAATTCACCATGTGGGAATCTCTTGGGCTTTTAGGGCTCAAGCTGGAGTTAAGAATTATTAAGCAAGATTCTGGTACTGTTGTCTTGACCACAAGTAGTCTGACTATGGAAGTCATGGCAGTTACCAAAGCAGTAACATGGCTGGAGACACAGATCTTTTCCCGTACTTGCTTTCTCAGTAACTCAATGAGTATGCTCAGAAAGATAGAGAAGGACTGGATCCTAAGACAGTGGCTGGAGTCTCTAAAATTGTCGAGGCTGACACAAATCAGTTTTATATTTGCAAGCTTATTGGTTTGCAGGTAAAGCTGCATTGAAGGGCGGACGAGCCATGGACCAGGTAGATATTCTGAATGCTCTACAAGAAGTAAGACATTTGCGAAAACCAAGAGAGGACTGTGAATCTTCAAAAATGTCCAGACTGCAAGAAAAACAGGTGAAAAGAGGTTTGGCCAGACAAGAGCATTTTGCAGAAAACCAAAGAAGAATAGGAAACCAACACATAACTGGTGTCATGAGCTGCTTCATGCTGCGAGATTTACTAAGCAGGGGATCTGAGCACTTATGGACTGATTGAATGGTTCGATGTGCAGTGAGGATAATCTCATCATTGGCACCTTTCCGTCTTTCCAGAAGATAGTGTTATATTGCACTATGAGGATGCATGAGACTCACAGCCCATGGCGATGGCGAGTGTGACTAGCAAGACCCACCTGTGTCAAAAAAATTCTTCCACAATTATAGCATGGGATCTCAGGACCATTGTTGTCAACATTTGTGTTTAATCCATTTCTTTTCAAACTCTCAGCTCTCATCCTCTCTGCAGTAATTTCTTCCTTCAGTCTCATTCTCTTCCTGGTATGCCCTTTCCACACAACAGTCCATGGCATTTTGTTCCCATAAGTCCAGCTCAATACCTGTATCATTCATGTCACGCTTGCACACATCTTTATAACGTAGTAGAGGTCGGCCTCGACATCTTCTTCCTGTCTTTAATTCACCATAAAGGATGTCCTTAGGGACTCTGCCATCCTCAATTCTCCAGGTGTGACCCAGCCACCTGAGTCTTCATAGACTTAGCATGGAAAAGACTGTTGTAGTACCTGCTCTTTCCAGTACCTCAGTGTTTGTTATTTTGTCCTGCCACTTAATGACAAGTATTCTTCTTAGGCATCGCATGTGAAAGCTTTTAAGCCGTCTCTCCTGGTGCAAATAGGCTGACCAAGTTTCACTGCCATAAAGCAGAGTGCTGAGAACACAAGCCTGATAGACAAGGGTTTAGTTTTAATTGTGAGCTTTCTGTTCTTTCAAACTCTCTTTGTCAATCTGCTCATTGCTGTTGCTGCCTTACCTATCCTGATGTTGATTTCTTGGTCCAGCGATAGTTTACTATTCACTGTGGAACCCAGATAGGTAAAATGGTCTACTGTCTCAAGCTCTTCACCATCTCTCGATTTGTTTCCAAGACCGATTAAGGACAGGGATGAAGTTCCTCCTCTCCATTGCACAAAGCCTGGGCAGTATTGTAGAGACCATACCGACTGTCCAGGACTCACAGTCATATGTTAAAACTGGATGTATGTAGCAAGCAAGAATTCTTTTTCTTACCCTCAATGACAAAGATATATTGCATAAGATGTTCTTCATTTCATAAAATGCAGTTTTTGCCTGTCCTATTCTGTTTCTTATTTCAGTAATGCATCTTCCATCTGATGTTATCCATGTGCCCAGATAATTAAATTTCTACACTGATCCCAAAATAACACCATTGACTTTTATTACAAATTTAGGAAATATTCTTTTCTTCGATACTACCATTACTTCTGTCTTTTCATTATTCAAACAGGCCCATTCTTCCACTTTGTACCACCACAATGTCTATCTTTCTTGCAGTTCTTTCTGACTTGTTGCTATCAAGACTGTGTCATCAGCATAACGTAAATTGTTTATATTGTGCCCACCAACCACAATTCCAGGCATATCAATTAAAGATCTCATAATATATTCACTGTATATTGAAAACAAATCAGGTGAAAGTACACACCCTTGTCGTACGTCCCTCTTTATGCTTTGAAATGTACCTAAACAGTTGTTAATTCTTATAGCTGCTGTTTGCTGCCAATACATATTCTTTATTATTCGTAGATCTTTTCCATTAATGTTTAATTTTTCTAACAGTTTGATTACTTCGTGTTTCACACAGTCAAATGCTTTTGTATAGTCTTTGAAGCATAAGCACAAATCAGTCTTTACTTCTATAGCTCTTTCTGAAAATGTCCTTAGGATGTTAATTATATGTCACCTCTTTTGTCTTTGTAAAAGTATTCTGCATGACATCATTCTGGACCAGTGCTAGAGCACTCATAATAGTGCATTGTCCACCAGATAAACTATTTGCTTACTGCCTTGAACACCTGCATGGCCTGGCACAAAGATAAAGTTTGGACTGGCTATTTATGGTGCACTTAATGAGAGAAATAATTTTTGTCTGATGTAGTTCAGAGTATGTGCAGTTGACCCCAGAGTTCTGTCTGTTCACTCCACTGCCATAACTATGTTAGTGTTATAAGAAAGAAGGGACAAGGAAACATGTGTCTCTGCATCTTTCTGTTGTTCAGCTATAAAGGGTATATTTTAAGGAAAGGAATAGGTTCAGGAATTTGATGACATGAGCACAGGAAAGTAACACAATTGGGTAAAAGACTGGAGGAGACAAGAGTTAATACTCTCATCAGAACTTGTTTAATGTACCAAATATTTTGGGCAGGTGTCATGCTCATTGTAGGCTATTATACCTTTGTCTAGTTTTATTTTCATAAATATGTGAATACAAACTAACTTCTCAATAGGTTCCAAAGTGCACTGGAGTATTAGAAAGATGCCCAATGCTGTAGCTGTAACAAGCCCATGGTATTTAGTGGGTTGATTTATTTGCATATCTTTTGCTGAAAGTTGCAGAACCAACCCCAGCATTTTTTGTAAAGCTGTCTGTGATTTCACTAAGCAATTTTACATTCATTAGTTTGCTATTGCTTTCTGATCCGTCGGCTCTTGATACCACTGTCAAACCAACGCAAGGCAGTTTACTGCCACATTTCTAGCAGCTGGGATCAAAATCCACACCCCAAAATTATGAAGCGTGTTTACAAAGCCTAAGCCACATATGTCAACAGTAGGAATTTATAAAAGTAACAAAGAAATACAACTCGTAGTAATGTAGACTTTTTAATTTTTCATAAGTTAATATCTCCTCTCTACCACTAGAAATAACCAAATAGCATACAATTATTAAGTGGCATATAACTTCTCAAACAGATATGATCTGAGGGACAGCTTCCAGTGCAGAATAATTTATATGTGTTCAAAATGTGCATACTTTAAATAAAACTTAGGGTATGATTAATAATTATGCTGCAGTAGCAATATAAAAACACTTGATTATGTGTCGGAACAGTTACAAGAAATGTATGTACACATTACAGTCCTTCTTTTTTGTTCTGACCTTCTTTTGGCCATTATGCATCAACATCTAATCCTTTCAGTGATTTACTATGGACTAGGACTACTTTCTGCCTCAAAGAGTCAGATGGATAAACTAGAGCGCATACAGAACGCAGCTATGCGGGTCATTCTGGATTGTAACAGAGACATCCCAGTGGTGTGTATGCAGTACATACTTGGTTTGCTGACTGTTGCCGTCAGCAGGCGAAGTCATATCTCATAGTAGCTGCAGACACAGATATCCCTTTGCATGAAGCTTTAAGCACAGTTAAGTGTCAGCGGCTGATAAGAGGGAAGTCATGGATGGCTCAGGCAGAAGACGCAGACGTTTTCATTCTGGAGAACATAGTGAGGGCAGGAGTGGGTCAAGGTACCAGCTCAATAGTCAGATTTGTGTTGAGTCATAATCACACTGAGCCGGAAGTGCAGAGTGTGGCCAGCAGGTGCCACGGAGGTGGAAATTCAGCAGTTAATTTAAGATAATGCTCGCTCAGAGGATGTGATCATTTATACAGACGGTTCAGTGTCAAGAGGCAAAAGAAGCGTATGGTGTTTCTTAGTGAAAGTTAATGGTTGATGTTTGCTGCAGGAGAGCCTAGCATATGATACCACAACATCCAGCTTAAGAATTGAGGTGGAGGCAGTCACTGCAGCTTTCCGCTGGTTAGAGAACATGATACACACACATCATGATTGTAACTGACTCAGAAAGCAGGCTGAGGAAGGTCAAAACATCATGCTTCATGCAGAGTGGCATGCTTGGCTGAGGAGGTCACAGGTGAGGAGTATTGTCTGGATCTTTTCTCCGGCACACACTGGCTGGCTCTGAACAACTTGATGGAATACTGAGGCATGATAGCACAGACATGGTTAGGTCTGTATGGCTATATGTGTACAATTCAGAGGAGCAAAAGGATCACCAGAGTCTGGTGGGATTGATGTGTGTGTGTGTGGGGGGGGGGGGGTGACGAGGACTTCTGTCCGATGTTCCATGCTCAGAGAAAAAGCAAGACAGACGTTTAATCAGAATGCTACTGGCACCATTAGTATTGGAACTCTGCACTGGCTGTTGAAGATGGGGCGGAGCATTTATAGGAATGCCCAGAGTGCTGTGATGTCACTTCTTGAATCAACTCAACTCACACTTTTAAAGCCCCTTATTGGTACAGAAGCAATACAGATCTGGTTGACCTGTACATATTTGTAAATAACAGACACTCTTGATGTTTCTGGGAAAAGATCAGTGTATTATTTTACATTTGAGGCTATTCAGCAAGATAAAATATCACAAGAAAAACTCTGAAGGCACATATAAATGAAGATAGAGGAATGACAGAATACTGGGTTGAGATAGCAGCTGATCTATTTCATATCCCTGATCTGAGCATATATTTTTCAGATCACAATTTAAAGAACATTCTCAAGTTTTTACTGCTATAAACTAACCAACAACTGTTGCTTCTCTAACCCAACAACAGAAATTAATGTGTGATTGAAGCAAACAAGCAATATTTATGATAGCCCGTGACATATATTCAGAGCCACTGTGATGTAGCAACTAGATGCTCACCAGCGCATCTGAAGGTCCTAGGTTCAGGTCCTGATAAGAGCCAGATTTTTTCTCTCCAAGAATGACCATGGCTCCCAGGTCGACCCTTAAATGGGCAAAAGGTCAAGCACTGGAAAGTAAAGGTGGCCGGCATGCTGTCCACCACATCACCCATTGAGTGCCGGTTGGTCTATAAAATATAGGTCTAATTCAATATGCCTCAAGACATTAAAAGGGTCATGAGATATATTAGAGAAAGTAAACAACATTGATAAATGCTCTAACCATGAGATTACATAATATAGGCTCATAAGAGCATAAATGTCGTTGAAAGTCCAATGCAAAATATGTGGTGACTTTTCCACTAGATATTTCACACAACTCTGCTATACAATCATGTATGTATATGGCATAAGCAGGGTTTGTGTGTAATACATTGCAGGGTTAAATTATAGTCAGATGGAATCTTAATATTTATTAACAAACAAAAAATGAACATACTGAAGTGTAATATTTTTGGATTTAGAAAGAAAGAATTCAAAATACATGTCTTAATGTCTTACAACATGATGTATAAGATAGTACAGAGTCAATCAACTAAGCACCATCTACACAATCAGTAATGGCAGCAGCAGATCAACACTTTCTGTCTTTTAGTACATCTGTGTTATCGGACATACTGTTGGTCAACAACCTCTGGATGTTACCTTCCTATTTGTACCATATTTTGACTTTAGGCCGTCTACTATGAATATGACTCCTCCAATATTTTACAAGATTGTTTGGTCATGTCTGGTAATAGAGGCCAAAATATTTGACTTGTTTACTTCTTCTTTCAGTTCACATACTATGCCTAGTTTCTTTAGGACTTCATGTTGGTTTTTGTTTCTATAAGTGGCCTATTTATTTTGTGTATCCATATTTCTTATCTTTGCTGTACACTCAGGCAGAAAGTTCTGGTTTTTTTGTCCACTTCTTGTTCCAGAACTTCAGTTTTGTGTGCACATTCATTTGACAGATCTGGCTTATTTGTATGCAGACTTACTCTTTGCCGCTAAGGCTGATGCACTCCGACTTCCAAAAGAAAACACCCATAATTAGTCAACTTTTACGACATGCATGAGGGTCTTTTACTCCTCCCCCCGATGCGGCCATGGAATCTACATGGGGAGTGTCCACATTTAATGACATAGAAGGAATCTTTCATAAAAGAGCCACCAACAAAATCAAATGTCAAAATGTTTCAACATATATTACCATTCAGGGGTTTACTAAAACAGTAATGACTTTCAGAATACTGCAACTGCTGGATTCTACAAACAGGCTTTTTATTGATACAAACTTGTCTGCAAAGATTTTGTGCAGGGCTGAGATATAGATGTGTCTGCAGGGGGTACTGTGTGGAAGGCTGTGTGTCTTCAGTGTGGAGTTTGTTGACAGCTGAGTTATAATTGTCTTCAGAGTCAAGTTTGTAGAGAGGTGAGGTGTAATGCGTCTTCATAGGAGACGACAGCCAAGGTTTAAATATGTCTTTAGAGTGGAGTTTGCTGAGAGCTGTGGAATGAATACATCTGCAATAAGTAATGTGTCGAGGACAGTGTTATAAACATGTATGCATACATTATGCTGTTGAGGTATAAACACATATGCACAAGTATGTTGTTGAGAGGTGAGGTATGAGCAAATAATAGAGAATATTACCAACAATTCCCAGAGACAGAAAGATTTAACTGTCCACGTTCAAGAAGCTACTTCCAGTGTAAGATGTGGATAAAAACATAACAGACCCCACATCAGCATCTCACTCACACAAGACAATCTGTGTGCAGATTTAGATACTTAAGATAACATATTCTTTCGGTGACCTCATATTCAGCACTTTGTTTAAAAAAATCCCTGCATTACACTTTCACAGGGTAACTGTATATTTTAAAACTTTATTTCTTCAGATCTTACAAACAGAATGTGGAAACAATTGTGTATGATAAACGATTTTAACAATTTGTATATTTTATATTGAGCCATCCAATGGACACTGCCAGATTCTGTTTGTCCATTTCCCACAGGGACAGGAATGCTGTTCTCCACATCTTTTCTACTGAAACCTGTAAATGACAAAGTAGTTATGTTTTGGTTGACATACTGTCACCTGACTTATTTAGAGACTTGTCTGCACCAGTTCTGTCTCTGTCCTGACTATTGTTGTTGCCAGCAGGTGGGTGGCTGCAATCAAAATTACTGTTATTTTGGCTAAACTTGGAACTTTTGAATAGAGAAGAATAATCCAGAGTAGATTTGAGTTGATTATAGCTCCAATGCATCTGCTCAACTTCCTGGTGATGTTTTTCTTTGGTATCATTTAGCTCTCGCAGAAGGTGGTCGTTAGTTTCCACCAAGGATCTAAATATGAGAAAGTAAAAAGAAAATGGTAAAACACTGACATCCTAAATGATCTGAACGTCAAAGAGAACTGGTCCATAAACAGCATCCTATCCCAAAAGCAGAGGTATTTTGGCACTGTTACTTGTCGTTTGCTGACCGAACACTGCTACAATTTTGCCAGATCAGAGATAAATGGTGCCTGTTTTGAAGACACACTTTTTTGTCAGACTAAAAATAAATATAACTAAAATGACCTTACAATGGAACCGTCATGGCCAAAGAAATAATGAGTGACCAAAAACAATTGGAACTGAGAGTTAGAGACCAAAAAGAAAAAGACATGAAAGACAGTGGGTGAGTTGCATGAAATAGCAAAGGACAGGATGGTCTTGTCTGAATCGGTTGCACGCCCATGTTAAACTTAGGGATCCTAATGTCTCTACTCCTGGAAAGCAACACAGCATCATGGTAGAAATAGATTTCTGGAACAGGCCCTTCTGGTGACTTCGTTTATGGTACTTTTCAGTGTCTTCGATCATTCCACAGTTCATATCCTGCATGGTGGACCTCTGGCTCTGTTACTGCTCTATCTGTACAACACTGCTCTGTGTGGTGCCATGTCTGTTGCCAGTCTTGGTGCACTGCCAAACTTAGGGATAAAGGCCACCAAGTACTGATTGGTCTATACAAATGTTGGGCTAACACCATATGCCTAAAGCTGTAGGTATGGGGACATTTATTTAAAACCAGCAACAATAACAACAAAAATAAATAAAAAAGACAATGGTTTGTTAAAATTAGTTTGAGGTAGATCAGTCAGGTACAAACACTAAGAGAACACTGTACAATCTGCAGAAAGAAAAAATACGACCAGGAAATATTTATATTAACCTTAGACTTTATCAACCCAAGGACACTTCCAAAGGAATGGAAGAAGGCAGAAACAGTCCCCACAACCAAGAAAGGGAAGTGCAGGGAAAACAAATTCAGTTACTGCCCCATAAGCCTCCTAAGCCATAAAAACCATGGACAGTTTAGTGAACAACAGGTTACTTAATTTCGTAGAAAACAAAAATATTGGATGACATCCAATCAGGCTTCAGGAAATACAGAAGCACTGATGACAAACCTCATCAGGCACAGGAAATTGAAGATCCTTTCCAGAAAAAATACAAAGTGCTAGCTACCTTTTTTTTAACCTGTCAAAGCTTTTGACAAGATCTCGAAGAAGAAACTAGCACATAGCAGGATAAAAAAGCATATCAGGGTTCATAGCCAAATTTACCAATCAATTGTAAGGCTTTTCAAGGTCTCCTTAGTTTTTTTTTCAACGTTGTCTTGGTGTAATAATGAAACAAGATTTTTGCCTTCTTCAAGGGTGTACCGAGCACACAATGTATTTCATTCGTGCCACACATGCGGGTATACCAGCACAGATATCATCATGTAGCAGGTCCTTTGCAGAATGTCGCTCTTATCATGGCCTGCCTGAAAGAAACTCGGTCTCTCGCCAGCTCTCCCGCCTCATGTACTTTCACACTTAAGGAGTCACTTATCTCCTGTACCCATCTTCGTGTTGGTCGGCTCCGTCCCCTCCTTCCTGGTACCATGCCTTCTGCTATTATTTTTTTCAAATATGTTGTGGCGCTTGATATAATGTTTTTAAATTTTATGTGTGTGTAGACTTGGTGGTAGAGGGGAGCAAACTGAAGTCCTGTCTGTTCTAGACCTGGTACCTGAAAGGGGAAGGGGGAATGAGAGAGAGAGAGTCATACAGAAAGGGAGGAAGACATGCTAAGGTAGACTGGGAGAGACAGTGTAAAGATGGACAGATGAAGGTAGAGGAAAGAAGGGAAAGAGAGACGGGGGAAGGAAGAAAAAGGATGACAATGAGAGGGAGGGATGGAGACATGATGAGGTTAAGTGGGGAAGGGACAGCGAAAGAGGGAGACAAATACAGAAGGAGTGAATGCAGGTAGAGATGGGAAGATGAAGACAGAAGGAGGAAGGGAAAGAACCAGAGGTATGGAAGGAGGAAAAAATTACAAAGAGAGTTGGAGTAAAGGAGACAGAGGGAGAGAGAAGGGACAGGGAGAGAGGTAGATGCAAGCAGAGAGAGATATAGACATAAAGAAGAGAGAGAAAGAGGGGCAGTATAGAGAGGCAAACATATAGAGGGAGAGAACCAAAGAGAGAGAGAAAAAAGCAGAGCAGGAGAATGGGAGGGAGGTAAACAAAGAGGAAGTGATGAAGGGAGGCAAACAGACAGCAAGAGAGAGGGAGAGAGATATGGGAAAGGAAGGCAGTGACAAAAACACAGAGAGAGAGGGGGGCAGGAAGGGAGACAAGATAGACAGTTAAAAAAATATGCCAGAATTGCTAACAAATATAACAACACATCAAAGAAAAAACCTCCAGCCTCACTCTAAAACCCCACCCACACCCCAAACCATAATACAATTTCAAGTGTACTGGACACAGCAAATGTAGAAGAACCAGATAAAATGGGGAGGGGGAGAAGAATAAGAGAGAGGAGAGGGTAAGGAAATCTAGAGAAAATGAGACAGGATGGAGAGGAGACAAAGAAGAGATGAGACAGGAGGGAAAGCAAGAGAGAACAGAGTAAGGAGAGGAAGGATGGAGAGATAAAGGAGAAGAGTGGAAGATCAAAGGAAAGAGAAGGGGTGAGAGAAGAGAGGTAAGACATGGTGGTGGTGGGGGGGGGGGGGGGGGGGGGGGAGGGGGGGGGGGGGTGTGCTGTAAGAACACTGAAAATAGAATTAGGAAATCTAAGTGAGGACACTTTTCCAGGTCCAACCCTCTCCCAATGTGAATGTGGCAGTGGTCCGTAAACAACAGTTCTAACCCCTACCGCCCCATGCTTGTCCGCTCTGCGTATGACTACAATAGTTCCACTTCTTACACTCACGGCTGGTGGACCTGGGAGCAAGGTCATTTTTTGAAGAAGAAAAAGTCAGGGGGATTCCAACCCATCGCTTGTGGAAAATAGAGCATGATAAACAACCCCCCCCCCCCCCCCAAAAAAAAGAGAAAACTGATATCAAAAGAAAATATCCATCAGGTTCACGCTGAACCCCCCCCCCCCCCCTTTCCCCACACATACACACAACCATAACAAAACTTCCTGTGTACTTGACAGATACTAGGAAAAGAGTTATTGAGCAGCACATTTACTAAACATTTTAACAAGAAATAAAATTGGGAGAGACAGGAAATGGGAGAGTAAAAGGAAAGCTAGAGAGAAAGAGAAGTTAAAGATCAGAGGAGAGGGAGACAATGCCGGGGCCGCAATACCATGGTTATTTTAAAGTTTCCTGGTCGGCTACAAACCCTGGCATATGTTTGCCTGGATTCAAGATTTTCTTTACAGACACTGTGTGAGAGTCCACTGGCAGAACACAAGAGCAAGCTGGTCAGGTTACAAGAAGGTGTCCCCCAGGAAGATGTTATATCTCCTACTCTGTTTATCTTTTTCATCAATGACCTCCCCAAACAGTTCACAACTCATTTTCACAAGGCTCTACATACAGATGACCTTGCCATACTGAACACAGAACAAGTAAAACAAGAATGCAGGAAGCTGTAAATACAGTTAAGAAATGGTCACAATAAACCATACTAAAACCATCTCGACTCTTTTCTGTCTTTCAACAAACTAGAACAAGTTAATCTGTACCTAGAAAGCAACATTCTTTCCAAAGAAGACAACGCTATGCATTTGGGAATAAAATTCATCAAAAGACTAACCTGGGGCTCCCACACACTGAAGACATTCAACAGAAAGCTACCCTGTGGCTCAGACATTAGGAAACTTACCAGAACAAGCTTGGGTGCAGATGCCAACACAGTATGACAAGTATACACAGGATATGTAAGAACAAAACTAGAGTATGGCACAGGAGCATTTTCACTGCAGCTAAATAAAATCTAAACAAACAGGACAAAATACAGAACATTGGTCTCAGAATCATCACTGGAGGTATGAGAAGCACACCAATCAATGAGTTAGAGGCAACTTTTGGCCTCCAGAGCTTTAGCCGCTGAAGAGAAAATGTGCTTACCACTTGACAAACATTTAAGCGCATGAACAACAATCCATGCACAGAATAGCAAACAACCAAAAACCAACTAAAAATAGAAAGCTTCCACCATTTATCAAAATTGTTCTGCACCAAAAACAGTGACATCTTTTCTAAAGACCTTTCAACATGGGAAACAATCCAGACATACAAAACATAGATCAACACCCTAACTATACAGTCACAACAACAATCCCAGGCAGAGACAGAAAGGATGAAGAATGTGACCTAGTACTGCACATAGAGACTCTTGAACATGTCTACAAGTCTTATAAAAAAATCAGAATGGGTACAGATATACACAGATGGATCACTGGAGGGAACAGCAACAAAATGGAGGACCTGGTTCGGTCATCATGCTACAAGATGGGACCACAGTGGAAACATGTGCCTCTGGGAGATTTTCAATAAACTTCAAAGCAGAGCAGCAAGTAATAATTGATGCAACCAAAGTGCTTGAGGACAGAAAATTAAAAACAGCAAAACTGTTTCCTGTGTGACTGCATGTCAGTCCTCCAGGTGACTCAAAGGCATTTATAAGATATCACGAAGAGAGAACTGACCTGCCAGCTAAACAGACTCGGGAAACAATCATTTTGTTCTCCAGTGGATCCCAGCTCACTGCAGCATACCAGGAAATGAGTTAGTGGACAGACTTGCAAAAAAATTGAACAAAGAAGAAACAACACACCCATTTACTGTCATTACCAGAAATCAAAACACTTATCAAAGGAAAATACAAGTAACTGGGAAGAGATAGTCCCCACAGTGATCCCATTAGCAGACAACAGAAAGCAACATACAACAATTGTTCATCTAAGAACAGGACAATGCAGGTTCAGCTACCACATGCATAAAATAAAGACTGTACAGTGTGCATGTCAGATGGGACCACAAACTCATTAACACATTCCGCAGACCTGCCCACTCTACCATGGATGACCTGCAGCTGACATGAGCTTTTATAGAGACAGCCCACCATACAGTCTGACCTGAGCATCTGAAACCAAATGCAAAGAGGAAGAAAAAGAAGAATTTATATTAACAACAAAATTCATCTATAATACCCACAGTTTCCTGTTTGGATGTGTGGACAGAAAATATTTCTAGCACTGAGAGAAATAATGCTCAAGATAAAAAAATTAGAAAAATTTTTTAAATTACGTAGAGGAACATGACCCTAATAACAAGAGAACAAACGCATATGGAAACCCTAAAAAACCTTTTCACCTGACGTGGATAAATTTTAATTTAAGAAAAAAAAAAAAAAGAAACAAGATCAATGAATACAGTCAGTTAGTCAGTTAAAACTGTCAGTTACTGCCTTTAATTAAATTACCACTTCTGCTGTGTAGGCAAAAAAAAAGGGGCTGGGGAGAGAGGTGGGGGCGTCTCTGAGTATGAGGATTTAGGGCCGCATGGTGAGTGCTGTCACTATATACTGCAGGTTAATATTTTATTTTTGATTAAGCCAGTCAGTGGCATCTGGAAATTTTACAGCAGAAGTAAGGAGTCTTGAAAACAGCAGAAATGCTACCGACTGGAAAATAAAGAGAAACACAACACTCTTCCCATTTGGATGTGTGGAAAGAAAGTATTTCTTGTACTGAGAGAAATAATGCTCAAGATAAAAGATACAAATAAATATTCCTAAATAAGGTAGAGGAACACGACCCTAATTATAAAGATACAACAGAGATGCAATGTCAGCAGGCTCAATACTGAAGAGCAAATCAATTGCAGAACTAATAGACTTAAGGAAAGCATTTCATGGACTACAAAAGTCCAAAAGGATTGTAATACAATGGGTTCCATCTCACTGCAACTTAACCTGGAATAGGCATCCATTGACCAAAGAAGTGGGAAACTACCCTAGTATCCTGATAAAGAAATAACATGAGGTAAAGAGGTTTATAAGATGTAGCTAAAGAATCAAGTAGAAATCGGATCATCTATTCAGAGAAAGAGAAGGTATACTGTCAACTCCACTGAAGACATCTACTGAGTGAATACAAGACATTAAAGATTAAGAAACCCGTTGTACAACAAACTAAGAACAAGAGGTACAGATGAACAAAAGGAAAACATGACAATCCATCATCTCCCACAAGTGTCCAAGCTTAGGCAGAACAAAGACAACTATAACAGCTCTATTTAAGGCCACAAACCCTATTAAGATGTCAACAATTTTAAGCTGACTGCGGCTCTCCTTTAATACATTGTCTGACTGGTATAGGAAGATGTCAGGGGAAGGAGGAACAGATAATGAAAAAAATATAAAAATAATAATAATGAGATCTTTTAACCTACCTATGACTCTCTTGTAACATACTGGCTAGTTCTTGTAGCTGAGTGTACTGTTTCATTTTGGCTTTCATCAACTCAAGCTCACGATTAAGTACTTCATTCTGGTATTGCAGCTCCTCTGCTGTCATTGATTGCCCTTAAAAAAAAACACACCAGATAGCTATATGTGTACAGTGTACACCAAACACTGCATACAGGTACATTTAACAGATAAAATTTGATTTTCTTCTTCTTCAGCTCCCTGAGGTTCATTGCTGCAGATATCACCCGCCTCCATTCATCTTTATGGTGGGCCTTCTCTTTCCAGTTGGTGACACCAAGTGTTTGCAGGTCTGTCTGGATATTATCTCTCCCTGGTCTTCTTGGTCTGCCTCATGGTCTACAAACATTCATCTCCCTCATATATACAGTTTTTACTTCTCTGTCATCTGACATTCTTTCAATATGCCTCAGTCTATTAGCTCTCATGATGTCAGTGATTAGTGGTGATTTAAATAGATTATGAATTTCGTTGTTGCTTCTCACTTTTCATTTCCCGCTGTTTGCATCTTTGATGGGTTCAAAGATTCATCACAAGACTCTGTTTTTGAAAACCTGTAATAAGGTTTCATCTCTTCTAGTTGTGCTCCAAGTTTCACAGCCATATAAAACGACTGGTCTTATCAATGTTTTATATATTTTGATCTTGGTGTTGCGAGACAGACACTTTGATTTTAGCAGATGTTGAAGGGCATAGTATACTTTATTTTCAGATTGTATTTCTTCTCTCAGCATGTTGGTGCAGTCGAAGTATGCACCCAAGTACTTATATGTTTTTAAAAAGTTCAATGCTAATCATAAATTAGGAGCAGAATTGACCAGGCAAAGGCAACATTCCAGAAGATGAAAACATCAGAAATCAAGTACTGAAATATACTGAGTCTGTTCTGTTGTATAGCAGTGAATTTTGGAAAGTGAACAAACAAATTAAGAAGAGTTTGGAGGCAACTGAGATGTGGTTCTTGAGAAGAATGTTGTGAATACCTTGGACTGCCAGAATAGCTAACAATGATTGCTTGGAAATGGCTAAAGGAAGTGGAACATTGTATACAACAATGAGAAGGAGACTAAGTTCTTTGGTCATATGATGAGAAAAGGAGCACTGGAGAATATGATGATGACTGGAAATATTACTGGTATAGGAGGCAGAGACAGACCAAGAGAAATGATGGTGGATGGCTTAAGACAGCGGCATGGAGGAACATCATCAGTGGAATTTATACAGAACACCAAAGACCGAGATCTGTGGAGATGCACAAACACCTACGCCAGCTGGCAAGGCATATGATGATGATGAATCATAATTATCCGCGTGTTTGTAAACAGAAATAGTACTTTTAGCAGACAAAATTTGCTTGTCATCTCGCGTAACACATCTTCCACCCTATATACCACTTTTAGTTCCATTTATTCATACAATTTCATAAAACTTTTTATCTTTTATGGCATATTTCATAACTCATTAAATACAAATATATCACAACTTGTAATTTTAGTTGACAACATCCTATTTTATATAACATAACCTACCTGGCAAATCAGTGGCACAAGTATCACAGTTGGATGAAAAATTTGGAGTTTCTAATTTTCTGTGCAGAATTCTATTTTCACTGATATAGTGACGTATTTCGGCATGCATGCGTTTCTGAAATGAAAATAACATGCTTGTTAGTCCTGGAATCTATGTTACAAAATCTATGTTAGTCCTGGAATCTATGTTACAAAACCTTCCAATCTGATCTTTAGAGGTTGCTATTTGCTACACAAAATCTTTTTTTTTTTTAAACACACAAATGTGACTTCAGCAGGGCATTATTTGGATTTTGGGTGCGGCCCCTTGATTTCACATAATCTAAAAATATGCTACTGTGGGCAGGTTTTGAAATGTTTTATAAATTCAAGGGTAATGATCATTACCACAACAGTGGTAAATACAAACAGGAATGACAGACTTTTTTAATGGTCAATGTAGTTCACTCTTCACCTTCCCAAGTTTTGAAGAATCTGAAACAAATACAATGTAGATGTGAGACCTCAATGTTCGTCACCCTTTCTGAGAAATCTAAAGGATGAATCCACTACCCATACATCTGTGGGGAATTGTGACATTATTTGATTTTTCAAATACTGCTTTAAACAGGATATGGAGCTGGCAGAATAAAAGCCACATGTGAATACAATAACTCACAGCGATTCCTCGTTAATTAAACAAAAACAACTGAAATACTCCTTACTGTTTATAAATACAGGACTTCTTTTTGACACTGCCTAGCATAGATGTAGCTATATCAGTTCTGATAAACTGTTCAGCTGCTCATCACATTATCACTCACCTGCCCCTTTTGATGGTGACCCAGAATGGCCTTCACAGCGAGCGCAGTGGCCCCGTGGCACCATACCATACTTTGCCTAATCTTGGCAATCTGCTTCTTTGTCCTGTTTAACACTCTCATAACGCCAATTAGGATCTGCAGCTTTGAGAGGCTATATTCCAAACGCACAAACTACAAGTCCCACTGGGTCACAGTATGTCTGGTAGACTACCACACATAATGTGATTATTTCTAGTACTCCTCCCTGGTAAAAAAGAGTGCAAATAGCTGATGTAGAAAGTAACTTATGAATGTAATAAGTTACTTGTTTACACAACAAGAACCGTCTCTTTTTTTTTTTCATTTCTTGAAGTTCAGTGAGCATATGGTGCTAGCCCCATATTTTTTTAATAGACCAACCAGCATTTACCGGCAGATGTGGCAACTTGATATTGGCCAACTTTAGTTCCCAAGAAATTTCCTGGTAACCATTTTAGGCTAAGTGGACATGGAAGCTTAGATCGACTGTTAAAAACTGCCTCAATGTGAATCCAAACCCAGTGGCTACCACAGTTCTCTGTTATATACTGCATTAAATTGTATCCATTCCACATTAGGAAATTAATTACATTTATTATGATCATATCAATATTTTAGACATTTTACACAAAATAATCAAAATACACTGAAATACATATCTCCTACGAAACATGTGCAGCATGAATAGTCCAGATTTTCCCCATGAAAAATCAAGACAATTAAACAGTAAAATATATAATAAAAATAAGCACCGTTGTGACGTACTATATCTTCATGAGACTTTTTCAAGGCTGCTCTTAATTCAGCTTCTTTGACTGCTGCAGACTCTCCAGAAGAACCATTCTTCATATTTGTTAATGCGGTAATTTGGTCCTCTAAGACTTCAACCTTGCGTCTAAGTTTATTTGTTTCATCCTCTTTCAAATGCTCTCGAGTCAGTGTGTACTCAGACAAGTATTTCAGGGCTTGCTCTGTATGCGGGAGGGAAAAAGAGCCTATTAATCCGGCAGTGACAGTAACATGAACATTAGACACACACAAACAAATAGTTAACTGAATATTCAACACAAAATCAATCATATGAAAAGCAGATACAAAAGCTGAAAATAATCTCAATACATGAGAAGACATTATTCTGACCACTAGACACGATGATGCAGAAGATGGACACTAGACACAAAAGAAAACAGTAAATTACTAAATCTGTAGTTAATGCAACTGCCAAAGGTGTCATTTAATTACTTCAGAAATACTTGATCATGGAATCTTGAAGTGAGATGACCAGTTTTCTTCTATCCCCATCTCTAAAACATCACTCATTTGGCTAGATTCAGTTAACCAAGAAAGTTGTAATGAGCTGGGGGAAAAAAGACTCGTCAAACGGAGAAGCCAGATTTTCTTCTTGGTTTCAAGAAAACCACATAATAGTGCTCTGGGCAAAACAACAAATGGGCTGTCCCCCTCAGCAAATATAAGGGCAGATACCGAACATTTCAGTACTGCTTGCAAATACACTAGATTTATCCCCCTATATATTCTCCTTGGGGAGTCGCCGTGGCGTTGGTGGCTAGATGCCCACCTGCGGATCGGAACGTAGTGGATCCGCGTCCTGATGGAGCCAGATATTTTTTTTCTTTCTTTAAAAATGACCTTGACTCCCAGGTCGACCTAGCCTTGAATGGGTACTAGGTGCAGTCCTGGGAAGTAAAGGTGGCCTGTGTACTTTCAACTAGCAGCTGTGGTATTGTACTTTCAACTAGCAGCTGTGTTATTGTACTTTCAACTAGCAGCTGTGTTAGTGTACTTTCAACTAGCAGCTGTGGTATTTTACTTTCAACTAGCAGCTGTGTTATTGTACTTTCCACTAGCAGCTGTGTTAGTGTACTTTCAACTAGCAGCTGTGTTTTTGTACTTTCAATTAGCAGCTATGTTACTGTACTTTCAACTAGCAGCTGTGTTAATGTACTTTTAACTAGGAGTTGTGTTAATGTACTTTCAACTAGCAGCTGTGTTATTGTACTTTCAACTAGCAGCTGTTAAAAGGCAATCTTCAACACCCCTCTCAATCAATCAGGTGCTGACTCCACAGGAAGGTTGGCTGTAATGGAATTTTAACACGCTCTCACTCTTGTCCTAGTTGTACACTCTGTCAGACTGCTGCTTTGTCAATCTCTTGATGTTGTCCTCTCACTTGTATCTTTATCTATCTCTTGCTCTCGACCTTTACCTCAATATGGTTTTAACAACAGTGTGTCCTTTAATATGAACAAAATATTTTAATTTTCTCTTTTTTCTTTCAGTAATTCAAAGTCTTTCCAGAACCTCTGTAATATGACCTATTCTTCTGTATATCCACATTTCCAGAGACCTAATTCAATTTTCTAGTTGCCAATTCACTGTCCAAGTTTCTGCAGCATACAGCAGGGTTAAGGATACATAACACTTGATGATTCTCATTTTTAATGTGTTGTTTATCTCTCTAGTGGTCAAACATTTCTGCACCTTAATGAAGACAGTTTTACTCATTTCTATTCTATTTTTGATTTCTATTTTACTTCTACCATCATCTGTTATTATGTGTCCAAGACAGGAGAAACTTGTTAATTATTCTAAAATCTCTCCATTTACTGTAATTTTTAATTTTGATTGCCCTTTTCCATTGTTAATTACTATAGTTTTTATTTTTTCTAATGGTAATGTCTAATCAATACTCTGCACTCCGCCTGCTGTCTTGATCCACTAGGAACTCACTTCCAGCTAGTAACACTGTTTCATCAGCATATTTCAGATTGTCATTCTTCTACCATTATTCAGTGCAGACAATTCTCCAACTTGTTTACATCTTTATACAGTGGTATCTCAGGTCACAAATGCCTTTCATCACAAACAAAGAGGCTCACAAACAACATCCGCCGTATTAAGGTTTGCATGATGTGAACACTGTTTGCTGTTGCGTTGTTCCTAATAAAAAAAAATTATTTTTGCAATAAATGAACCCTGATTATGGCTCCCAAGACAGTGAAAAGTGTTATTTACTGTGGCGTATAGAAGCCTAAGTATATTATGGTAACAATGAGGAATAAAATAATAACCAAACAGAAGAATGGTGTTTGTGTTTTTGATCTCGCCAAGCAGTACGACATGGCTAAATCTACTATCTTAAAAAATAAAGATTCACTAAAGACAGCTGATGCGGTTAAAGGAGTGACTGTGTTAATGAATCAAAGGTCTGAAGTGTTAAGAAGAAGTAGACAAATTATTGTCAGCTTGGATTACTGAAAAGCAGCTTGCTACAGATAATTGTTAGCCAGGCCCTAATAAGAAAGAAGGCTTTACTTTTGCACTGTTATTTCGTTGTGAAAATGCTGAATATTAGTTATGCTAGCATTGACAAATTAAAGCAATTTGAGGCCGGTTAAACAATTTTTGTTGATGAATGGAATTCATAGAGTTTTTAGGCATGGAGAGGCAGCTAGTTCTGACACAAAAATCAGCAGATGCCTACGTGGAGGAATCTGCGAACTTTTTCAACTATGAAGGTTACGTACTGAATACATTTTTTTAACTGTGATGAAACAGGCCTCTTTTCTTGTTTTTTAATTCCAAGGACCCACTTAACCCAAGATGAAGAGTAGTGGCATGGCCACAAACCATGAATGACAGGCTTACACTTTTATTGTGTACTGATCCATGTGGGGATTGTAAGATGAAGCCTCTTTTAGTTTACCACTGAAAATCCGAGGTGTTTTAAATGCAGTAAAGTGTTAAAGGGTAAACTTCTGGTGTTTGCATTTAATATTTTACATTATATATTTTTGCCACACATAAATCCATAAAACAGTCAAATAACAATTTGGCTCTCGGCAGGAGAATGGATTGATTAGATCTGCATTAACTTCAATGGGAACAACTAATTCAGTTTGTGAACGGAGTCAAAGAACGAATTAAGATCGTGACAAGAGGTCACAATGTAAAAGTTACTGTTGATGATCTTTGTTCCAGCTGGCAGAGTCAACTGATCCGCTTGTGTTCCTTGCCTCACAGAGAGAAGTATATGTGCTCTGCAACTACTTATCTGTCCATTTTTTTAACTTTATGCAACATAGACTGAGAATTAAATACAATGAAATCTCAAAACTAATAAACCAGCACAACCCATTACTTACCAATGAATTTAGGATGTTTGTGCAAAGATTTGGAACCATTCCAATATCTATCCACCAAGTTTAATAAAGAATAGATGAGAGTTTTCTCTTTTGCATCACCATAATAGTTTGATTCCTGGATTTAAAATGAAAAAAATTAAGCCAATTTCACAGAGGTGAAACTACCCCTAACATCATATCAACCTTTCCATATAAGAGAGACAAAGGTTGGTGTCATTCTGATCTGATCTGATTCTCGTCTGTGCCATGACAGGAACACTAACTCTCAGGGTCCTCCTTTCTTCCATATCCTAGAGAATCTACTCTGACATGCAGTCATTAATGAACATGTCCGAACTGGCCAGGTTATCATAACTGCAGGTCCTCTCTACAGAATGTAACCTCTTCACATCTTAGACAAGATTTTTCTGACACACAATAATGACAACTTGTTTTAAATAACATTTCGGTTATGTAAGTTCTAAAGTCAAAAAGAGGATGGCCCTAGCAATAAAAATATTAGGCAGTATTAAAAGTCTATGGTTAAGCACCAGCAAGGAAATCAAAGTTTAAATTTTGAGAGCAGGCATCCTCCCTATAGCAACATACGGATGTGAGTTCCAGCACTTAAGGGAGAAAATGAGGACTTTTAAGCTGAAATGCTACATAAAGAGTCTCAGAATACCACGGACAAAGAAGAGAAGGAATTCTGACATTTTAAAGATAAGTACATCAAGGAATACTCCCTAATAAACAGTGCCGTTCACAATACTTTCTGTTACTTGATTAATTCATAATATTTAACGGCCTCAAATGGTTCCCCCCTCTGTTTATTTATAGGAATGACGTATACACACCGGAACCTACCAATAAAATACCTTTCTTAAATGTTTGTGTATTCTAGACAAAGCAATAAGGTCTTACTGTGTTCGTAAATTGTTGCTGTGATTGTTATTCGACATTTGCTTCGTTAATATAAACTTCTGTAACCTATGGTGCCATTTCAATGGGTTGAAATGAATTCTGTCCGTATTCCATAGTCGTGGATTTCAAGCTGTATGATAGACATGGCCAATGAGACACCTTTTTTGGGGGTGCCTAGTTGACCATGTATCTTAGTGCACTTATATTCATGGCGAGGCGCAGACGCCGTCTGGAGGTGACAGGTTCAATTCCCGGCACGGTAACTATAGCTTTCGATTTTTATGTTGTCTAGTGTGTTCTTCTATCTTTCTACTTCTTTCTATGAGTGCGGTTCACAATACTTTCTGTTACTTGATTAATTCATAATATTTAACGGCCTCAAATGGTTCCCCCCTCTGTTTATTTATAGGAATGACGTATACACACCGGAACCTACCAATCAAATACCTTTCTTAAATGTTTGTGTATTCTAGACAAAGCAATAAAGTCTACTGTGTTCGTAAATTGTTGCTGTGATTGTTATTCGACATTTGCTTCGTTAATATAAACTTCTGTAACCTATGGTGCCATTTCAATGTGTTGAAATAAATTCTGTCCGTATTCCATAGTCGTGGATTTCAAGCTGTACGATAGACATGGCCAATGAGACACCTTTTTTGGGGGTGCCTAGTTGACCATGTATCTTAGTGCACTTGTATTCATGGCGAGGCGCAGACGCCGTCTGGAGGTGACAGGTTCAATTCCCGGCACGGTAACTATAGCTTTTGATTTTTATGTTGTCTAGTGTGTTCTTCTATCTTTCTACTTCTTTCTATGAGTGCCGTTCACAATACTTTCTGTTACTTGATTAATCCCTAATAAACACCATCTTGTTTTGAAAGCTGAAATATTTTGGTCATTTAATGGGCTATAGGGGGAAAAAAATAACAGCAGAAGGCATGGTACCAGGAAGGAGGGGCAGGAGCTGAACCAACATGAAGATAAGCACATGATATAAATGACTCCTTGAATATGAAAGTGCAAGAGAAAGGAAAGCTGGTGACAGACCGAGTTTCTTTTAGGTAGACCATGATGAGAGCAATGTTCTGCAAAGGACCAGCCACATGATGATGATGATGGGTTCTGATGAGAGCTAAAATCTAGTGTCACAGACACCAGTAAAGAATAAGCAGCATGAGCAGAGATGAACAAACAGAATGAAAGAGACACACAGAGATAGGAAGAAATTAATGATTACATGATAGCATCTTATTTGATAGAAGCCATGGCTGCATGGTAATTATTTGTGTGGCCAGAACAGGTTCAGAGAACAAACTTTATTTTCAAAGGGTTACAAATTGGGCGCGCATGCCTGTCTGACATTCGACACTTCTGAGCACTCATCTTGCAGAGTAACAATGCCTGTTTTCAATAATTCATGTTATGTTTATAATTTTAAAAAAATATACATTATAGAATAATGCATACAAACATCATGTATACGCACTCAAACACACACGTACACATACTCTTACATTCTCATATGTACACATACATAATCATAAAGACATACGTAATACATACATACATGCACCTACATACATCCACATGCATACATAATGCAAGCATACATACATCCATACATTCACAAACACACATACATACTGGCATACAGACATTCCATACACAAACCTACACATGCATGAATAAATTTACATACAATCACATATTCAGACACCCACATACACATACATACGCCCACAATCACACATTTACATATACCCACATACATGCATACATACATACACACAAATACATGCAAATCTACATCCATATATTCCCTCACATAAATACATACTTGTATATATGCCCAAACACACACACATAAACCCACCGACATGCATACATACTAGGGCTGTACCAAATAGTGATTTTCACTATTCGGCCGAATACGAATAGTGAATCATCATCATCAGGTGACTTGCCGACTGGCGTTTGCGATCATGCCTCTCCACAATCTGCGATCTCCTGCAGCATGTATCAGTTCATGTGCTGACACACCTCCATGCCATGCAACAAGACTGTCAAGAATCTTCTCTCGTTGTCTTCCTCTATCCCTACTTCCACAGATCTTTCCAGTGGTCACCACATGTTCCATTTTCCCTCTTCTCATAACATGGCTGAAAAATGATGACTGTCTCCTTCTGATGTCTGTGATTAGTTGTCTTCGGGCTCCCGCCCCTTTCAAAACCATCGTTCGCTCAGCCGTTTGTTCAATGTAATTAAAATGCACCTTCATATTCTCGTTAGCAATATCTTCAGATGTGATTTTGGCGAAGACACCCTGAAAAAACAAAAAATGCATGATCTCTCTCTTTCTCTCTCTCTCTCTCACACACACACACAGACGCACACAAACACACCACACGCACACACTGCGGTTGGCATTTTATGAAGTTTGTACTACGCAACCGGGTCGCAGTTTGCCCCCACTACGACAGGCTAAGGCAACAGCAACTATTGTGTTAATGAGAGAGTTATTTCAGTCCATCGCAGTGTATGCAGAAACGGGTGTAAGGTAACCACTTTTCGTATTTGGCCCGGCCGCAACTATTCGGCTGAATACCGAATAGTTATTAGGTCCACTATTCGGCCCCGAAGCGAATACGAAGCGAATATTCGGTCCAGCTCTAATACATACACACAGATACATACATGCACACACACATTACATAGATACACACACATGCATGCATACATACATATACAATCACACATACAGACACCAACATACATACATACATACATACATACTTGCACATATACTTAGACACACACCCACAATTACAAATACACTCACATAGAATCACACATACACCCACATAATTACAACATACATACATAAATACACACAAATACTTATAAACCTAGAGAGATAAAAGTAGTAGAACAGATATTAATCATCATTCAGTAGTGCTATTTGGTCAGGAATATTTATCTCCAGCACATCAACAACTAATGGTTATGGTTTTTTGAACTAAGGAATAAAGACCATTTGCTGAAATAATCATTACACCAGGCTAAGATTTGTATTTCACTTCTAGCAGACACTTTTTTGTGGTGGTTGGGGTGGGGGGGGGGGGATCTTACCTAGCAAAAGATTACATGCCACATGATACAGGGCAGGTACTCTTACCTGATTGCAATGCTCAGTTCAGTATAAAACAAAACAAAAAGGTAGATAAACATTTAAGACCAGACAAATAAAGGTGATGAAATGCCTCAGTACCTCTCTGGCTGGGACACTACTAGTTCGGCTTAGTCGGGGTCTGGTCCATGCCATGTCATCCTGTGATGATCTGACTTGTCTTGACTGTCTGTGCTTGGGTTCAGAACTAAAACATTCCCCTCTATCTGATTTGGGAATGGGGTCTGAGGCACTGAGTGGATCTTTGTATCTTCTTCTGTCTGTCTGAGACTGATCACATTCACCTGCAGACAGAGGCCACACATATGTGAACCAATCATTTTAAAGAATTGATGGTGGGACTGATGGCTTCATCATGATGAGCAGTCACAGAAAGCATTCATGTAAAAGCATCAACAGTTAATTATATTGATCCCCATGTGGGTTTCTGTGCCCCTTTGTGGGGAAAACAGGAACAGACCCACTGCCTCTCCAACAAGAATACCATACAGGTAAACTAACTGGAGCCATTTTCGAAGTCAGAGTGCATTTTAAACAGATGTACAAGCAAAGCTCAGACCATGGCACAAAGCCAAAGTTCAAGTGGACAAACAGCCAGAATGTCACATCAGAGTTTACAGCTGGTGAACAAAAATAAAGAAGAATTTAACTGCCTTCTAGAAATGCAGCCGATCAGCAAATGAAATGGCCATGTCTCCATGCTTTGTCTGTATCTTCCAAGTGTGGGTGTAGATGTGTGTATATGTTTGTAAAAAGGGGGTGATAACAGCTGGTGTATTTTAAGCTGCCTTGCCAAACCTTTCGGCTATTATTTTTCTACTGTTTTGCCTAGTGTTTTCTGCATCCTAATGATTCTGTAGCCATTTTTGTGCATGGCATCTTTGCTAGGTTTTTGTAGCGGAATCAAGTAGCTATATAGCCAGCTTTCTGAGATAGTGCCATTACAGATGCTGCCATTGTAGCTTTACATACGTCATCAATGGATGTTGTGGGCAGCTTGACAATGTCTTCATAGTGAATGCCACCAGGGCCGGGAGCTGACTTTTTTTGGATGATGTTTTTAATTTCAGCAACTATAACTAGCCAATCATGTTTAATATCTATACCGGCACATGTTACAGTGAGCATGTACATGGTAATCTGACAAGGGGCAGTGTCCTGCGTGCAGGTTTGCTTGAGGTATCTGTCAAGGAGTGCTCTTCCATTGTCTTTATCAGACCTGTTCCATGTTTGGTCTTCATTACAGAAGTCTCTGATGCCTCAGCATCTAGAAGCCCCTGTCATTGCCTTGTGTGTGGATTTTACGAGAGATCTTTCCTTGCATGCTTCATGGCAAAAGAGTTCCCAGTTTGTGTCCTTGGCTTGCTGGACAACAGCTTAGTAGACTGCTGTTGTGGTCTGTATGGTCTGTTTGTATTCCTGCAGTAGGTCTGGAGTACAGTCAGTAGATTAGTTGAGATTAATGATGATGATGATGATGATGATGACTATAGTCTGAGAAATACCTTTTGGGTTAGGAGTAAAATATCCTTGACCTCTGTATTTGCTGTTTGCCTCTATTTCATCAGGAAAGAAAAGATTTTGGTCACCTCTGGTGAAATAAGTAAAAAAATTGTATCCTGCTTCATCGGGTGGTCAATAAATGTCTAATAATTTAATGCAATAACAGTAACTGAAGAAGTAGACAACCCTTACCAGCAAAATACAATGGCAGACATTTCTCTTAACAATTTATGTTTTGCATCTGCAAGGATTGCCTTGCTCACTTTTTAACCAGGAATGATACTCTTTAAATATTCATCAGAAACAAACATTTATGCTGCTAGCATATGTCTATTGTCCACATTTCTGATGCTATCAAATGTTTATTGTCCATATTTCTGATGGTAGCATGTTTATTGTCCACATTTCTGCTGCTAGCATAGGTTTATTGTCCACATTTCTGCTGCTAGCATATGTATATTGTCCACATTTCTGATGCTATCAAATGTTTATTGTCCATATTTCTGCTGGTAGCATATGTTTATTGTCCACATTTCTGCTGCTAGCATAGGTTTATTGTCCACATTTCTGCTGGTAGCATAGGTTTATTGTCCACATTCCACATGCTTGGAAATTATGACTCTATGCAGCACCCTGAGACTCTTCTCCTCGAATATTTGACAGCTTTTTAGTGGTCTATTTTTTTCAACAAAAGACTATTTTTGCAAAGGTAACTAGTGTTTTTTTCTCTACATGTAAGTAGTTATGTCCTGTTGATTTGGTCATATGGATTACACACCTTTAATGTTAGTGATTCTTTTATTTATCAGACACTTCCAAATACTTGTAACTGTTTACTAGTTGTAAATTACTGTCTTCCCTGTGTGGGTTCAGGGGACCCATTGTCCCTTAATAAGCATGTTGTAAAAGTTGACTATCAGGGAAGTTTCTTCAAAGTCAGAGTGCATCTGCCTGAGAGGCGAGGAACCAACAGTCTGCATACAGTCTTAATTAAGCCAGATGTTTAAAATGGATGTGCATGCAAAAATCAGGTTCTGGAACAAGATCAAAGTCCAGACGTGAACAAACAACTAGAAGTTAAAGCTGGTGAAGGCGAAGAAGATAATTACTTTCTGTATATACCACTTATTCCAAAACTAAAACCATGGTGATCTCAAGAGAGGAGAAGAAACACCAGATCATGATGGGACAGTATGCATTGGAGCAGGTTAACCATTTCAAATACCTTGGAGTTGTACTAGACCAAAACGGAGGCATTAAGACTGAGCTGGCTACACGAAAAGCAGCTGATGGGAGACTCTTCCAGGCCATAAACCGAGGGTTTCTTAGCAAAAGAGAAATTGGCAAGAGGACGAAAATGGCTGTTTACCGCTCTACCTATGTACCAGTCCTGACCTATGGGTGTGAGTCATATGCAATGACAACAGCTCACAGAAGCCAGCTGCAGGCCTCGGAAATGAGATACCTGAGAAAGGTGGTCCACGTGACAAGAAGGGACAAAGTCCGCAATCAGACAATACGTCAAGATCTTGATACCCAGCCCTTACTAACCCGAGTAGATCAGTCACAGTTACGATGGTTTGGACATGTATGCAGAATGGGAGAAAATCGGCCACCATGGCAAGCATGGGAGGCTAAGAACCAGGGAACCAGACCTCTGGGACGACACAGGGTGTGCTGGGAAGACAACATCCGACAGTCCCTAACTGACAGAGGACTGGAATGGAACAAAGCCAGAAAGAAAACTGCTGATAGAGACGTCTGGCGATCTCTCGGGCAAACCTCTACACCCCATAGCTGAAGAGGAGCGACTAAGTAAGTAAGTAAGTAAGTAAGTATATACCACTTATTCGAACGGTGTAGGAGAGGTCAGCTTGAGGAATTAGGCTCATATGGCTAGTGCTTCTTCTTCTTCTTCCGCCTTTATTGCTGAATTGTGTATAGTCCCTCGACCACAACTGATCATCCTATTCTTTACTACTGCTGGCTGGTTATTCATGTTTTCTTTTTTAGACTTTCCCATGGTTGGTTGGTTTTTGCGGTTTTGGCATTTAACAAAAATGGATGAGGTAGCCAACCCTGAGTACAACCCTACCATTAGTCACCTCTTACAACTACCTGGTAGGGTGCAGTGTTATTATTTCTTTGCTTTCCATGAGGACCCTAGTAACCCAGGGAGGCATGACTAGTGCACTTGCCTTGAAATGGGCATGGCAGGATTTTTTATTTCTGCTCTTGACAGAAAAATCTCCACCACCTTACAGGGGCTTCAAACCCGCATGAGAGTCCAGCATTCTAACCTTTCCATCAGCTGCTCCTCATAAGTCAGAGTGTCTGTAACTTAGGATTTTTACAGGATTCGATTCAGCTGCAAGCCATTTAGTGCTAATTTCAACAATGGTATGAATATCAAACGTACGGGAAGCAGTGGCAAACTACTGAATGTAAAACTGCCCAGTAAATAAGTTACTATACATTGCCAATGCTTGTTATTGTTACTTCTTGTAAATTGTTGTGTACATGACATGTTCAATGATCAGGTGCCTTCTCCACAATGAAGGTTGGCTGCATCTGGTTGAGCTGGTTGTACTCTCTCATTCTGTCCACCTCCTGATGTCCTAACAATACTTGTACCGCTTCTGCAATCACTCCAGAAACACATGTAAAGGTAGCTGTAAATTATTTATTGTACATTTACCAATATTTTTTAAGCACCCATTTCCACACCACGGGTTATACTGGGTATGTGATGCTAACCTCATAGTTTAATAAATTCATTAGCATCCATTTGCATTTTTTTCTGTTAAGGTATCTGAAAACTGACCATTTTTGAGAAGGCAAATATTGAAATCTAAAAACAACAGCTAGAAAGATTATTAGAAAATGAGACAGTTGATGACAGGGAAAACAGACATGACACAGAATGACACAGTGAGATACCAGCACACAAACTGATTCATAATAATATAAATGAGAACTGTCGTGGAGTCATAATCACCTAAACCAGCTGGCAAGACATTTTGAAATTATGTTGGTAAAATATTTCCTCCATATTTGTTCAGAGAAAGATGCTTACTTGGGAGCCTCTCCGATTTTATGAACACCTTCTCCAGGCATAGACATAATATTGGGATACCATTCCTTGTATCTAGCAAGGTGAGGATCTTCATCTTTCTGTAGAGATGGGGGATCTATCGCTGCAGACTGAGGAAACAAACACAATGTAATCATGACTGATTCACAACTAACTACAATATTTAAATTATAAGGTAGCAGAGGATTTCCTTTTCAAGATCTAAAAACTGCACAAAAAGTATCCTAGCCAACATCAAACTTTATTCTCTTTATTAAAAGATTAAAACTGGCTGAGAAGTTTTCCTGAGGGTTGTTATGGGAGCAAGGTTCTGCAAAATACATGCTACTGACTGACTGCCATAAATAGAGATAGGGATGAGAAAGGGATAGTCTAAGAAAAGGAAAGGTAAAAGTTAACTGACTGCCAAGGGCAAAGACACTGACATCTCAAAATAAAAATTATTATTACAAGAAGCTATACATTTAGGCTGATTACTAGGAAAATTCCTTTCAGTAATTTTGAATTGTTAAAAAAAAGTGCATATTTATATGTACATTTATATGGATAGAAACAAACTGAATTGAAAACTACGGGGTACATGGACAGTTACTACAGAACATCATTGCCATTTACCATACAAGCCAAAGTGCAATAAAAACACAAAAAGGCATATGAGATATGTTCACAGTCAACACAGGTTATAGAGAGGGATGTGTTCTCTCCTCACTTTTTTTAAACATTTATATAGACAGAATATCTAAAGAAGCAAGTTCTGATACAGACAACATAGATCTTTATATAATGATGAGTGTCAGAACCCTATGAGTACAGTCATGCGGCGGAGCAGACCACACAAAGGGTGTACCGTGTCCAGGGTACACCCCAGAGTTGACACAAAGGTCAACGGCTTGACTGGCCAAGTATGTGCTGTTTGCAACGGCAAAACTAGCGCTCAGTAGAGACCACTTGAAGACTACAAGTAAGAGTGAACTCTTTTCCTAACAAGTTTGCAACATGATTGTTCCCTGACTACTGAGCGGGTTAACAGGTCAAAAGGCACGAGGTGAGAGAACACAGGGGATTCGAGGTGCAGTGTTAGGACCAAGTGGGCGTGTTAGCGAGACAGAGATAGAACGTTAGAGTTCGGATATTCCTATAGTGACTGCATAGATGATTTACAGTGTTAGGCTATAATAGGATAGTATTTTTGTGCCGTGTATTCAAATGGTATAATGTTTTGTGCTCTTTCACAATAGGTAAGTAGTGTCCATTTATTTCCGATCAGTTAAATTGGTTAGATGTATGTTTTGTGATTGATTGATTGGATTCAAGAACCGACATCACAGCACTCAGGGCATTCCCATAAGCGCTCCATCCCCATCTTCAGCAGCCAGTGAAGAGTTCCGATACTAATGGTGCCAGTAGCTTTCTGATTAAATGTCCGTCTTGCCTTTCTTCTGAGCCTTGAGTTTCTGCCAGAACCTCTCGTCACCCCCAACTGCATCAATCTCACCAGACTGTGGTGATCCATCTGCTCCTCCGCATTGTACATGCTCTCCCACAAGGTACTAACCACGTCTGCCCTAACATGTAGCAGTATTCCACCAAGTTGTGCAGAGCCAGCCAGTCTGTCCATCTGTTCATTTCCCAACACACCGGCTTAACCCGGTGAAAAAAATCCAGACAATACTCCTCATTCGTGTCCTCCGCAGCGAAGCATGCCACTCTGCACAAAGCATACCTGTTCTGATCTTCCTCAGCATGCTTTCTGAATCAGTTACGATCACAATGTGTGTGTGTGTCGTGTTCTCTAGCCAGCGGAAAGCTGCAGGGACCACCTCCACTCTTAAGCTGGATGTTGTGGTATCATATGCTAGGCTCTCCTGCACCAAACGTCAACCATTTTTGTCTAACCTTGTCACGCTGACCCGGCGCTCGACAGAAGCTCTGACATCTTGGTGAGCTCAGGTGACAAGGTACAAGAACATCCCCCGCAGAGGTGTGCTTTGCGCACCTGCGATTGCCTGAGGTAACAGACTGGAGAGCAGGTGATGTAAAGCTCGCTCGGCCAGTGTTCCAGGTAACGGGTGGCTATACAGCGAGAAGTAAACTGTCCGTTGCTATATCTGTACTTACAATAAAGATTGTCATGTGTGTTCTGTGTGCGATTGGGTTCAGTCTGTGTTAGGTATAGATTGTCTGTCAGAGGCCAAGTCACGAGCCATGGACTATCAAGGTCACCCAGAGGTCTGTGACAGATAAATGGGGCAATCGTCTTTAGGAGCTGAATCTGGGATAGATTAAGATAAATAGAGTAGTAAAGTAGAAGTAGTTGTCTTCATAAATTGTGAACCCAATGTGCTTGTCTAAATATGAGATATAGATTAGTTTGTATATTTAGCTGATGGTTTTTTTTCTTTAAGTTATGTCGTGTTCACTATTATAGGGCTAGCGTGATTGAGGTAATCTCTTAATTTTGATTTTGCTATCGAGTAAGTTTGTGATTCTGTTGCTGAGTTAATTCTTTTAATTACTGCATCGTTGTCCAGGCCTACTCTTAATTACTGATAGCGACATCGAGGTTGGCTTGTGTCACCCTTAGCGCTATAAAGTGATAGTTTGTTAATGTTTTTCGTATTTGTTCCTACAGATTGTAATTACTTATGACTAAATGTGATAGATAGGGCTTCATTTGCGTCTTGACAAGTTAGCGAGGAATAGGAGAATTAGTTTGACGGACAGTGAAAAAGTGTACGGAAGGTAAAGATTGTGTGCTACTGAGTGTGTGTTGCTGAAGTCGATCAACCAAGGCCTGTCGATCTTGGACATCATCATCATCTTTTCCGGGGGAGGCCAAGAATCAAGGACTGGAGAGAAGATGAGTTTGTTTTGCTTTTGGTGTATTGCTGTGGTCTGTTCTCCAGCCCTCGAGGGTTCTACACGATTGTATTTGAGCTCCTGGCACCGTTCATTGTCCTCATTTCCTGTCTGCCCTACTCATCATTTACGTTATTTTCGTGGGTGGTTGGCAGGGCTAGTCTTGTGTTGTCCCTAGTTGTCTAGTGTCTAGGTTAACATAAGATTACGTGTCAGCTATATTGTGATTCTAGTCTCGTCTGCAACTCGTTGTGCAGCCGGGTCTATTGTCAAGATATATGCTAGTGGTGTCTTGTTTGTAATTAGTTATCGTCTCATCGTTGTGCTTTCTTATCGATAAGTGTTTATCTACTAGTACGTTAGTGTCCATGCCGTACCATCCTATTTATAGTTCCAATAATTTCTTTTAGGTGTTTTCATTTGTGAATTTTTCCACGTGGTCATTTCAGTATATTTCTCTAAGTCATTCTATTTTATGCAATTTTTTCGGTATCATGAATGGAATCTAGGTAAACATCTTTGGCCCCTCTCATCAATATGCGTCTTGGGATTTCTCTTGAATTTTGTATTCCCTGACTGATTTATTTCCTATTTCAGTGCTTGTTTTGTGATTCTCTGTCCGCTACAGCAGCTCTTTGCTGGCTTGATAGCCAAATGCATCCAAATGTTGTGACTAACAGACTCACACAGTATACTAAGAAAGCAAGGAAAAAAGGCATGCTTCACCATGAGTAGCAAGCATCACTTCAGAGGTCCCAGGTATCTAGCATCGTTTGGATCTTTTTCTCCTGAGCAAGCACGTGCATTGAGAAATTAACAGGCAGGTAGACTCACTGATTCTATGGCATTTGGTGGTGAACTGACGCATGTCATGCTGGATGTGGTCAAGACCTTCTGGGAGAAGGTAAACAATTTTGAAGAACAAATAGATGATTAGTCTGAAGAAAATGGCAGTGAGTGACCAGGGAATTTGGTAAGCACCCTAAAGGCAATACAAGTACGTAACCAAACTGCCATTGATACTACTGGTATTGACATTTTTTATTCATTGTGTGCTCAAATGGGGACAGAGCACAAATTGGTATGTTAGTAAGTCAGAGCACCACTTTGCCATAGTTGAAGTTTGCCATTTGACAATAAGAGAGACAGACAAAGATAGACAAACATACAGAAAGAGGGTGAGGGAAGGGCAGAGAGAGAGAGAGACAGAGACAGAGACAGAGAGAGAGAGAGAGAGAGAGAGAGAGAGAGAGAGAGAGAGAGAGAGAGAGAGAGAGAGAGAGAGAGAGAGAGAGAGAGAGAGAAACAGAAACACAAGAGTAAAGAGAAAAAGAAAACACAAAGCTATTAGCTGTAACTTTGGAGATACAGAATTAAATCAATGAGATTATTTACTTGTGTGCTCTCCACAGGCTTGCCCCTTGCTCTTGCAGGCTTGGACTGGTCTAGAAGTTTTAAACCTGGCAATCAATAAATATGAAGCAATACTAGTTACTAAGTTTCCTTTGACAAAAGTTATTGTTTTCCAAGACCACTGGAATTGGAACTCTGCGCCTGCTGCTAGAGATGGGGATGGGGCACTTATGGGAATATCACGAGTGCTGTAATGTCGATTTTGTTTTATTAAACTTTAATATTTCAAAGCTAATGAATAATAAACAAACAGTGAACAAACAAACATGTTGTCATTAATGTAATGTTGATTATTCAATGTACATGTACAGGTTGTAACTTCCAGCAGCAGGAGCTGAGACTTTCATTCCCCTGCCAGAAGACCAGTGATTTCAAATCAGACTGCTGACTGCCCCACTGAAAGTGATTCTGAATATATGTACCTACCTTACAAGCTCAAACAGAACTTTGTAACAGCTATACTCGACTGAGATTTGATGTAGATAAAGAATCCTGAAACTGCAGCGATCTTCAGGGCAGATCTTCATAGGAGGCAAATTTGCCATTTTCAGTCTCCTAGAAGAGGTGAAATCACTGACACAAAGCATAAACAAGGGACTTTTGGATGCAGCATTAGAAATCTTAGGTAAAAAGAAGATACCATGTAAACCATGGATAACAGGTGACATCTTGAAATTCTGCGATATGCAACGGAAAATTAAAAAGAAGAAAAGGCAAATTCCAGCAGCAGCAGAACAATATAGCATAGTTAATAGAAAAATCAGGACACAAATGAAGAGGACAAAAGAAGAATGGATTAAAAACCAGTGTGTCCACTGATGTGGGGTCTAAAATAGGGCAACACCAAGGCTGCGTATGAGACAATAAAAAGGTAAGCAAACCACAAAAACTCAAGATACCAATTACAGAGGATAAAAACAGACAAGTTCTTAATGCGAAAACAGCAGTATTGGACAGATGGACGGAATATTGTGAAGACTTAAATTATCAAGAAGCAGAGCCTGACACTATGGCCCCAGACACCATCGTATGAAAAAAATACAGAAGTTGGTGACATTGAAATATTAAAAAGAAGTGGAGGAGATGATACCCTCATGAAAAGGGAAATCACCAAGTGTGGAAAATGCCCCAGCTGAACTTTCAAAATACGGAGAACATGTAACTAAGGTGATGACAAAAGTGTGTCAGAATTTTTATCACCAAGAAGTGGCCTTCTGAATGGACACAATCGCTTGTGATACCCCTGCCAATAAAGAACATTTTAAAAGCTGCAACAATTATAGAACTTCTGGTCTTATCACTCACGCAAGCAAACTAATGCTGAAGATGGTGCTCAACAGTTTAAAAGCAAAATCTGAAGAAATACTAGCCGAAGGCGGGTTTCCACAACAACATCAATGCGACGTATTCCAAAACTTTATTGACAAACCGAAGGCATTTGACCATGTGTGGCATGCTGGGCTCTAGTAAATAATGAGAAATTTCAACTTCGATAAGAACATAATTAATACAGACACAACTGAAGCACTTCATAAAGATGCAAGCAGTGTAGTACTCATTCAAAATAACAAGCAAATTTTTCAAGACCAGTGTGGGAGTGAGACAATGTTGCATACTACCCCATCCTTTTCAATTTGTATTTGGAACACACCATGAGAGAAACACTAGAAAGTCATGAAACATCTATATCCATTGGTGGAAGACAGTTATGCAATTTATGTTTTGCAGACGACATTGATCTCATGGCTAGTTCCAAAACAGAACTCCAAAATGTATTACAAAATTAGAGACAGTCTGTCGTAAATATGGCATGGAAAATAATGTTGAGAACAGCAAGATTCTGGTAAATAGTGACAATAATCAAGTACCTATAACCATACAGATAAAAGGGAACAAACTAGAAGAAGCTGAAAACTTTAAATATCTTGGCTCCCACACATGCAAAGATGACAACTGTACCAAAGAGATCAAGACAAGATTTGATATGGCAACAGCTGCGATGTTTCAGCTGAATACAAGGTGGAAGTGAAAAATCAGCATTGTAGTTAAGGTCAATATTTACAAATAATTGGTACTGTCTATTTTCTTATACGGATGTGAGAGTTGGACTCTGACTGTGGAAATGGAAAGGAGGATTCAGGCTTTCGAATGTAAATGCTATAGATGTATTTAACAAATTAGTTATTTAGAGCACAAAACTAATAAATATGTCAGAGACAAAATAAACATCTTTGCAGAACATCAGGAGCTTCTCTTGGCAGTGGTGAAACGTCACAACCTAGCTTGGTTTTGGCATGTGGTAAGACATGATTCGACTGCAAAGACTATGCTTCAAAGAACACTGGGGGGCAGTAGAAGAAGAGGAGGGCAAAGAAGAACCGGCAGTCTTGCCAGACATGGACATAACACACCAGCAAACTATCAACAGGGTGCTAGCTATGGGCGACTCATGCCCGATCGCGCAGATACATCCATGTATTATGCAGTGACAATCCTCTGAGGGTTCTGCCTAAAAGGCCCAGTCACCTGTGGACTCGAGGCAGATGCACCACCTGGTGAAAGACCCTAGACTTCCTGTCTGCTACCCAACCACTCCCTGAAGCATCACTGACTAACATCCCGTTGATCAGCCTCCGATACCTTGCCATCACAACTCAACGTTGGTCAACACCCATAAAGTTCCCCAAAACGTGCCACATAGACACAACCGTGCTTATCCCACACACATGGGCAGCATAACCAACCATTCTAGAAATCACGCTGACAGAATTCTTGAGGTCCAACTCTTATCCACCAGTCATCCGGACACAATAAAACATTGCTAAAACACAGTCCATGCATCCACTCAACTTAAACTATTCGCACACACACTTCCACACAGTTAGACTGACTGAAAGCTACTGACTCAAACTACCACAGGACTTTTCCCACCTGCAGTCAGTTTCGCGTGGACCTCACTTTCTCCACACAACTCTGGGTTCACAACATTCTCGTGCTGTCGACCCACAAGGATGATACAATATACATGATGTCCTCAAGTTCATCAAAAACTTTGAGCGACACATGTTTTTCCCAGTGGCTTATGTACCATTCACTTCCAGTGACCCCCAAATGTTTACATTCCCAACCTGTCACATAAAGTTCTGGCTTCATTACCTTGTTATACGCTATAGTGATTTCACTCTTTCAGTTCAAATAAAATGTAGCCCTTAAACAGCACTAATTGACACTGATAATGAATAGCTCTCTGATATTAAACATTACTTAGTGTATGAGCTTATGAAAATATACGTAATACCACATACTATCAAGAGTATAGTCTTCAACCCTGTCCTCCCTTGCAGATGATCCAGTCAGGGGCCGAGGCTTGTTGAGGTCACCATTCTGACGATTCATGATGTCCAGTAGGACATCATCATCATTATCTAATACTGAGAAATAAATTACAACATTTGGGATTTGGAAGTCATAAAAACTGATTTTCATACTCCATGTTGGAAATGCAAACGCTGACACATTTTCTCAGCAGTAAAATAGGGTACATCACAATCACTCAAGAACCCAGGCCAATATTCTGTAAATATAAATGCAACTGACTGACTGACTGACTTTCTACCCCACCAGGACATCACACAAGCGATAAACACCTGATGACAGTGTGCCACCATGTGGATGAGGATCGCCGTGGAGAGGTCCCAGAAACCGCGTTCAGACAATTGGCCATATTCATGGCCTGCCTATATTGCGGCCCCTGGCTAAAGCCAGGGTGGGGCTTCAAATAACAAAAAATGTCGTCTTAAAAAGGACGAAACTGCATAATAATAATCTAAAAAAAAAAATGCAACTAGATGCTGGCAATACAAACTTGAGTCACACTATCTCCGTGGCGAGGTGATTTCGGTCACAGGCATGAGGCAAAGTTAAGTCTGATGTGATGTGTATAAGGAGATACTCCGTACCCCACTCGAGCGCCAGTCCTTCACTGTTCTGGTTTTACGGAACCTCATGCAAGACTCCTGCTGCACGTCCCCGCCGTGTGCCACGGATAATGTCTCAAATGAGCATTAACAGAGTTGGCAGGGGATCTCGGAGCTGGCGGCCCCTAGAGGTGTAGTGACCTTTCTGGCTCTCACCAGCCCGCCCCCAAACGCATGGGTGAAAAGTCTAACAAAACTCAAGGATTGCTTGCTAAATGTACCATCAAATGACAACTCTCGGTTAAAATTCTGAAGCGAATGGAAAACTGTGCTGCTGAGACTCAACCCTGACTGAGAGATTTACCCGCAGCCAAGACGAGGAACATCTCTTTTGGGCGACTTCTCGCAGCAAGATCCTACCTACGTACATCCTCTGTCAATCCTCACCGCGTTGAGGTACACCACGGCAGCAACTTTTCATATGCTGGCTAGGAAACAATGTCCGACAAAGTTATACCCCACGGCACACATGCAAGATCAAAGTCCGACGATCATAATTCGTACCGATTAGGAAAAAGTCCAAATGTCCGTATCCACTGGTCCTACTCGCCCGAGTGTTGGGACCAAACAGGTGAAGCCACGCCTGACGCATTTTGCTTCCCCATTCTGTCGTGCTAAGGGCACAGCTGAAGCAACGTTAAAGGTGTCTAACGTTAAATGAAAAAGAATGTACCTATTTGTGTGGCCAGAAAAGTCCTGGACCTGCAGGCGGCTGCCCGCTGATCTCCGGAGAGCGCAGCCTTGTAGCGCGGGAAGCTCAATACACGGTTGTGAGGTTAAGCAGTAATGGGCAGGACGTGACAATTCCTTGGGTGAGCCCAGAACCAGAGCATCATGTGTCGGCTCTGCATTTATGGAAGCCTCCTTGGATGGCGGGGAATGCCCATGATCTGCCCCTGCCTTTCCTTGAGGGCTGAAAATTCTACCTAGGGCTGCCCTAAGGACGACATTCCAGGGGCCACACCTGTTAAAGGTCAAAGAGGACACCACACAAATGAGGCAACATCTCGACCCACACAAAACAATGGCCACAGTCAACCTAGAAATAGGCTTGACGTCTTCCCCTGAAGTCGGATCTGCCAGAGAGGCGGGGAACGAGAACTGCAAACAAATAAGCCAGTAAAACGGATGTACACGCAAAACTCAGGTCAAGGTAAAAGCCAAAAGTCCATTTGGACGAACAACCGCGACTTACCGCCGGAATTCACAGCCGGTGAACAAGAAGAAGAAGAAGAAGAATACTAGCTCCATATTATGCAATGATAAAAATCGACTATCATTACTGTAGGCTGAATGAATCCAGTAATATTAGTTAACAAAAATTATAATCATCCGTTCATTTCTGTGGCTTGTGAGGGAAACAAAACATAGGTAAACATGACAAAACTTGTCATAGATGACTAAAGCAGACTAAATCGGTGCAAGAAGACTGGCTATTTCATAGAAAATTAGCTGGAAAATCTAACCAATCATAAACAAGTCTGCAAAAGACTTGGGGTGTGGGTTGACTGGGGGCCTATATTCGTCACATTTCTAGACTTTTTAATATATGCAATTATTATTTTTCACATTATATAACTCAAGTCATGTTATATTTCTATACTTTTTAATACATGCAATTATTATTTTCCACATTATATAACTCAAGTCATCTTTTTTAACCTTGTCAGCTTTTCATCCTTTAAAAAATTAGTAAACTGTGAAGAAATTTAAATATGTGTAGATTTGAACAGCCAAATCTAAAAAATTGTTTCATGAATTCATTTTTAGGACTAATGTAGAAATCAAACTAAAAATCTCTAGTGAACGTGTCCATTTGTTTAGATGAAATGATCTGTGTAAATTCCTTCAAAATAAGCAAGTTTGGGTTGGTAAAACCTATTGACACTAAGTGCTGCAGTTGGTAAAACCTGTTAACACTAAGTGCTGCAGGTGATAAAACCTGTTAACACTAAGTACTGCAGCTGAACATCACGTGCATTCTTCTTCTTCTCAAAGTCCATACTGTGTGGCGTTGGTAATCATGATATCCACAACCTTCTGTCTCGTGTACTTTCAATCAACTCTGACACAGATGATTTTCCAAGCCATGATGTCAAACTGTCCAGCATCTGTTCTCTAGGTCTCCCTCTGCCTCTCTTCCCTTCCAACTCTCTACCGTCACGATGTACTCCAGTTTTCTCCTTCCCATCATTTGACTAAAGAATGTAGATTGTCTCTTTCTAATGTGGGTAATCAGTTCTCTTCTTGAGTCAGTTTCTTTCAAGACGTCTTTATTACTCTTTTTATCTGTCCAATGTATTCTCATCATTTGTCTATAAAATCACATATCTGCAGCCTCCAAAAAAGTCTTCACTATTATACTAGTAATAAAACATTAAACTAGTAATATTCTCTACTAGTGAATTTGTAGCTTTAAATAAGTGTAGACTCCAACCTGTGGGGCACTTGATCAAATTTGCCATCATTTCTGTTCTGGGATGAGGTGTGGCAACGTCTGACTGTGGTTGTGGGGGTACAGGGTTCATCTCCAACGCCTGGCTACTGCTGAAATGCATCAAAGCTGCCTGCCTTTCTCTATCTCGTACACCCCTGTCATCTGCAAAGTCAGCAAGTCTCTAAATGATCAAAGAATAATCTAAGAATACAAAATAAAAATTTTACAAGATCTCTGTTTTGCTCTAGGAAGGATATATGAGTTATCTAGAGGATTAGTTTATGTTTAATTATGAAGAGACACGTTTTTTTTAAAGCAGAGAGCCTACTCTAATTTCAAGATTTATGTGTACTGCTATTAATCATATTCACAATAAAGATTAGCTACAATGATCTCTGAACACTTTCTGCATCCCACTCTGAATATAAAAGCCGAATATTACTCTCTGTCCACATTCTGATTTAACCCTCCCTCTTGCTACCTGCATCAAGGGGGATAGTTTAATCTTGCCAAATATTTTACTTAAAAAAATCTTTTTAACCCCCCCCCCCCCCCCCCCCCCCCCCCCCCCCAGCTTCTTATGATGTCTATATCTGCTTGTTTTTTGTTGCTATGACACATATCATTGTCTTCAGTGTAACCCTATTTCCAAGACCTCATTTCAATTTTCTACTTGCCTATTGCTTGCATACACTTCTGCACCGCATTACCACTGTCTTTAAATTAAATGAGTCTCAAATGTCCACACAACACAAAATGAAATCAACAAATTACTAGTTAATCAGAATGAATAGTCCAGCCACATAACTTTCAACAGTTACAAAAAAAATGTCGTAAAATTTTAATTTACATGAAGCAAATGTATAAAAGAGTTAGTTCTTGCACACAAACTATTCAACTATTACATTTTTTTATGCCAGAAAAGCTGTGCTTCATTATTAACAGTCCAAAAAAAAAAATTCAAATAAAGTTGAAATAGAGAGAATGGACTTCTCTGCTCAGAGTTTTATCCTATATGACTCAGTCTCTCTCTGCAGAACAGCTGGCTGGCTAGACAGATTGTCACACAAAGCCTATTTCTCCAGTGACAATCCCAAGGGATCTCTATAAAAATTGCACTTCAAAACCGACAGATGCATTCATGAAATGAACTCATGACCTTCAGAGTGCGGGGCAAACGGCTCGCCAAATCACAGAGGAGCTATCCGGATTTAAAAAAAGAAATCAGGTAATGGAAATAAGCATATCTGAAGAAAGAATGCAAGACATTTTATATATAAAGAAAATTCTGTGTTATCTCAACACTGCCTGAATATTTCCAGGTTCCAGCGATTAATTTAAATTTACTTTCATTTTAGACAACTGAATTTTGTAAACAGCTAAGAAGTTATAATACAAAGTTTAATTTACTTAAGAGGTCGACAATCCTAAACATGTCATAAATGCAAAGATAGCAATAACAAAAAATGGCATGCTGTAGCAATATCACTATGTGAATGACTTACCCAGTTTTTGCAAATTAGGCAACATGTGAATCAGATATAGTCTATAATCAGGTTCACTTCTAGTGACTGGGTTTAACCTCAGATCTATTTCTTTGAGATTTCTGTTATATCTCAGGCGTTTTAACTCTTCAAGGCTGCTCACATTGTTGTAATAACTTTTAATAAGGTTAAGGATTTATCAGCTGACATTTTACTATGATAGAAAACCTGTAGTTGAGAAGGGCCTATAGGCACACCCATTAGGAGAAACTAATTAGTCTTATGTTTTACTATGTCTATATGTTGATTATATTGTAATATTTTAAGATCTCAATCTATGGTCAACAATAATGTGGCACCTGTCACCCTCTCCTGGAATTTTTCCCCATAACACAACTAAAATAATTAATGCTCCTTACTAACATAAATCTGATTTGTGCTTTCAGAGTCAAACATGACCCTGTCTTCAGAATACAGAAGAAAAATAGCCACGACAAAATGAAATGTTTGTGTAATATACTAGGCGTAATAAGGGAAGACTGACAAGAACAAAGATATCAGGAGCAGTCAGCATAGAACCAGTACTGAACTGACACAAGAGTTGGCAACAAGCACATGTGCCTGCAGAACTAAGGTCATTGCACTAAGGGGAAACTAAAGTAGGTAGGCATTTAGTCAATCTCAGCATCATCATGATGACATCTTTAGTAGGCCTATGGATGGAAGATTTATTCTATGCTGCCATCAACCAGGAAAAGATAGGTGTTTTATGGTGCTCTCTGGACAATAGGATTTTAGAACTGATGAAATCATTAGAAGAAAGAGCAAACTCAGGTACCAGTGTCTCATCATTTGTATACAGAAGCCTATCCTTCGGGGACCATGCTAAGGTAGTTGCTGTAAAATGCCAAAAAGAACTTAGTGCAGTTAATATTATGGCAGCTATGGACATAGAACAATGAATGCTGCTTATGACATATCAGAATTGAATCACCTCGTTGATGGAGTATGGACTGGGATTGCTTGCTGCATCGAAGAGTCAACTAAAAGAAACTTGAATGCATACAGACAGGAGCATTTCACTAAGGGCACACAATGTTTGATTAATCTTAACCAACAGATCAAATGGTTTGGCCATGTAATAAGATTGGCAACAGACAGGACACCATAGAGAGCAACATTATATAGATACAGAGTTAACACATTCCAGAGGTCGACTACGCAAAAGATGGACCACAGAAATATCGGATTAAAAAGTACTATATATGAAGCGAACAGAAGGGTCCATTCTAGAGACCTCTTCCTGTCCTGATGCTGTAAGGGATTCCAGGAGTAGAGAAAAGAAGAAAGAAGCAGTAGTAGTTGATTATTACCCCACCAGGACATCACACAAGTGATAAACACCCGATGACACAAAGTGCCACCACGTGGATGAGGATCACCCGTGGAGAGGTCCCAGAAACCACTTTCAGCCATTAGACCATATTTATGGTCGGGCTATATTGCAGCCCCTGGCAAGAGTCAAGGTGAAGCTTCAAAATAGAGAAAAATTGCATCTCACAGGGAGACGACAGGATGTTAGAAGAAAGAAGAAGATTTGTGGTTTGTGCTTGAAATATTCAGCTGAAAATTAAAAGAAACAACGTCAGTAAAGGCAGTCAAAACTGCTTCTCAAAAATATTCTGACTGAAGCAGACCAGGTTGAAATTATTCCTTGGAGTTTTACAGCAGAGTTAAAGGATATTGTGCTCCTTCCTTTCCCAAACCCTGGGGTAGTCGATCAAATTAGTATAATCTGATAAGGGAGACCAATAAGCACTTTTTAAATCCCTTGAGTCAAGGGATTTAAAAAGTGCTAATTGGCCTCCCTTATCAAATTATACTAATTTGACTGTTTAATATAAAAATAAGTAGGTCATTCATTGCCCAGGCTACAAAAACACACTTATACATGTATATCATGCACTAATTTTGTATAAACACATAAACACAATAATTTTCCTTTAATTTGGTATACAATGCTGTAAAATTTACTAATCATGATGCATACTGTTACACCATAAATCAATTATGTGCAGGCTCACTATTTCTATCTGATATAATTACTGTCGTCCCCATGTGGGATGCAATTTTTTGTTATTTTGAAGCCCCACCCTGGCTTTTGCCGGGGGCCCTAAAATATGACATAGCGAGGTTTCCGGGACCTCTGCATGGGTGATCCTCGTCCGCATAATGGCACCTTGTGTCACCAGGTGTTTATCGCTTGTGTGATGTCCTTGTGGGGTATAACTTATCTACCTATCTGATAAATCCTTTTTACATTATTCTCAAAAAATGTATGAGAAAGTTAAGCTAAATCAGCCTCTCATCTTTCTTTTTCTCACAGCCAGAAGTTCAAGGATACAGATTAAGTTTTTCTAATAGTTGTAAGTGTTCCAATCCCTAAACAAATCAAAAAACAAAAAAACATATACACATTAAGAACATTTAGTAACCACATATATAAATTTATCAACATATATTCTCTACAATAATGCCAGGTTTTGTGCAATGGAGCAGTGGAAATCACCTTAACTGGTCTTGGAAACATAGATGCATCAGTTACGAGTCCCATCAATTGATGCTCAGGCTGCCTCTGACAGTGGGAGCCATTTTCAAATGTAACTGTTCAGGTAAGCTGCAATTACAATTCACTCAGAGGAGGAAATGTAATATTTCCTATCTGAAAATGCCTTTCGTGAGTTTGAGAAACAATCAGCAAAAACAAAAAAGATGACTGGTAATAAGAAACCTGCAGTCTACATTGATGGTCAAAAGCTGGAGACAGCTGACCATTTTTTTTATATCCAGGATTTTCAGTCAATAATAAACTATCATTTGACTAAGAAACTTACATCAGTAATGGTAAGGCAGCAAAGAAATGTGTTTTTTTAGCCATTTTCTTCCTCATACCTTTGTGAATCTAGTTTTCAACTTTAACAGCCACAGAAACATAAAAACAAAACTGCATTGTCAGTCTGATGTGGAGAATGATCTCTATTGTTCCTTGTCCAACATCAGAACAAATATAGAAGACATCATCAAGACTAAAAACAGTGTCAACCAAAACAGTGATATTTGGACATTAAATAAACAACTGTTGGTGACTGTTTTTTTTTTAATGCTCTTTGAAAATTTGATTTACCTGGATGTTTTTCTCCAAGTTCTTAATAACAGTGCTTGGGATTTTCTTTTTGTCACCTTCTTTTAATTACATTACATTTGTATTGTGGGGGGGGGGGGGGGGGGGTGGTGGTGGTGGCGGGGGTTCCCCTGCCATATACCTAGAAGGGGTAGGGGGAATTACCTGGTCTACAGCCTTTTTGTATTGCCAATCATTTCTAAAATATATCTTTCTGCATGTCACGACTTCCAGCTGTCTAATATCTTCTTTCTTGATTTCTTTCTGCCTCGTTACTAATAGATACACATACGTTATGTATCTACGGAGAATTTATTCACAAATTCTGAAAAATGTTGAAGCCAGGTTGATTGCATGAAGATAATTACAATGAATCTTCTTCTTGGTGTTCTCTGGCTGTAAACTCCAGCAGAAAGTTTGCTTTTCATTCACTTCTTGACTTTGGTCTTGTCCCAGAACATGAGTTTTGTGTGCACATCTGTTTTACAGACCTAGCTTATTTGTAAGCAGATTCTTGGTTCCTTGCCTCTCAGGCAGATGCACACCGACTTCAAATGAAAAATACCCGTTAGTCAACTTTTACGACCTGCTTGTTGGGAGACTATTGAATCTGACCTTGTTATCTGACTTATTGATGTGCTCATGGTTCTCTTGTCTATTGGCTGCATTAACACCCTAGAGTAGTTACATTTTATTTTATTTTCCTAAATGAGCTTATGATGCATGATATACAGAATATAACTGCTGTACGAAAGTTGAGTGGTTGGAGGTGTTGTGTGCAAACTACGCACTGAATGAAACCAATATTAAATGACTCAAGTACTATGTAATTGGTTATGCATTTATAAATAAAAACATAGAAATTGTTGTTAGAAGACTAGCTGCAAGCAATTTGTAATGAAGTAGTTGGAGGAACAGGATGTGTCAGTCCAAGCTGCATGGATTTCTGAAGGAAGATTGGATTTGGATGCCACTAAAGATAATAGCCTTGTAGTGCTAGGATGCTAGTCGTGTCTGCCTTGTGCAGGAATAATTAACAAAGGAACAGAGTTGTATCAAGCGTTTCTGCCAGATGTAAATTGTTTGGATTGTTCAAATGGATACAAGATTAAGGATCATGAATCAACATATTGTTGGAAGGGATAGATTTAAATGACACATTCCGGTAGCTGTGTAAACTGAATGAGTCAGGAGAATAGATACAGTACTGCATTTGTAACTGTATGTCTATGGATCTAATCCATGGAAGTAATTGAATACGATTTTGTCACTGGAGGGAAGGTGAGAGATAAAAATAGAGGGAGTTGATTTACTTTCTTTGGATTCTTCAATTTTTGTGTACTTTTCATGATTCATCAAAACTGTTATTGGAATACACCAAGATGGTACAATCAAAGATGCTGCCTTTTGTTAGCTTTGCTTACAGTTATTGTTCAAGTTACATTTGTTGGTCCTAGAAGCATTGGGCAGAATGTTTCTGATTGTTCCTGTTGGACCTCTTTCACCGCTTACTGTCAAATATCATACATGTTAACATATTAGACTTGGTCTTGCCATTCATTGTTTCCTGAGATTCACTGCCTTATCTAGGTTATCAATCGATGTTCTTACTTATCTCTACTCATATCCTTGGAGACTAACGCACAAACCATCATGGGAACTAAACATCTCAGGTGGGATTCCCACCCTTTTGATCATTAGTCCCTTCTGACCATTTCAAGTAGGACCACTGTCTCAAGCTACACTGTTTGCACGTTTTAGAAGGGTAAAAAATTATATGGGCTGTAAGCCCAATTTGTGATACTCTAAAAGTAAAGTTCATACATATGTTCAAATAAAACACAAAGAAATTGGTTGATATAGTCTTAATCCATACCTGCAGAGACTCTAAGGCATTTCTAGAAAAATCCAGTGATTTTAGGCGTGTAAATTTCCGTAAGGATGTTCCTATAGATACGATCTTCTCATGGTATGTTCCAGGCAGAGACAGAGATTTGATATCCTCTGGGAAAAAAATATAAGTTTATCGTACAAAGTCAGTCTTAGTCAAGGTTTCAACTTCACTGCAATTGGGACACCTGATGCTTGCCAGTGAAAATCAAATTAAATGCCCCTCACTGTCCTATTTGAAAAACTGATGAATTAACCATTAGTCCTGGCACAATCCAGAAATATGTGCATGCAATAAATGCATATGGCATTTGCCAGAGGTGCCAAAGCCACCAGTCACCACAAAAAATGCAGCTTGTCGTTGATGGAAGAAGTTGGTCACAAAAAGTTGGCTATACAAACATCGACATTCTACACAAGTTAAACCTCAAGAAGAACTGGTTCTAAAACAGCATCCTGTCCTGAAAGTTGATGTATTTTGGCCACAACAAACATCACAGTGGCTTGGACAAGACAGTGATGGAGGGTGCAGTTTACAGAAAGTGAAGGAGGGGTTGACCTCCGCAAAGACGGATACAGGTCATTGAAGATGCACTGGTACTGAAAGCACATGGGGCTGGAGAGCAGGCTGGGGAAAGGGATACTTTCAGGGTGCCATGAAGAGAGTGATGTTCTTCTTCTTCTTCTTCGCGTTCACCAGCTGTAAACTCTGGCGGAAGGTTCTGGTTGCTCGTCCATTACCGAACTGCAGTCCTGCTTCAGAACCTGAGTGTTGCGTGTGCATCAGTTTTACAGATCTTTCTCTTGAATACAGACTGTTGGTTCCTTGCCTCTCCGGCAGATGCACTCCGACTTCAAAGGAAGCTCCCCAATTAGTCAACTCTTACGACATGCTTTTGGGGAGGCAGTGGGTCTATTCTTGTTTTCCCCACAATTGGGCCCCGGAACCCACAGGGGGAAGTGATGTTCTGTAAAGGACATGCTGACTGATGATGATACACACAAAAGGTATTTCACCAGCCCACAGGTAAACCGGCTACTAGCCATACTGAAAACTATGACTGTGCCACCTCCGAGTGTATCCCCCGTGCTAATTCGCGCGGCACGGAGGGGGCTAAATTAGATGGCTAGGATTCACGAGCAGCAGCTACCCCAGCTCCTGCAGCGTCCTCCAATGTATTTGAACGTGAGTCCTAGCCATCTAGTTTAGCCTCCTCCGCGCCGCACGTAGCGGGGGATACACTCAGAGGTGGCACTATAGTCGCCGGAAAAATTATCAACACTTTACAGGAGCTACTTCTTCTGTCGGACGTACCAGCGCCATCCTGGCGGCTGCTGGTTTGATGTTGTCCTGAGGCCACATGCGCGAACATTACACCGCGCATTACAGCTGATCATGTCTCGCCCAGAATGAGCATGTTGAACTGACTTTGTTTCGTGCCTTGTCCACTTCGTAATCGCACTACAGCTAGGGGACTAAACTCTGACGAAGCGGCCGTCGCCGTCCAAGTAGCGACCGTTATTGCATGGAATGCCTAATTATTTATTACACTAGACATGTCAACTCAAACAAATAAACATTATGGCACTCTTCCGAATAACGGCCTCTTATTATTGACTGTCCAAAACATTCCTTTCAGAGCCTCACGGTGTTCAAGGGGTTACAAAGAGGTCAAGGGGTTATAAAGAGGTTATACAAAATATGGAACAAAAAAATATGGAACAATTCGTACCAATGCCGTGAAATAATTGAGGCCATCATCATCAGTTTTCACTTCTGCGCAATGTTTAAAGTTAAGCGCCGTGGGGAGAAATAGTTTTCGATCGACTGAAGTGACGTGGGGAGGAATAATTTTCGATCCATCGGAGCGCTGTGTCTTGAAGCCATCATCATCAGTTTTCACTTCTGCGCAATGTTTAAAGTTGAGCGCCGTGGGGAGAAATAGTTTTCGATCGACTGAAGTGACGTGGGGAGGAATAATTTTCGATCCATCGGAGCGCTGTGTCTTGAAGCTATCATCATCAGTTTTCACTTCTGCGCAATGTTAAAAGTTAAGTGCCGTGGGGAGATATTATTTTCGATCGACTGAAGTGACGTGGGGAGAAATAATTTTCGATCCATCGGAGCGTTGTGTCGATGGGTAGCAACGTTAAGATCATCATCATCAGTCTTCACTTCTGCCGTTAAGAGCCGTGAAATAATAATTGAAGCCATCATCATCAGTTTTCACTTCTGCGCAATGTTTAAAGTTAAGCGCCGTGGGGAGAAATAGTTTTCGATCGACTGAGGTGACGTGGGGAGGAATAATTTTCGATCCATCGGAGCGCTGTGTCGATGGGTAGCAACGTTAAGATCATCATCATCAGTGTAGCAACGTTAAGATCATCATCATCAGTGTAGCAACGTTAAGATCATCATCATCAGTTTTCACTGCTGCCGTTAAGCGCCGTGAAATAATAACTGAGGCGCTGAAACATGTGTTTCCCCCCCCCCCCCTTCTTTTCTCCCTCCACACAGTGGAATTTTTATAAGAAAGATAAATAAGATACACACAATATATATTTATATATAATACACAAAGCATATTCAATCAGATTATTAAATTACAAGATGAAGCCAAATCAGGATTTCAGAAGGAAAAAAACTGTCGGCCTGTTTCTCTAAATATCTAATGCATTTGATGTATATTGAAGAGAGCGCTGCGTTATACCTGCAACAATATCATATCTACTTTTATGGATCTAAAAATACCAAGATGTGTAGTAGAAATGACATAGCAGAGAAGATATAGTTGGCTACAACTTATCTAAACACAAGAGGATGTTCAGTATCAATGAAGTGTGTACCACCTGCTAGTGTGGTCACTGAGAAAATGAAATGACAGACGAAAAGAATGAAATGCAGAAAAATTTAAAAAAAAATACAATACACTTTCCGTCAAAGAAAAGTGGCAACTCTGCCAATAATATTTGACAGTTATTTGTCGAAATTGTGGCACAACAGTTGTAAATACAGTCCGAAAACATGTTCTTTGTGACTGTGACGCCACTGAAATTCGGCTAAATATGTATTAAACAATGCACGATTAGTGCCGCCTTGGAAACGCTGTTTCCTTTTGACTTGCATCCACAGCCCTTCAATTGTTTGGGTGTGGATGTCTCCGTGTACACGGTCAACAAAATTAATAGCATGAACAACAACGAGATGTTCATATATGCCATTGTTGAGTTGACAAAGCCTCGCCAGGCATCGGTGACAATCGTCGTTCCTGGTAACACATGCTCACTTATGATGCGTTCCAATGTTGTCGCATCTCGCCTATTAACAACTTCCAACCAGCAACAACCACTACCATGTTCAACTAGCCCAACTACCCATTGACCACGACGAAAGTAACCACGATGGTACTTGCGGTGGAAAAAATAGCTCTTGACAACTTCAACAACCACTGACTGTCCGTTAGCATCAAATCCTCCCAACTGAGGGTTGCTAAGCAGCAGCCAGTTGTAACACTCTACCCGAAAATAATTGTTATAGTTGACTATAGTATCACAGCTTGTCAATCTCTCAAAAAACATCACATTTTCAGCTTCACTTCGAACAACCAGTAAAACATTACCATCACAATTCTTTCAGTTGGGAGTTCACAATTAGCGAAGAACGAACCCGTCCGTACACTGCAACGAGTATTACAGCGACGACATCGCCAAGAGAATCTATCGGAACATTCTAGCCTTGACACTAATGACATCTGACGGTTGCAAGACGAACAGTCTACTGCAAGCTATTGCAACCACTGTAGTTTGTCGTTCATTATTCTATATAAATCATCAGGTCTGACATCTACAGCTGCCAGTTGATCAACTTGTAGAATATTATTGCTTATCTGTGTCGGAGCCGATGGTCTGCCTGCCATAATTACAAGTAGCTGCACAAATTATCAAAGAAATATTTCCACTTTATTCGCAACTTTTGACGATAAGCAATTAATTATCTACGCAGGTGCACAAATTCGCAAAGAGACTGTGACGAGGTGCATTCGGTGAGTCCAGAATTCCTTCTAAAAGCAACAACAACAAAAGTACACAAGTCCAACAGAAACCTTTACAAAGTGAAACAATGAGGTAACTGAACAGCAAACCCAAGTGATCTTCCTAGCAGCGATCAAACTGTCTGACCAACTAACAGCTTATCTCAGTGGAATTTAACGTTAGCTTAACAGCTGGACCAGGGAACGCATCTACGTTGAAGAATTATGCAATCTTCCAGTCGGACTGACAGAAGACATGACCATCTGAACTTGCGGACAGGCAGGTGGCTAATTACCACGGGTTAGAGTTGAGACGTAGCGGGCATTCTCAGATCAGCCGACAACTTTGATGCCCAGAGTTCAAACAGGATAGCGGGTCCAGTTGTCTAAGCAAGCGAATTTCGCACATTAATGTGATACACATAATCTACCTAGTGATGTCTAGTGATGTTACAACATACTCGTAATCACAAGGGCGGAACTTGGACAACAGGGTAGAACATTTACGGATGCCTGTGACCTGATTGATTCTATTATACTTTCATACTGTGCCAAAAGAGAAAATCTAACCATTTTTTGAAAATAAAAATTTCAAAAATGGAAATATTTGAACTACTGCATGTAAACAGTGAAAGTAGGTGCAAACATTAGTTAAGCAATATGTAAGTAACCTGTAGTCTTCATCTGTTATCATCTTACTAAAAGTATATCTATATCGATAAACGCCTTTTCCCTTCTCCCGAGGATACTCAGTCAGCTCAATATATTTCACGAGTCATTATTAGGCTGTATCTGTTTAACCAGGGACTATTACAACCAACCAATAATCGACTTCTGTAACAATAATAACCACGTATTGATGCCCTTCCAAGTAGCGACAAGTCACACACAAGACATTTTTTGTGGGTTCCAAGGAGAAAAAAAAAAAGAATTGATCCACTGCCACCTGAAAAGAATGTAGTAAAAGGCAACTAATTAGGACTGCTGAAATCAGATGTGTTGGGGCGAAAGGCGCAGATATCACAACCTAGCACGAAAGGCGCAGATATAGCAGCATATTTGTAAACCACAATACACTATGCCAACCGCCATTTCAAGGGCGAAAAAAAAGAAAGGAGATTAGCTGCCCGTGACATGACCATTGAGCATTTCGTCGCCGCTATCGCAGCCTAGCTGTTAACTACAAGACCGAGCGAAAGGCGCAATCGCAGCCTAGCTGTTAACCACAAGACCGAGCGAAGGGCGTAAATATCGCAGCCTAGTTGTAACCACAACACAACGTGCAAACCACCCTTTTAAAAGCCAAAAAACAAAATTTGCCACGGCTATCGCAACCTATCTGTTAACCACAAGCTATCGCAACCTAGCTGTTAACCACAATACCGAGCGAAAGGCGCAATTGCAGCCTAGCTGTTAACCACAAGACCGAGCGAAGGGCGCAAATATCGCAGCCTAGTTGTAACCACAACACAACGTGCAAACCACCCTTTTAAAAGCCAAAAAACAAAATTTGCCGCGGCTATCGCAACCTATCTGTTAACCACAAGCTATCGCAACCTAGCTGTTAAACACAATACCGATCGAAAGGCGCAGATATCGCAGCCTGGTTGTAAACCACAACACAACGTGAAAACCACCCTTTCAACCTAGCTGTTAACCACAATACTGAGCGAAAGGCGCAGATATCGCAGGTTGTAAACCACAACACAACGTGCAAACCACCCTAGACCGAGCGAAAGGCACAGATTTCGCAGCCTAGTTGTTAACCACAACACAACGTGCAAACCACCCTTTTGAAGAAAAAAAAAAAAAATGTTTTTGCCCGCCGGAGAATCGAATGCCCGATCACCGGCGTAAAAATTATATAATAAAAGAAAGCATAGTTCGTAGTGTTCCTGTTCCATATTTTTAACTACATGACCTCTCAAGTCCCTAACTACGACCTCTTGAGGCCCTGAATGGGGTTTCTTTTGTCTTTGAATAATAAGGGACCGTTATTCGGAAGAGTGCCCTTATTATAATATATAATTATTGCAATAATTAAACAGCAAAGTAATTCGAGTGTACTAGACTAAATTAACTCGTCATAAAGACTTGATGTAATGAATCAAATTATAGTGTGGTGGCTTCTAATCATGGATTCTTTCAGTTTCTTTTCTCTCTCACTTTCACTTCCAGTGACCAGTCTTGTTCTAACATGACTCAAAAGGCATCGTAGGAGTTAGCCAGTAGAGACAAATAATAGATTTTACCATCGCGAGTATGTCAGTAGTGCGTACAAGTAAGATAATAAAGTACAGACTCGTGCAGTTAAATTTCAAGAAATATTTTAACATGACAGTGTATTTTTTTTAAGGGTAAATACATACCGAGATTTTCATGAGTAAGATTTACACGACTGCGAATTAATGATTCGGTCAAAGTGAGCGCCATTTTGTTCCTTACCAACAACCCAAGCCCATTACTGCTATAGTTAACTCCAAGTCACAAGAGTTGGCAACAATCACATGTGCTTGCAGAACCAACGTCATTGCAATAAAGGAGAAACTGAAGCAGGGATGCGTTTAGCCACGGCCGACTCTAGCATTGTGGAGCTGGCGGTGATTTAGCCTATCTCAGTATCACCACACTACCAACCACTTTTGGCAAGGTGCTAGAGAAGATTATTATTGTTAAATTACAAATAATATTGTTGGAAAGGGAAGAGCTCCTGACATAAGGAAAGATACCTAGTCAAATGCAGCAACTTTTTTTTTTTTTTTTGGGGGGGGGGGGGGGGGGGGTTGTTCCATAACAGACAGGAGACAATTGTGGCAGCACTTGATCTTGAGGATGCCAACATTAGTTAGATATGATATTTTGGTATCTGCGCTCAGGGACAAAGGAGTTTGTCCGTGGCTGGTGAACTGGATAGCAGCTGTCCTGCATTCACGTATGGTTGCCATTCGCCTGGGCACATGGACCTCATAACCATGTAATATTGCACCGGGACTACCCCACGGTTGTGCAATTTCACCGGTGCTCTTTAATGCACATACAAGCAAGATTTTAGAACATGAAGGTGTTAAAATGAAATGACATTTGCAAACGATATTCTTGCGTCTAGGCAGGGGAAACAAACAGCACAGGAGCCACAGGCAACTGTAGACAAAGTGAGTGACTGGTGTGCGGAGATGAGTGCTGTCACCATCTCAGAAAGGGCCACTGTTTTATGGTCCTGTCTGGAACAATAGATCTGTAAAAGCTAATGTTCCAAGCCTCACAATTATTGACAGAAATCTCAAAAGAGAAAGCAGACTGGAGTACGTGGTTATTATTTTTGACAAAATCCTATCTTTTAAGGATCATGTGGGGGCAGTTACAACGAAATGCCAAAAAGGACTCAATGCTCTCAAGATTATGGCAGTAATGGACATGGAACAAAGAATTCTGTTCACAATGTTCCAGCATGTGATCCTGTCAGTGATTGATTATGGACTCTGAATGGTCATCATATCAAAGAGTCAGGTGATGAAACTTGATCGCATAGAGAATGAAGCCATGTGGGTAATTCTGGGATGTACAAGAGATATTCCGGAAGTATGTATGCAGTATATACTTGCACTGCTTACTTTTGCAGATAGGCTCAAAGTTTTGACAGCAAAGTCGTATCTCAGAGTAGCTGCAGACAAGAAGCACCTCCTGCATGAATCCCTGGGTAGCGCTAAAGGTCGCAGACTGAACAGAGGAGGATCTTGGATGGCGCAAGCTGAAGACACAATTAGACAAGTGTGGAGGCTTGGTAAATTTGGGTGAGGAGAGGAGTCAGTCAAAAGTATCCGAGCATGAATGAGATTTGTATAGAGTTCTAATCCCCTTAGGACGTGAGTGCAGAGACTGGCCAGCTGGTGCTGCAGAATCAGAAGTTGCTTGCCGCTTGGTTGTTGTACCCCAAAAGGACATCACACCAGGGATAAACAGCCGGTGACACAAAGTCTTATGCAGTAAATCGCTCCCATTTAAAGTCAGAAAAAGGGTGTTAAAGTGTTACATAGAACCTATTCTGCTGTATCTTGGAATGTCACTGAACAAATTAAGAAGAATTTGGAAGCAACAGAGATGTGGTTTCTGAGACGAATACCTTGGACAGCCAGAGTAACTAACAACGATTGCTTGAAAGAGGCTAATGAAAGTGGATTTCTATAGACATTAATAAGAAAGAGACAAACACTGTTCTCTGGTCACGTAATGAGAAGACAGACATTGGAGAATACCGTGACAACTGGAAAGATCAGTGGAAAAGGAGGTAGAGGCAGACCAAAAGAGATGATACTGGATTGACTGAAACGATGGCATGGAGGGATATCAAGAGAGCTGTTCCAGGCAACCAGGGATCATGATCTGTGGAGATGCATGAGCGCCTATGCCAGTTGACAGGGCACATGATGATAATGATGACACAAAGTGCCACCATGCGGATGAGGATCACCGTGGAGATGTCCCAGAAACCCCTTTCAGCCGTTATGGCCACAAATAACGAAAAATTGTATCCCACAATTAGTAGTAGTAGTAAATTTTACCCCACGAAGACCTCACACAAGCGATAAAAACCCGATGACACAAAGTGCCACCATGTGGATGAGGATCACTCGTGGAGAGGTCTCGGAAACCGCGTTCAGCCATTAGGCATATTTATGGCCGGCTTATATTGCGGCCCCTGGCAAGAGCCAGAGTGGGGCTTTAAAATAACGAAAAAATTCATCAACAAGGGGGTTGTTGGATACAGCATCCCACAAGGGGACGACTAGAGTAATCATAAGGTGAACAGATTATTCATGACAACTCCTGTCAAAAGTGATATGATTATCTACAAGGTCTGACAATTTAGTCATGAGACTAATTCCAAAATTAAAATAATCAACAGTTGAAGATATAACCTGTATTTTATTCGAATTAAGCTCCTTGTGCATTGATACAGCAAGTTGCACGATCTAACAAAAACACTGGAACTACCTCTGTAATTCTTCTGTTGTTATGGCACTTAAAGAAGATGTTACGGCCCTTTGGATGTCATAAATATCATCAAAGAAGCATATTTTAAGTGGTCACTTTAATTTGGGGAATAGAAAATAATCACAGGGAGACACATCTGGGGAGTAAGGTGGATGGTTGAGAACAAACACTTGTTTGAGGCCGAAAATTCCTGTGCAACTACCGCCTGATGAGCGGTGCACTGTCATGAAGAAAGAGAAAAAAAAGCCAGATGTTGAATACTCAGGTCGGACTCGGAGAATCCTCTGCAATGGACATTTCAAAATACTTAAATAAACTGTGGCTGCGACAGTCTGTCTCTCTTGAATATATTCTTTGTGAATAACTCCTTTGCTAAAGGCACACCAACATTGTCTTCACTTTCGATTTCTAAAGACGGATTTTTAGCCTTTTGGTGATGATAATGACTTCCACTGAGCACTTTAGCGTTTAGCTGTGGGATCATAGCGGAAAATCCATGTTTCATCTTCTGCAAGAATCAAATTAAAGAAATGTTGTTTTTTTTCTTTCTGTGACACATTTTGATGATGTCTTTTGAGTACTCAGCACGCTGATGTTTTTGGTCATCAGACAAGGAATGTGGTACAAACCGGCAAGCAACTTTTTTCCAGAATTTAATGTCAGCGTTTTGCTCCATGCTGATTACGTAACAATGCACCTCTGTAAACAGATGACTGTTGAGAGGCAGAACGAAGTGCACGGGGGTTCATCGCAAAAGCAAGTGGACGTTGCTTAGTGAAACAAAGCCTGGCACATGATATCACATCTAGTTTGAGAATGGTGTTGGAGGCAATCAGTGCTGCTTTCGCTGGCTTGAGAATCGGTTGTACACACATGTCGTAATTTTAACTGACTCCCAGAGCATGTTGAGAAAGGCGGAGACAGGCATGCTCTGTGAAGAGTCGGAAGCATCGTTTCAGAGATTAATGGTAGTTGGCTTCCTTTGAATATTTTCTCCAGGTTGTGAAGGTGTGTTGGGAAATGAGCAGAAAGGTAGGCTGGCCAGCTCTGCACCATTAGATTGTGAATTGATGTATGACAGATTAGATATTGTGAGAGCCCTTTGGGAGCGAGTGAACAGTGTGAAGGCACAAATAGATCGTTACAGTCTGAGGAGAATTGCGCTGCTGAGAGTTACCAGGGGATCTGGCCGACGATTAGCACTCAAGGGAAAGGCGAGACGGATTTACAGTTACTGGTGCCATCAGAATTAGGAACTCTTCGCTTGCTGCTGAAGATGGTGATGTGGTGTTTATGGCAATGTCTCGAGTGCTGTGATGTTGATTCTTAATTCAACATTCAATATCATCACTCCCCGTTAGGGTTCCGGGGTTCCATTGTGGAGAAAACATGAATAGACCCACTGCCTCCACAGCAAGCATGTTGTAAAAGTCAACTTATTGGAGGCTTCCTTCATAGTTGAAGTGCACCTGCCTGAGAGGCAAGAAACCAACAGTCTGCACACAAGATATGTAAAACAGTTGTCCACGCAACACTTGGGTCCTGCAACAAAGCCAAAGTACAGAAATCAACATACAAACACGTCTTTCAGCCGGAGTTTACATCTGGGGAATGCAAACAATATCATCACAATGCCATCTTGGGTCTGCCTATGGATGGGAGATCTATTCTATGCTGCATCAACAAGAAAAGATAGGTGTTTTATAGTGCTCTCTGGACACTAGGATTTAGAGCTGATGAAAACATAAAACGAGAGAGCAAACTCAGGTACCCGTCTCTCAACATATGTATATAGAAGCCTGTCTGTTGGGGACCATGTGAAGGTAGTTGCTGTAAAATGCCAAGAGGAACTCAGTGCAGTTAATATTATGGCAGCTATGGACACAGAACAACAAATGCTGCTAACGACATATCAGAACGTGGTCATTTTGCTGATGGAGTATGGACTGGAATTTCTCACTGTATCACCAAGTCAGTTGAAAGAAACTTGAAAGCATACAATCAAGAGCATTTTACTAAGGGCAGACAATGTTTGATTAACAAATACAGAACAGACATGCTTTACTGCTTTTCAACTTCAAGTTCCTATCGATATGGCTGGAGTATTATAATGACAGTCCTCACGAACCTTTTTTTCTTTTAAGAACGAAAAAGGTGCTAGAACGCATTAAAAAAAACCATGGTTCACACTTATTAATCATTTTAAGTCTCCAAAATGAAAACAACTGCTGTGGATCTCCAGCACACTCTCTAATTCACCTCAAAATGTTTATTGCAGTAGATGTAGCAGAAAAATGTTTTATACCAGCAAGGGGTGGGATGGGGCTGGTTTTCACCTGTTACTGATTAAGATCCAGATCAAGAGCTTATCACAGATGTTCCTGTGGAGAACATCAGGTGTGTGAGATAATGAGCAGACTGACTAATTTCAGTATGTCTGTCATTCGTTTGTTTCTTCCTTGTAGTTTTTCTCCTCTGATTCTGGAACTTCTGGGTGTCAGGATATGTTTTAGTAAGTAAAGGCAGCTGGTACATTTACCCTACCAGCCATCAAGTGTCAGTGTTTCTATGGAATATTTAGCTAGCACCATAAGCCTAGTTATCTTATATTATTTTATAAACACAGTAATGTTCACACTGCCACAATATGTTAATAAGTCCGCAAAATTGTAAAAATTATTCTGTTTATTCACTTAATAAATAATAATAAAAAAGTCAATTTTATTCAAATTGATTTACACACAACAACATGAAAGTGAATTGACTTAAAGTTGTAATGACTGAGACAGCTGAATTACTGTTTAGCAGAGGTACATCACACTGCCACAATATGTTAATAAGTCTGCAAAATTGTAAAAATTATTCTGTTTATTCACTTAATAAATAATAATAGAAAAGTCAATTTTATTAAAATTGATTTACACACAACAACATGAAAGTGAAATTAATTACTGTTTAGCAGAGGTACATCTTTAATATACAAGTAGATACTGCTAATTAAATAACTGCAACTCTTCTTCTTCTACTTCACGTTCACCAGCCGTAAAATCCGGCAGAAAGTTCTGGTTGTTCGTCCACTTCTGGACTTAGTCTTGTTCCAGAATTGAGTTTTGCGATCACATCCATATTACAGCTATGGCTTATTTTGTATCCAGATTGCTGTTTCCTTGCCTCTCTGGCAGATGCACACTGACTTCAAAGAAAACACCACTAACTAGTAGACTTTTATGACTTGCTTGTTAGGGAGGCAGTGGGTCTATTCTTGTTTCCCCCAAAATGAGGCCTCAGAACCGACACTTGGAAACAGCTGCTAACTTCCATGTTTTTTCTCGTTACCTATCTTAAACATAATGTGACTGCTACAATATTTCATCATAAGTACATTAAAAGAATAGCGTAAAGAACAGACTAATAGTCAGAGGAGAAAAAGTACAAGGAAGAAGCAAAAGAATGACAAACATTCTGAAATTAAGAAAGACAACAAAATCTTATTTTCCAGGGTAAAGTAACAGGATATACTCATGTGGTGTCAAAGTCATGGATATTTGCTATTTTGTGATTGTATGGTCTCTAAACCTTCAAGTGTTGCACGTTAAACAACTAGCCTTCTAGCAACAGACTAAGAATTTCTGGTGCAGTGATTTCGGTCAAAGGCACTAGGGAAAGTTATGGCTATTGTGATGTGTATAAGGAGATCTTTGTACCTCACCTGGGGCACTAGTGGGCTCTGAGCTGGTTTTATAGAACCTCTTGCCACCTCTGCATTTACAGCAACTTGATTATCTTCCCGACAGCTTCCATCAAGTGTGACAACACAGGAAAAGGTGCAGTTGAGCACCTGAGGTACAGATATCCATTCTTTACCAAGGTTGATGTCTGTAAGACTGCAGACCTGTTTGATATCATCCTCTGCCCTACCGAGCCATGATTTGTCCCTTTTTAGCCTGCTGCCCTTTTTCTTAAAAAGAACAGTGTGCAGAGGGTGTTTCAAATATTTGTCTATCTTCAGGTATACAAGAGTCCTCCAGATCTTCATCCTATGGTGCATTGTCAAAAAGTCAAGAAGATATCTCCCTTACGGGTCTTTGTTATAACATGGTCGGCGTGGTCTTTGAAGTACAAACTGCGATCAAATTTCACACCCAGAAATATCATTGGACGTGTTCTTCTTAAAGCTTCGCTACTAATTTCCACTACATGACGATAGACAGAAATGTCATCAGCAAATGACAGAGTACTACCACTCCCATTCAACTGCTGGTTGGTTATTCAGTGGAAAACCTTTGCGGTAATCCGTGACAAATGGTTATCATGTCTGAGGACCAACAACCACACCTCAGCAGTCAACCAGTCTCTGGAACAGTGCCGCAGCTAGCCAGCGAATGATGAAGGGAGATATTTTAAGTTGGATGAGGATCTGTACATGTTGTCAAAGGGTACTCTGTTGTAGCATTTTCTAAATCTAGTGCAACTGCGAGTCTCTTCTTTTCCCTGAAAACCTTTGCAGACGTCATGGGTGAAAACTGCCGCATTGAGCCATGTTTCTTTATTACACCCGTACCCTCCAAGTGCGGACGGTAACCTGCCAGTCCTTTCCAAATCATCAATGGGTCTATGCACTACAATTTTCTCCAGAAATTTGCCCAGAGTGTTCTGCATCATAATAATTCTGTAGTCGAAAATCTTGGAGTGGTCTTTGTTTGGTTTTTGCAGCGGTAGTAAGTAGCTGTGTAACCACTCCTCTTGGATCTGACCACTCTAGATGCTGCCGTTGAATTCTCCTGCAAGTTTTGTCATGTCGACCTTTGACATCTGCAGCATATTAGCATATCAGATGCCATCACGGCCTGGGGCAGTGTTGTGTGACTTCTTGAGCACTGACCATATGGTCTCAGTGGTGATAGCATAGTCATCACTCAGCTCTGCCTTCTCGCACAACTCTGAGAGTGTCGTCTTAACTCTCAGTCTGGCTGCCTCATCATTCTGGTCAGGGTCAGTCTGCTCTAGGTAACGCTGTAGAAGGGCCTGTCCTTTGTCTGCATCAGATTTCTTTCATGTCAGATCTGTGCTTTAAAAGCCCGGGATACCATGACGTCAAGTGGTGCCATTCATTGCATGATGAAGTCGCCACAATGTTGCAAGATACCCTTCCCAGCAAATCTTCTTATAGTACTCGTTCCATTTCTCATTCTTGACCTGTGTTGCACATAGTTAAAAGGCCATGGTCGTTTTTTTTAACTTTATCTATCTTTCAGGTCATTCAGGAAATCTGGCTGTGATGTGTTACACTTTCTGACCTTCTGCCACACCTTGACAGCCTGCCTCTTTTCCAGCCATGCCCTTTCAACCTCTTCATCCCACAATGGTGGCTAGGTCCATTCTTTCCACTGCTTACTGGGGGGGGGGGGGGGGGGGGGGAACGGCATTTCATTTACAATGCTAAACCTTGCTGAAGGCATCGTGTCCTGTGCTGTCATACTGAAAAGCATTTGTTCTGTTTTCTCTGGTTGCTTTACCTTTTCTTCTCAACCAAGAGGACACAAGGCAGGCAATCGCTGTCACGGTACACGTCTACGAAGAGGAGCTATTGTGGCTGACACCAGAGCCAAGTCAATGACACTGTTAGAGTTGCCTGCTCAGCAGATACAAGAGCATCTTCTAGATCTTCCACCTGTTTACTGGTCACAACATTACCCCACTGGCTTCCTCTGGCATTGGAGTCCCCGCTGTAGATGTTATTTCTTTACCCGGACATAGGCAAAAATTGCCATTGATGCGCACCAGCCTTCCCTTTGCAGGCATAAACATTTACGATCGTGAACTTGACAGGAGTCAACAATCTGACTGCATGCACCTGCAGGGTGTCACTGCTAAATTCAGAAATAGTGACCTCACAGCATGTTGTCATGAACCCTGATGACCTGACTGAGATTACGTCAATTGTAAAAACATTGAAAACCAGCTGCTCTAACTTCCTCGTCGCCAATGCGTGTCTCCTGCAGGACCACAATGTCACTGCTGTGAAGCCACTTTTCGACAATAGGTCACCTCTAATTAATGGAGGAACAGTTCTAATACAATATCTGAACATATTTCATACTCAGCCTGTCACATTTTAACCGGTTCCTGCACACACCAGCACACCTGCCGGCTTTTGTTCTTGTCGTTTGTTTGCCATATTTGAAATTACACTACAGGACGCTGGTGAAAACACTGAAAGGGGACCAGACACGTGTGCATATACTCCGTAGCATGGTCCAAAACCAGTGCTTCACTAAGAATCTCACATTAACCGCTTATAACTGGTAAAAGGACACTCTTCATCCTAATGGATGAAAAAAGTGTCCCGCTATCATCAGTCATAATGTGATTTTGTTTGCGTGATTGAACATATTTAAGGGGGTGGGGGCAGCCACTGAGTTTTAAAAATGTCTAAATAATTAGCCACAGTGCCAAATAAAATACAATGAAATCAGCCAGAGGCAGAGTAAACTTAAAACTGTATTGATCAAATCAAAGTGGTTAAACAAAGTGTCAGTTTAAAGATGATAACAATAACAAAAATAATCACCATTTCCTGCTGGCTGACTCTGGGAATAACTGGGTTACTAACTCTTTTTTATTCACTTTCCCCATTACATTGCGTGGAATGGAGTCAACACATAAAAGTTTAGTTGGGATCTGGTAGGGTGGCAGGTGATCAGCTGCCCACTCACGAAGATCTTTCAACTCCAGAGTATATCCTGGTTTCAACACAACTACAGCGGCTACCTGGAAACAGTAACACAATGTAGATGATGGTTTAACTGATATTTTGCATTCAAATATTTTAACGTGGAGACACACTTTTATATACGCAAATATTTTCTGTACAATTACCAGTGATGTGGCAGCATAGTGGGATGGTGAACATTTTACATTTGCAATTTGTGTCTTTATAAGTGCAGCAGTCTCCTTAGATTACTTCTTCCACCATTGAGGATACCAACTTCTTCTTCTTCTTCCGCCTTTCTATCCCCCAATGGAGCATAGGCCCTCAACCAACTCATGCCAAGTCGTTCTATCCTTCGCCATTGCATGGAGCTCTCCCCATGTTCTCCCCATCTTTCTAACTTCATTCTCCAGCTCTCTTCTCCATGTGTTTTTTGGCCTTCCTTTATTCCTATGCTCCTGTGGGTTCCAATGCAAAGACATTCTAGTTATGCTGTTCTCCTGTTTTCTCAGTGTGTGTCCTATCCAACGCCAGCGTCTTTTCCTCACCTCTTGGTCCACTGGAGCCCGTTTAGTTCTCTTCCAAATCTCTACATTAGCTATTCTATCGTACCATTTAATTCCCTCTATTCTGCGCAGGCACCAGTTAATGAATGTCTGTAATTTATTAGTAATTGCCTTAGTTGTTCTCCATGTTTCCGCCCCATACAAAAGTACTGATTTGACATTAGAATTAAAAAATTTTAGTTTAGTTTTTCTTTTGACCTCCACAAATTCCCTAGTGCTATGAAAGCTCCACTTGCATTTTGTATTCTTATTTTAATATCTCTATCAGTTCCTCCATCTTTATCTACATTACTGCCCAAATAGGTGTACGACTCCACGTCTTGGAGTATGGTGCCATTAAGAGAAACCACATTACTATTTGCCTGATTTTTTCTCATTATCTTTGTCTTTCCTTTATGGATTTTCAGACCAAGCTGCTGTGATCTCGCATTAAGTATATTTAATTTATCTTGTATCTGATTCCGTGAATGGGACTGAAGAGAACTATTATCAGCGAAGTCCAGATCATCAAGCTGATTTGTAGGGGTCCACTGAATTCCATTCTTGGTGTTAGCAGTTACTGTTTTCATAATCCAGTCTATAGCCAGTAAAAATAAGAAAGGTGACAAAAGACATCCCTGTCGCACACCTGTTTTTTTAAAAATGTATCTGTTAGCTTTCTCTCATGAAGAACTCGACATTTCATGTCTTTATATGTTGCCTTTACAAAGTTGATAATTTTCTGTGGGATTCCATAGTGCCCCATTAATTTCCAGAGAGATTCCCTATCAATGCTGACAAATGCTTTTTCATAGTCTATAAATCCAATGTAAAGTGGTGGGTTCAGTTCAATGCTTTGCTCTATTATAATACATAATGTGGCTATCTGGTCAGTACAGGATCTGTTTGACTGAAAAACTGCCTGTTCATCTCTTAGCTTTTTATCAATAGCATCTTTTAATCTTTCCAAAATAATTCTACTTAATATTTTTCCAGGAACTGACAGCAACATAATTCCTCTATAGTTTTCACACTCCTGTAGATCACCTTTTTTTGGGCAGTTTCACAAGATATCCTTCTCTCCAGTCTGCTGGTATTTCTTCGGTCTCCCAGACTTTACTAAATAATATATGTAGCAATTCTGTTGATGTGTTTATGTTGACCCTGATGGCTTCAGCTGGGATACCATCTGGGCCTGCTGCCTTTCCTTCCTTGAGAAGATTGATAGCTTTTCTAATTTCCTCTTTGGATGGTATCTCACAGTTGATATCCAGTTCCATTTCTAAAGGCTGGATATCTGGGGGAACCTCTGGACCTGGTCTATTTGGAAGCATTTCAAAATATTCAACCCATCTGTCCATTTGATCTTTAGTAAGTACCTTTCCTTGACTATTTTTGATTGATTCAGTTGACTGACTATATTTACCTACTAATTTTCTTGTGTTACTGTAAAGTTCTCTGAGGTTTCCTTTTGCTGCTGTAATAGGATACCAATTACAAATGCTATAAATATAATTTTTGTGTGTGGGCTAGTTTTGTAATTTTGTCTGGGAAAGTCAAAAGTCCTCAGTAAAACTAAGAGGTCTTTTTGAGCCAAACACACACACACACACAGTATGTCTAAGATTGAGGTTAATCATGTCAGTAAACAGATGTAGTCAGTGGGCTGCAACATTCTGGCTGCAAATGTTAACACCACGATTAACAGACCACAGAAAACATTTACTTCTATGCTGAAAATTATACAGCAGTAGGAATATGTATTTATGCAATGCTGTCGTATTATCTGTCTACGCAGTGGCATTCTCAAATATTATGAACACACGTAAGACCTTTTAACCCTTTCAGCCCACATAATTATCAAAAACCAGATTTCGTTAAAAAGAAAAAAGAAGCATACTATTAAAATTCTATAAAACTATCCCCTAAGAAACTAAAGGGAGAGAAGAAAGTACAGAGGAGATATCGAGTCTTGGTCAGTTTTTACAAAAATCCTAGGGGAGGGGGGTGGCCTATGACTACTGAGCAGACTGCAACATGGCGGTCTTCAAGTCGCTTAAAAAAAAAAAATTTTTTTTAATATTTAATTTATCACATTAAGAGAAGTATTCTCTAAATAAAAATGGAGAAAAAATTATCTCCTTTCCTTTTCTCTGACAATGAGAAACCAGTTTTAAAAGTATGCAGTGACACCTAGTGACAGCAAGACTAGATGATCTGGCATTGAAGCATCTCAAATGTAGCAGCTTTGGCCATCGAGAGAAAAACTTACAAGACAGTATCAAGCAGATCTACCCATAAGAACAACAACACTGAAAAATACTCTATACTTTGTACCTTGGGAGCAACTCAGCAACACAGTATAGATAATAAATTCAGTCAATGGATTCACGGCTGGTGATGAGTCCAGTGACCCAGTGACCCAGCTGCTCTTAGTAGGATCTGGAAAAACTATCCTGAACAGTCCTGGATGCCTACACAGGTGGATCATGCTTACACAGATGTCAGTGATAGATTAAGGACTTGGTATGCTTACCATATCAAACAGTCAGCTGATGAAACTTGAATGCATACAGAAGCCATGCGAGTAATTCTGGGATGTATAAGAGATACCCCGGTAGTATGTATGCGATATATACTTGCACTGCAGATAGACTCAAAGTTCTGCAAGCAAAGTCATATCTAAGAGTAGCTGCAGACAAGAAGCACCTCTTGTATGAAGCCTGGGGCAGATGTAAGGGTCACAGACTGAAAAGAGGAAGGTCTTGGATGGGGCAAGCTGAAGACACAATCAAACATGTGTGCAGGCTTGATAAATCTGTGCAAGGAGAGGAGTGGGTCAATGTGTTATGCCGGTGTGTTGGGAAATGAGCAGGCAGAGTAGACTGGCAAGTTCTGCAACCCTTGGTGGTGAACTGATGTATGACAAGCTAGACGTTCTGAGGGCCCTCTGGGAGCAAGTGAACAGTGCAGAAGCGCAAACAGATCATTACGATCTGAGGAGAATTGCTCTGCGAGGAGTTACCAGGAGATCTGGCCAAGGCTCATCACTCAAGGGAAGGGCGAGACAGATATATAATCAGACAGTTATGGTGCCATCGAAATAGGAACTCTTCTTTGTTGCTGAAGATGGGGATAGAGTGCTTACGAGGGTGTCCCGAGTGCTATTATGTTGATTCTCAATTCAACATCAACAACATCAAGAGATATATCACCAACCAGTGTAATTAAAAATGGGGTGCTAGCATCTTTATCACATACCCAGACAACCACCACCATACAAAGCATATACCCACTGGTAAATTCTGTTCCAACTACACAGCAGATATGGTAGAGCAGGCAGCCGAGACACAACACCAGTTCTGACGGCCAACAAGTGGTCATCTCCACAGATACGCTGTCGGTGCTCTAAGCCCTCAAACGCTCTCACCTGAGATCTGAACTTGGTAAGGTGTTTGCTCAAAAGCATACTGTTCTCCAGTGGGTGCCATCCCACTGTGGTGTAACAGGCAGCAAAACCATGAATAAACTTGCTAAGAAAGGGGCAGAATGTGAACAGAAAGAGAATGCAGTAACATACTTTGGGAAGAAAAGAGCCATCCAGTCTATCTGAAGTAAACAGAATCTGGTCAGATATGACTACCACTTACTTGGCTGACAAGGCAGGTCATTATTCTATGCCTCAGGACAGGTTACAACAAACTCAACAAGCACATGTATAGTTCACCACTGTGCTCATGTGGGCTGTGTGTGCAGACTGCAGAACATGTCCTGCAAGAATGTTCCTTGTATAGCCCATTAAGAAGGGAATACTGGCCCATTGAGTCAATACTGCATTCAAAGTTGTAAGGAACTAAAAGGAAACTCCTAAAACAGCCAAGTTTATCAGAAGAACTTGTCTGTGGGTGTAAATCAGAAAGCGAACACAAGAAGAAGAAGAAAAAATTGTGCTGACATAACTATGTGCAGCAAAGTGACATCATAGTAAATTATTCGTAAAATGTGACTAATTGGAAGTTTGCTAAAATCGGATGTGTTTGGCAGAAATGTACAGATATTGCAGCCTAGCTGAAAACCACAATATAATGCCCCAACCTCCCTTGTAAGGTCCAATGCAGAAGAAGAAATTAAACTGTTGTAGTGGAAAACACACACACATACCGATTTGTTTTTCATGTTAGGAATATTTATCAACATCACAGGTAATAAATGAAAGGCAAATTTTTACAAATGTATTTACATAGTTTCAAACAGGTTTAAATGCTTAGCTTAAGAAACAGTTTTAAAAAAAAAGATACCTTTTGTCCCCATGTTACATCAGCTAGTCCAACGACAGCAACATCCACAATCTCTGGGTGTGATAGTAACTTCTGTTCAACATGCAAGGCACTGATCTTGTAACCACCACTCTTGATTACATCTACACTCGTACGTCCAACAATACTGTACACTCCATTGGAAAATTTGGCTGTATCACCTTTGACAAAAATCAAAGACCAGTGTTTACAGATTTACAAACACTAAACTAAGTGACTCAGTGAGTGTGACCTGGTAAGTCAAGGCAGGCCCTGGTGATGCTTTCTGCTGTTGAAAAGGTTAAAGGTTTACATAGAGACACTTTCATGTTTATGTCAAAGCATGCATCAGCTCTACGTAAGCAAAATGCCAAGCTGGCCAACAAGGCCACTGTTTACAGAAGGTCAACAACCTGATTGGGCAGATATGCTCAGTGCCTTCAGAGAATCAACCCAGTCAGGGAATGCAGTATCCAGGATGCAGGAAAGATAGATTTTGTGTGTGTGACAATTTATCTGCCAGGTTGTTTAAGTGTTCTTGAACTCTTCCACTGCATACAACTTGGAGTCTGTACATGTTATGCCTGAGGTTATCTCAAGTTAGCAACTTTCAATTCAAGTGACAGCCACTATTATCACTGTCATCCTTGGCCTTCCTCAATGACTCTTCCACATTACACACCAGGAAAGTGACCCAGCTTGTCTTTTTTTTCACCTGTGAAATTTATAAAGTCCAGCAAATACCAACTCTGCAATCAATCATTCTGGAGAACATTGGCATAATATAGACCTTTGGCCCTTCTGGGTATGTTGACATCATAATAGAGCCAGAGGTTTAGTGTGTGTAACACAGTCTGGTAGCTTCCTATGTCAAGGAAGCAAAGTTAAAGCTGACACTGTCTGCAGATTCAACAGCTCAAACGGCTACCCAGCCACCTGAGGAAAGCTGGCATCATCACAATCTCTGTGAATCTGCTGTGAGAACTTCATCTACTTGTAATGTATTCAAAGTGATATATATTCACATTCACTTATCAGAGGTTCTCATATGACTGCTTTTTCTTCCCAAAAATGTACTTCTATTGCATTATTCATTGTTGTGATGTATCATCTGCATCAGCAGCTGTGGGGCACTTGTAAAGTGATGAGAGTGTCAGGACAGAAACAGGACAGCTGAGAAAAGACCTAGACACTGTAACTGATCTGTTTGCTTCATCCCATGGCTGGTGTCTGTGGTTTTATTTGAAATATCTGGGCTCAGTCCTAATTGGCAAGACACAAGCCATTAACAGACTGTAAATTTCTCTATGTGATGTGAACATTGTTCTCTAAATGAGAAGGAAAATCATCTTACCACTGGACAGTTTATGATAATCATGAGGTGCCATCACTGTAGCCGGTTACTGGTGCATTATCTCTAGAATGACACAATTGAAGGTTGTTTTTTTTTAACATTATCCTGTCCCTCTGTGCCCAGTGACCACACAAATGTTCCACCAGGTCTTACTGTACTAAAATACCTTGGTGGATTTTGTGCCTCCTGGCTGTATTAGCGTATAATTATCTTAAAATATTATGTAATTAAACACATTTAATCTTTGTGAATTACCTACACCCCATCTAATCTGCTATTTGGAAGAAAAAAAAATACAGTTTACTGTCCACAAATTAAATGTAGGTTATTAATGTTTACAAAGCTGACCTGTTTTAAACCAACCATCTTTCGTAAATGATTCTTCTGTGGCTTCTGGTTTTTTCCAGTATTCTTTGAACACTGATGGACCTCGAACCAGTAATTCTCCTTGGTCATCTTCTAAACCTGAAAATGACAGTACAGCCAGTTAAAAAACAAACTTCAGCCTCTAATGTGTCTCCACATTGCAGTGCTATAGGCAAGTGTCTGTGTGTTCAGTGACCCTAAGAGCTATGCTGATGGTAGCTTATTTACTGGTCAAAGGAGAGGAACCAGACAAAAAGAGAGGCACACTTCGATTCCATGTCACAAATAAAATAAATCGATACAGTGCTAATCTCGTGGAGTCCCACCAGACAAAGAAGGGCTTTAGGGTAAAACTACTAACTAAACAAACAAGACACTAAAAAAAAAAATTACAGAGGAACGCTGAAAGTGTCTTGAATAAAAAAATTTTTTTAAAGTCTCTAGCAAAGTCTCTTTATTAAGACAAAATTGATGTGTCATGCATCCAAAAGACACATTTCAATGCCCATCACAGATTTGTAGTCCCAGGATATCAAGCTACATGCTAGGCTATAAGCTATGACTGAACAAAGTACAAAGGAGTTCTGATACTCATTCGATACTCAATATCAAGTAGCGAAGTATCTGTGAACTCAAATAAAGAAAGATAAATTATGGGTGCTGATATCACAATAAAGGAGCAGAAAATTAGAATACACCATTTATATAACCCAGAAATAAAGATGTTGCACTTTCAAGAATGACATAAAATACATAATAGTTGGAGACTGTAATAGCTGCTCAGAGATATGGGGATACCCAGATACTGACACCATAGAAAATGGTGGAGGACTGGGAGATAGACTCCAATCTTCATCTGATCAACAAACCAAGAAGATGGTGCAAATATTCCACTCCTGACTTAGCCTTCTGCACAGGAGACATTCTTCGCAAAACTGACTGCTCTGTGCTAGATCAGTTAGGAGGCAACAATCACAGACCAGTGATTAGTGATTAGAAAGGACTATCATCACAGCACTCCAGACAGATCCATAGGTGCTCCAATCTCTTCTTTAAAAGCTCCACAAGTGTAAAATGACTGATGACACCTGTTCAGTGTTGGTTAATGAAACGTTTTGTAACAGACCAGTAAAACTTGTAAAAATTAATTATATATCAAAGGAGGAAAAACCACTGCCTTTTTGGAATTACAAGTGAGCTTATTGGGATAAATTTGCTTTGCTCACAGACAAGTACTGTAAAAACATAAACACACAACATGAAGACAATAGTGGAAAGTCTAAACAAAGAAATACTGTGGGCAGCATATGAGTACATTCTGAGCGGTGCAAGGAACATTTTCAAAGCATTCTGGGCCATAAAACTGCAGATTCTGGAGAGAAAAGTCGAAGGGGCCAGGAAGACAGCAAAGAGAGAACAAACAACTGAAACAAACATTTCACTGAAAGCCATCCCAGCAAAATACTAGAGAACATTAAATTAAACAACAAGAAATTATTGACAAGAAAATCAGAGAACCTGATGGAAACTAGTAAAAGCCATGAACAATAAAGGGCCCAGTAACAAACAAATAACTATTAGATAGCGTAACCACATACTAACAGGAAAATAAAAGCCGCAAATACATTGACGGAATGCAAACCACACGGATGTCACAGCAGAACACGCAAAAAGCAATGAAAGGCATGTCACAGTAACACAGAGAAATCAGAACTTAACATAGAAAATTTAGAGTTCACACCGCATATTTTGCAGATGACCGAGCTATGTGCAGCAAGCCTTATCAGTGTTAGAAGAATAATCAAAAACATGGCTAGTAAATATCAGTTAAAGAGAAAACAACAAGTATCGTATCCTCCCTCTCAAATGAAAAAACAGCCAGCTAAGCTAGTGCTTATTGAATAAATACTGTGTCAAGAGAATAATCCAAAATACTCAGGTGTCACATTTGATTGCCGCTTGATATCGAGAACACAAGTAGAGTCATGTCAAACAAGAGCAAGGCAAAGAATTACAATCATACAAATCCCTTCTGGTACAACATGTGAAGCTGATGAGAAAGTTCTCAAGGAGCTGTATACTGGACAGGCAAAGCCATGAGTCCTTGAATTAAATTTTGCAGTGTGAGTCCAAAATCAAGAAATGCGGATTATAACCTGGGGCCATGAAAACAATGCCTATTAATGAACCAGAAAAGGTCATAGGTTTGCAACCAGTGGAGGACAGAAGAGACAGCAGAACCCAGCAACGAGCAGAACAATTTAGAAGGCTGACAGATCAAAGGTTTAATGATTTAGAAAAGGCAAAACTAAAGCGAAAAATACTTTGTAGAGAATGCACAAAGAAAGATAGAGGAAGATTCTATACTTAACACATCAATATCCAAACCCATGCACAATACACACAGACTTCCCCTTGGAGATATCAGCATGTGTCGCAGGTGACTGACAATGGTCCCAGTAAAGAGAAGGAAAAAAACTACACTCAGAATGAAACAGAAAGAAGAAAAACCACCCTAAATTATATAGAAGAACAGTACCCAAGTAACTGCTGGACATGCATATACAGATGGATCAGCAAAAAACTCAACAGAAAATGGAGGTTGGGGAATTTTCCTACATCTAAAAAAAAAATGGATCAAAGACATTTTCAAGTATCTTTAGAGCAGAGGCATTGAGATCTGCAGCAGAAATGCTTTTGACTGAGAAAAAGTAAGAGAAAATCATAAGTTTATTTTCACAGATTTGAAGTCAGTTGTCACCATACTTAAGAGCAAAAACAATACAGACTGAGAGTTGTACTCCATGGACTGAGTCACTAATTAAAAAAATATGATGGTCAGTGGATTCCATTGCATTACAATGTACCTGGAAATGAAGAGGATGACAAAGGAAGATAGAAGACTACCCTAGCCTGATACAGACTAAACATATGATGAGGCCAAGAGGTTTATAAGAAGTATCTATAGTACCAAATGGGATTCTGAACATTCAGGCCAGAAGATGGATGATGAGTACTACCAACTTGACCGAACAGAACAAGTAGTAATCTTTAGACTATGAACAGGACATAATAGGCTCAAACACCACTTGCTCAATAAGCTGAAGATAGGAGACAGTGATGATTGCAACTATGGAAAGGGTAAAATGACGACTAAAACTGTATAAAGTCTTGGAACTCGTGGTCCCTACAGATGCAGAGTTCCGAAACCATGAAGTTAGGGGAAACAAAATGAAACAGAGCCATCTGTCCATATACTGCAACACTGAGTGGCCCTAGGCATCTTTAAGGCAAATGTCATATGAAACTATAGCGGACATGGAGGTCCGTGCATTAAAGTCTAACATGTAAAAGAAGCAGAGTACTTATTTTATGTAATAGAAATCCCAGGTCTTCTGCAGCCTGCCTACTGCTGGCTTCTAAAGACATAGCCCGTGATGAATAAGATACTCAATATATGGAAGTGAGCTTAAACAGTAATGAGCAGGATGTGACTCCTTCAGTGAGACTAGTACCAGAGCACCATGTATTGGCTCTGCATTTTGGAAGCCTTCTTGGATGGCAGGGAATGCTCACCTAGGAAACACAGATGACCACACAGCAATGAGACTAAATGTCCCACAAAACTAAATGGGAAGGCTAATATGAGCATCAAATGTCTGTAGAAGTCAGATGTTTCTATTAAAAGTGCAAATACTGTGGTCATGGTGAAAATGTGAACAACATATTTACATCTTTGGAGGAACACAGTGGAAGAAAAACACTTTGGTCATTTGGGGAAGAAAAGGACAAGTATGAAAACTTCATACAAATTAAGCAATGGCTCTATAATAGGAAGATATTAGTTTCTCCTTGTTTTCTCTTTTTCAAGTCTAGGATTTAAGATCTTGTTGCAAAACTCCAAACTCAGGTCACAGAACAGCAACAAGGCATCAATATGGCAGCTCAGGAGACTGCCAGGAAGCTAGTTTCTAACAGAATCAATGGTTGTTAATACTGCCCAACATAATAAGAGAACAAATACAATTTAGAACAGTTTGGATATACCCTGCAACATGTTCTAAAATAAAATATTCTGTCTTGTAACACCAAGATTACATCATATAATATGCAACAAGACCAACTGTTTTATGTGGTTCTGAAACTTTGAGTACTAAAAAAAATTAAGCCTTATTACAAACTTCTGAGAACAGAATACTGACAAACATTTCTTTGTCCATCAAAGAGGAAAATAATGCAGAATGAGAAGCAACAATGAAATGGTATGAATGTACTACTGATTAAATATTGCTTGCAGACACAGTTAAATCAAGTCGTCTGGCCATGTGCAAACTGAATTAAGAGAACAACAAAAATGATAGATTACTGAAATTTCTGAGGCACAGATATTGCTTATATCGTTCCATACATCACAGGTGTCAACAGAGTATCACTTTTAAACTGGTATGAAAAGTGAAGCAAGAACTGAGGAGAAGAAAAGTTGGTAAGCTTTGAAGTCTTGTAAAATAGCTAAGAGACCATTCTTTATAGTTTTCTAGGTCCTTAAAGGTGTGAGAAAGAGAGTTGGTTACCAACATTACCTAGAATATGCAAACCTAATACAGTGGGACCTCGGTTCTTGAGTGCTTCCCCTCTGGAACAATTTGGTTTTAAAAAACATTGTCAGGTAAAATATGTACCATCAACATTCATAGAAACGATCAATATCTTCACTGAATTCCAAGTATCTAATATCATAGAAACAACGATGAAACGACCATCTTCACTGCATTCCATTTTTCTTCTATCCACAATCATAGAAATGACCAATATCTTCACTGTATACCAAGTATCTACTGCCAACAATCAAAGAAATTATCAATATCTTCACTGTATTCCAAGTATCTACTATAAAAAATTATAGAAATGACCAATATCTTCACTGTATTCTTCATAGAAATGATCATTTTTTTCACTTTATTCCAAGAATCTGCTTTCAACAATCATAGAAACAACCAATATCTTCACTGTATTCCAAGTATCTACTGTCAACAATCATAGAAATAACCAACATCTTCACTGTATTCTAAGTATCTACTATCAACAATCACAGAAAAAAACAATATCCTCACTGTATCCCAAGCATCTACTGTCAACAATCAAAGAAAGGACCATTATCTTCACTGTATTCCAAGTATCTACTGTCAACAATCTTGGAAACAACCAACATCTTCACTGTATTTCAAGTATCTACTGTCAACAATCTTGGAAACAACCAACATCTTCACTGTATTTCAAGTATCTAATGTCAACAATTATAGAAACGACCAATATCTTCATTGTATTCCAAGCATCTAATGTCAACAATCAAAGAAATAACCAATATCTTCATCACTCCTGGTGAAGAGTGGGTATCTGTGCCTTCAGTGTTTAATTGCACCCTTTCTTGTATTTTCATGCTGGACAGAAGATGCATGGAGCAGAATGCTGTTGTGGTCTATGCAGAAGTCAACGCTCTCATCAGCAATAACTCAGACAAAGTAGATGTACTAATCTACACAGACGGATCTATTATACGACAATCATAGACAATTATACGACAATATCGTCAACGCTGTACGAACTGGGCTAGTGGAGAATGAGGAATCCCTGACACTAACACGATTGCGTGACATGGGAATTAGGCATGGTGATGCACGTCTTTGCCGTCTTCGGGGCCGAGAAAGGAGATGATATTACCAGCTTCTCATGGGGACAATTAGTAGAAGTACTTTGGAGTGGCTGCTGCTTCGGAAAACTGAGCACGCATGGGTATGCCCAATGTGCAGTGACATCAAGTGTGATAACAAAACATAAAATAACATCTTGCAGGGAGTCGGCAGTCCGAAACCCAAGTTCAAGGTGTCTCCATCGAGCCAAAGAACTGCATGGCTGTTGGGTGAACAGTCGTTAACGAAGGCAGGCAGGTCGTTGTAGGGGTGACGCCTGCTGGTGGATGTAATGTCCTAAGTCCCTTTCCCAGCTAATAATGAGAGTACTGCTGGGGTGACCGTTTATTAACCTGCATATAATGCTTCACGTCAAAATGGACGCTAGGCACGGCCACCTTTTTTTTTCCTGCCAGACGGTGGCCGTTGCATTTTTGCTCCATTTGTAGACTGGAAGGATATAGTTTCATCGCCCAGCTTCTGAGTTCAGTACATGGCGTGACACTGTGAGCTACGTGTGTTTTTCGTTGGCACAGGAGCGGAGCAACTATGGGGTGACCCGTATGCTATGAAGCTGAAACTAGGATTACCAGATTACCAGATATTATACGACAACAAAGAAGTGCATGGGCATTCACAGCACGCCCAGCGTGCAGAACAATCAAATTAGTCAGCGCTGCCTTCTCCATGACAACCAGCAGCATGACGATGGGTGTGATGGCAGTAACGCAAGCATTCATATGGCTAAGAACACAAGACTATATCCATGCATGTGTACTTAGCGATTCCATGAGCATGATCCAAAAGATACAAGCGGGTTCTGTGTGAAGGCAGGGCATTGAGCCATTATAGAAGTCTACAGAAGTCATAGCAATGTCTTTATCTCGGAGGCATGCTGGCGTCGATGAAAACGAATAGGGCTGATAAGTTGGCTGAGTCCACCATTACTGCTGAAGGCTAACCCCATGGATCATGCTGATATTATTAATGCCTTCTGAGAAGTGTGACAAGTGGAGGACTTTCGAGACAGCGATTCCACATCACTCACCAGAACGAAAGCCTAGGGAGTTAAGATCGGCATAGCCAAAAGCAAAAGACACACAAGGTATAAAAAAAAGACATCAATCAACAAAGAACTGATACTATTAGTCACTGGACGCTGGGTTTCATATTGAGGGAAGGATCTGAGCACCTAAGGACATGCCTGGAGTGCAATGATCATATCCCAACTAATAAACTAACCAATATCTTTACTGTATTCCAATCATCTACTGTCAACAATAAAAGAAATGACCAATATTTGCACTGTTTTCCAGGTATCTACTGTCAACAATCACAGAAAAAAACCAGTATCTTCACTGTATTTCAAGTATCTACTGTCATAGATAACAGAAATTACCAATGTCTTCACTGTATTTCAAGTATCTACTGTCATAGATAACAGAAATTACCAATGTCTTCACTGTATTTCAAGTATCGACTGTCAACAATCCCAGAATGATCAATAAACATCATCACGTCCATCATGAGAGTGAAGGTCGAGGCAGTAACTGTAGAATTCAGATGTGTGGAAAAATCTCAGCCACACATGTTGTCACAGTATAAGGTTCACAAATCATGCTCAGGTGGAGTCGGGTTTTCTTTGTATGGAATAGATTGTATCAATCCAGTGGTCGCAGGTGGTGAAAGTCACATGGATATTTTGCCCGGGCTGTTCAGCTGTGTTTGGGAATGAGCAGGCAGATCAGCTGGCTAGAAAGGCTCCATTTGGGGATGTACTGCAGCTGCACAAGACAGAGGTGATCTCGAACCTGTGGGACAGGGTAACAGTTGAGATGGAAGATAATGAAAATCGCTATCTCGAGAGAATGATACAGCGAGGAGTGCTGTGGGCTCTGGATGTCACTCGAGACTGGGAGGGAAGGCAAGACGGGTAGTTAACCAAATGACAGCAGCATGGAAACTCTTTGTTTTCTGTTGAGGAGGAAGACAGAGCTAATATGGGCTTGTTCTGAATGCTGTGACGTTGAATCTTCACCCCAGATGAACCAGAAATGACTGTTTTCAAAATATCTACAGCCAATAATCACAGAAACAAGTGATGTAATTATGATAATCTCACAAAGTACTGGACAGAGTTCATTCAACTCATGAGACAAAACTAACATGTGACAAAACGCGAAAGTCAGTTACTGACAGCAAAGACATAAATACTAGTTGTCACCCTTATTTTCAGCATACTCCATACCAACAGGTCTAGACAGTTGTTCCCTTGTAATCTTCCATAAACACAATTCTTCCTCCTTCCCCACTCCCAGACACACAACTCAGAGGCCAACCTTGTGTGACAACTGTGTGCCTTGAGTTTCCTTCTGCTATGATATCGTAACCAAGAGGGCTGTAGATGTTTGGTTTTGAGATGCGGACTTCAACATTTGGCATTGGAGTTCCTACGGCACCTGAACATACAATTTTGAATAAACAGGGTCAGTATATAATACAGTATATACAGGAGTCATTGTAGTGAAGAAAACAGTCCACCTAGCACAGCCGACATTGGTAGGGAATGGATGACGATTGAGAACTTGGCTTATGTTGACCGTTCTCGTTGCCATTTCTCCTACAGTTTCGATGTTGCAAGATTGTGGAAGTCCAGTTTGCAGCCGGAGTTACTGAGTTTAGTGCTCCTGGAGGCACTATGAGCTGTGATTATTGGTTAATGACTGAGTTAAATATTCGTACATAATGGTAATGATGGGTGATGCATTTTCTTTGTTGTGTTCCTGGGGCAAGGCGTGTGCTATAGCTGCTATTTATTGGCTGGCCGTGACTGCAACTTGGCTAAAGACGTGTGGAGAATGGTCAGGAATAGTTTTAATCTACTCATCGCCCAGCTATTCTCCAATGAAGTTGATTTTCAGCGATGACGCCTGGTCTTGCAGTGTGTTTAAGGAGGCATGCACCTTATGGTTTGCCAGATCAAATCATGTGTGTTTTGCTGACTGAGGACACTTTGTATGGCTACGGCATTCACTTGAAGTATCCAGCATATCTGACTCAGTTTGTGACTGGAATCACTGGCATAGGCGGCTAAGCAATTATGGGCAAAGGTCGTTTGCTGTGATGCCGGAACCGTAACGACTAACTAACTAACTAGCACAGCCGCTCAGATATAATCCCGAGTTCTTTGATCTTTATCAGACAGATTAAAAAGTAATGCAGAAGTAATAATGACAAACACATGCTCTATATCCCTTCTAGCAGACACCACAAGGTGTTGGTGATGACTGTTGGTAACACATTACAAAATTAGTCTGACTGCTTCATAGATTATACAAAAGTGTTAGTGTGAATCATGAGGACAATTAAAAAGCGACTGACATGAAACAGCAAAGAGAGGCCCATGCTGCACTGGGAAATAGACTGCTGAATACATATACATTTGTGTGTGTGTGTGTGTGTGTGTGTGTGTGTATAAATATATACAAGCACATATACATATATACACATTCACACACACACACAATCCCATCCCCACCCACCCCTTCCCCCTTTCACACACACAAATATATATATATACACACACACATATTCACCCCCATCATCACCCCCTCCCCTTTTACACACACACACAATCCCATCCCCACCCACCCCTTCCCTCTTTCACACACACAAATATATATATATATATATATATATATATATATATATATATATATATATATATATATATATATATATATATATATATATATATATATATACACACACATATTCACCCCCATCATCACCCCCTCCCCTTTTACACACACACAATCCCATCCCCACCCACCCCTTCCCTCTTTCACACACACAAATATATATATATATATATATATATATATATATATATATATATATATATATATATATATATATATATATATATATATATATATATATATATATATATATATATATATATATATACACACACACATATTCACCACCATCATCACCCCCCTCCCCTTTTACACACACACACCCCATCCCCACCCAACCCTCCCCCTTTCACACACACAAATATATATACACATTCACACACAATCACACACACACCAATACCCACCCACCCCTCCCCCTTTCACACACAGGCACAATATATATATATATATATATATATATATATATATATATATATATATATATATATATATATATATATATACACACACACAATCAAACTCCCATCCCCACCTACCCCTCCCCCTTTCACACACACACCCCCATCTCCACCCACTCCTCCCTTTTTTCACACACACACACATACACACCCCCATCTCCACCCACCCCTCCCCTTTTCACACACACACACACACCCCCATCTCCACCCACCCTTTAGATCTCAGCAGAGGCCAACCTTGACATCTTCTACTCATCCATAATTCACCACTGAGGATGTCCTTAAGGACTCTACCATTATCCATTCTCCAAGTGTGATCCAGCCATCTGAGCCTTCGCAGACTCAACATTGAGAAACTGTCATAACACCTGCTCTTCCCAATAACTCAGTGTTTGCAATCTTTCCATGCCATTTAATACCAAGTTTTCTTCTTAGACATCCATATATAAATATATGGAGACACACACACACACACACACATAGTGATAAAATGTAACAGAGATGTGTGTGTGTACACATGCACACGATTAATGTGCTTTAATATATGCCCATGTAGTATGCTAACAAAATGTCATTGTCTCTAATAGGATTTGAAAACATTAACAGACTTAATTAATAAAAGTAACATGTTGAATTTTTCACACTTTGAGAGTATAAAATATTACAACTGCAGATCATGCTCGAATTAACTGTACCTGGTACCCTAGTTCCATGCAGGGGGTTGGAGAGAATCATGCCGGTTTCTGTCATCCCATACCTCTCCAACAGAACATGGCCTGTGATCTCTGCCCATCGCTCATGAATCGGCTGAGGTAGTGCGGCCGACCCACTTACCATAAGTCTGATGGTAAACAAGAGATGAAACTAAAGAGAGAGCTTACCAATTTATGTTTTGTGTTGTTTTTGAAATGAAAATTGTTTGAATAATTTTTACTTCCAAATACCAAATATCAAAGTGTTTTAGTAAATGCATAAACAGATCTTCTTCTCTCTTCTTCTTCACGTCCCCTTTTACCGCTTGAGGTGTCAAGGGCAAGATATGGTTCTGCTGCTTGCCCTTCTGGCCACCTCAACCACAGACACATGGTGCTGTTTTGAAGCTTTCCATCTTGTTCTGGTCCTAGCTCATGCTCTACGTACTTCGCCTCTTTTCACGTTATCCTTGTATGGAATGGCATCATAAGACATTCTCTCTTAGAGGGCAAACCGTTTGATTTGATGTCTTTGTATGAAATTTAGAATTGTTTCTGTGCCGACTTGTCATCTTATGACCTCATCCGTGATTTGATCTTTTCTGGTCATTCCTGCAGCACAGCTCTACTCACACATCTCATATCCATGGTTATTAATGTTCTTTTCTGGTTTGTTGTGACAGTCTAGAATACAATCTGTAAATAAAGTATACTATGCCCTTCAACATCTGTCAAAGTCTCTATCTCGCAACATCAAGATCAAAATATATTAATTGATAAGACCTGTAATTTTATTTGGCTATGAAACTTGGAGCACAACTAAAAGAGATGAAGCCTTATTACACATTTTTTAAACAAGAGTCTTATGATGAATCTATGGACCCATCAAAGATGCAAAACAGTGGGTAACTGTAGAGTTGATAAGCAACAACGAAATCATAATCTGTTTAGATAACTGGCATCATAAGAGCTAATAGACTGAACTGAAATGGTCTAGGCTTTTCACAGTCCAACAGTTGATCAATACTTTGATTAATTCAGACTGTGAATACGTTCATAAAGAATACGTTCCCAGTTGAAGTGACACAGTCAGTGAGAGCTAGAGTGAGGAGGAGAATTATGAAAATAATAGATTTAAAACTAGATCGATAGTAAGAGAAGGGGGCGTATCCTTCAAATAGCAACATCTGGTGCTTACTTTGTGAATCAAGACTGATCCTACTAGGTGGATTGGCACACAAAGGGGGAAAGATTGGCGCTAGATGAAAGGTAAACCTATTTTCTACAATGTCTCCCAAGTTTTATCTTATTCTAACCACTTGTTTGCATGTAACTATTTTTTGTGTACATCATTTTGGTTTTTTGTGTGTTAGTGCCCAGGAGCTCAGGTTATAGGGACAGTTAGGTTCAGGGCGTCAGGTCTGGTAGGGTTAATATGTTTCTATCGACTCTATCAAAAATGATAAAATCTTGATAGTGAAAAATGGCCTCGGCTTGAATAATTTAGGAAGACAGCAATAATGCAATATCAAAGTAATAGATCTTGCCTAAGTGTACAAAATCAGTGGTATTAATTTGGGGCAGGTATAGAAATTCAAGTAGTTAGGTGCACTTGTAACCACAGATAGAAGAACTGACAAAGAACATAACAGTAAAGGCAAAAAACATTTCATAAAAATGAAGAATATCCTATGAAATAAAATTTTGTCACTGGAGGTTAGAAAAAAAATAATTTGTGTATGTTACATACAAGTCTCAATACATGTCTGTAAGTGTCAGGCAATTAGATAAGTAAAACAATCCTTTCAGGTCTGAGAGATGAATGTTGAAAGAATATTGACATTTCTTGTACATCCAAAATACATAATCTAAATGTTTTGAACAGGCTAAACACAGTGATGATAGTAAAAACATGAAATGTGTGTAGTGACCTGTAGATATAGTCCTTCATGAGACACAAACTAAACTGGCAGAGGAACTCAGAACTGGGGAAGCTCCAGAGATGTGTGCAGAGCCCATCGGCAAGGGGTAAACAGAATTTATAAAAGCATAAAAAAGAAGATAAAGAATGGCTGTAAGATATGCACAACTAAACCCTACTTTCTTTCTAATTTTCCCAACTTCCTGATCATGCAAGACTTTGCTGCAAGTGCCAAATGTTTCCCTCCTCTATATATCCCCACTGATGTTGCCAGAATCTGTGCTGTTTGCTAGAATCTATACTACTAAGTTCCTTCAGATATGACTATACCTTCTTGCTTTTGTCTTTGTTGCTGGGATGGTAAAAGTCATCCCCATGTAGGATGCAATTTTTAGTTTTCCTGAAGCCCCACCCTATCTTTTGCCGGGGACCCTAAATATAGCCAGGCCTGAAATAGGACCTAGTGGCTGAACGGGGTTTCCGGGACCTCTCCAAGGGTGATCCTAATCTGCATGGTGGCACTTTATGTCACCAGGTGTTTGTCGCTTTGTGTGATGTCCTGGTGGGGTAAAAAGTCAGTCAATTGCTGGGATTAATGGTAATTTTACTGAAGTACCAGTTGCAGGGTATTGAGGATGAACAAATGACAACACAGGGGGGGGGGGGGGGGGGGGTGGCTTACGCTTTGCGAGTCTGACTTGTAATTCCAACATACCGCGATCGGAACCCACTGCTGGCTGCATGGATTTTTATCGTGGTATGGGGCACGCAAGTTGACCCAGCCTAAAATGGGTAATAATAGACAGGATCAAATTAATAGTATACAGAACATAATCAAAGAACTATGACAATAATACAGGTTTCTATATTTAAAAGTCTGCAGAAGGAGACTATGTGCATACAGATTATTTCAGTGACAATAACAAAAGACTTGCCTGATTTTTGAGGAAGTAGTCTGACGCACAAACTCAGAAACAATAGCAGCTTTTGATTTTACTATATGCTCATCATAATACTGGATTAGTTTGGCATAGATGGTTGGCACAGCCATGAAGAGATTGATGCTTCTGTCAAAGTGTTCTACTGCTGGAGATGTAAGCAGGCTCCAAACCTATAAAAATTAAGGTTATTATTCTCTATTCTGGGCAGCACTAATATTATATATTATAAATAATGTAAATAATACTGTTGCCAGTTGGCATATTCTTCTTCTTCTTCTTTGCGTTCACCAGCTGTACACTCTGGCGGAAAGTTCTGATTGTTCGTCCACTTCTGGACTGCAGTCCTGCTCCAGAACCTGAGTGTTGCGTGTGCATCAGTTTTACAGATCTGATTCACTTGAATGCAAACTGCTGGTTCCTTGCCTCTCAGGCAGATGCACTCCGACTTCAAAGGAAGCTCCCTAATTAGTCGACTCTTACGACATGCTTTTGGGGAGGCAGTGGGTCTATTCTTGTTTTCCCCACAATGGGGCCCCGGAACCCACACGGGGAAGTTGGCATATTATTTACATGGTTTTATTAAGACAGTAAAAAAGCAACTATCATGCCAAAGAAACTCAAAACAGTCTATGAAACTGTAACATGAGAAAAGAGAAACATTGCCACAAATGCACACACAAAAACTATAGATGTTTAAAACTGTTTAACTCTGAAAGACTTTGCTGTAAATGCAAACAGTAAACTCCACCAGCCTCTGTCTAAAGCAATGAAAACTGAAAGGTAGCAGCTAGGAGATGTTATATATCCTTACTCGCTAATGGCTGTATCAGAGTTTTGAGGTATTTCACATAGATAGCCAGTGAATCAACTAACTTGCTTTCCCCTGTGACCTCTATATGTTGGTCCATGACTGATTCATCATATCCAGGGCTAGCCTAATGTATCCTGAAATCACTCCTCCCCCTACCACTCAGTGGATGTGCTTTGTATTAGGACACAATCCTTCCTACTGTAAGATCCATAAAGTGTTGTTAGTATAGTTAGTGTTTTCTATGTACACATAAAAATGCCTAGTGAGTCAACAGTGTTTATAATTGTACTAAAAAACTAAATGTAATGTGTTATGCTCTGAGAGTCCTCATTACCCAACATAAGAATTAGAATCCCAAAATAAAGTAAAACTGATGGGTTAAAAAAAAAACCTGTATTCACTAAATATAAACAAATAAACTGAATATTCTTGACATATTTTTAAAAAAATGTTTTTTTTTTCAACCACTATCTGAGAAGGAAAAGTAGAGTGCAAATGTGCAGTCATATGTATAGAGATGAACTAAAAAAGTTTATCTGAATTAAAAAAAAAAAAAAAAACTATTAAAAAATGTAATGATGACTGAACATGGAGTCCAATTATTGAAGACAAGAGAAAGCTTACTCTATGAGCATCAAACTTTGGCTCCATGATACAGGCTGCTCCACAAGCTAGTGGGGTTAATAAGACATTTGCAATCCCATGTACATGGTGAAGGGGCAAAATATGTAGAATAGCATCATTTGATGTCCACTCCCAGTTCTTAATCATTCCTGAGACCATAGCAGACAGATTGCCATGTGTTAGAACAACGCCCTGAAATTAAATAATAAATATGGGAATAACATTCAAGTAACATTCCAGACAGATTGCCATGTGTTAGAACAACGCCCTGAAATTAAATAATAAATATGGGAATAACATTCAAGTAACATTACCATAATATATTTCAGTCAATTTAAGATCCAACCTCCACTCTACTTTCTAGTGATTAATGTATCTGCTGCAATTATTAAGATCTCTACTCTTATATTAAAAGATCTGAACATCAAGAAAGAGTGGCTCATATAATAGCATCTTTTTTCAGATACTGAAATACTTTGGCCATATCAAATGTCATAGTGGACTGAAAATAACAGCAGAGTGATATGGTACCAGCAGGGAAAAGGGGGGGGGGGGGTGGGGGGGGGGGGGGGGGGGGGGGGGGGGGGGACGACCAAAATGAATAAGGGCAACGGATGTAGGAGACACCTTGGGCAGGAAAGTACATGAGGTGGGAGAGCTGGCAAGGGGCAGAGTTGCAGGCAGGCTATGATAAGAACAATATCTGTAATGGGCCTGTTCCATGATAATGACTCTTATATTGCTTCAGATTTATTTTATTTACCACTCAGTTTTTGTCTTTACGTCATGGTTTAGATTCCAAAGATTCTTCCACCTCCATTTTAATTAGATCCAATTTTATATCTGCCTCTCTATGTGCCTTTTATATCAACCTCTCCCTGGGGTACATGCAGGTTTTTTTTATAGCGGTACCCAGTAGTGACAGCTTTATGTTTTTAGTGCCACTGTAATAGACATCTTGTGGAGAGTGCCAATACTTTTTTCCTTCTGTAATAAGTGGCGCACCATTTTTTTTCTAGGGTTCTAAAGCCAGCGAAAAGCTGCAGTGACTGCCTCCACCTCCATTCTCAAACTATATGTTGTGGTGTCACATGCCAGGCTTTGTTGCACTAAGCAATGTCTATTCACCTTTGCACACACACAAAAAACCATGAGCTTCATCTGCCTGCCAAGACAGAGCCAGCTGTATAGATTATCACATCACCTAGGCAAGAGCTGTCATGAATGAACTGTTAAACTTCTGATTCTGCACAGCCTGCTGGCCAGTCCCTTCACCCATGGCCTAAAAAACCATACAAAAGTATGACTTTTAGGGGCATTCTGACCTACTTTTCTCCTCGTCCAATGTTATCAAGACTGCAAACAGTTGTGTCTTCAGCTTGCGCCATCCTCTTTTAAGCCTTAGCTTTGTCTACAGCTTCATGCAGGAGGTGTTTCTTTTCTGTGGCTCTCTGAGATATGACTTTGTTTGCAGAACTTTGAGCCTGTCCGTAATAGTCACAGTGCAAGTACATATCACAAACAAATATATTTGTAGGGGTATCTCTTGTACATCCCAGAATTACCCTCACATCTTCATTCTGTGTGCATTTAAGTTTCATCAGCTGACACTTTGATATGGTAAGCATTTCAAGTCCATAATCTATCACTGACAGGATCAAATACTGAAACAATGTGAACAGCATTCTTTGTTCCATGTCAATTGTTGCCATAACCTTAAGTGTAATGAGCCCTTTTTGACATTTCACTGCAACTGCCTCCATATGATCTTCTACTATTCCTACTCTCTCAGTTGCAAGCACAGAGCATGAACTCCATAGCTCTAGTGATAAATCTTTTTATTTAAATATACAGGGGTAAACAAGAGAGGCTGATGCAGAAAAATAGACAAAGCGCAATAGTATCCGTACTCAGTCCCACTAGTAAATGTAGACAATGATCTGTTTCTACTTTTATTTATTTTCTCACTACACGTTCCCCAAGCCACATAATGCTTGTAATCTTATAATATTTTTCATTTAAAAACATCAACATAAAAAAAAAGGAATCAACCTTAGGCCTTCCTGTTGTTCCACTTGTGTATACAATCAGTGCTGACTTCTTCATTACAAATTCCTCCATTCTGTCAAACCATCTTTGTTTTCTTTCTTGGAACACTTTCCGAACTTGTCTTTAGGGTAAAATACCAAGTAAGATGTTATTAATTAATACTAATAAATACAGTGCCCTAACAAAATGATTTAGCATCTCCTATCTTCATTGTATTTTTTGCAGACTGGCTTAAAGGAAAGTGTGTAAGCATTCACAAAATAATCTACTTCTAATTATTCTTTGTACCACTCCACTCTGCTTGCCTGTCACTTACCCCCCAACCAAAACATGACACTGTGGCATTTATGCCAACTTTTTATCTATCAAGGTGCCTTCTCTCTCTCTCTCTCTGTGTTTGTGTGTATGTTGAGCGGAGTGGAGTGAGAATGGAGAGAGTGAAGTAGAGTGAGAGTGGTGTGGAGTGAGAGTGGAGTGGAGAGAGAGAGAAAGTGTGTGTGTGTGTGTGTGTGTGTGTGCACGTGTGGGTGTGTGCATGGGTGGGCATGCATGTGTGTGCGTGCAGGAAGTGTCTATCTAGAACTTTTGACAAAAGCTACCATCAGTATGCAGACTCTTTGCTAATTTGGGCTTGTCCTCAAGGCTGTGATATTGAATCTTTACCCAAATAAATCCAGATATCTAGAACTTTCACATTTATAATTACAGCATATCTAATCTGTTGAAAGAGTGGAATAAAAGGACATTAAATTTAAAAAAACAATTGTTAAGAAAAACAAACAATTAATTTACTAGATTCTTTAGGAAAAATATTAATAATTAATATATTCATCTTTTCATATTATGTCTCTAAGGCCCAACAATTATTATAATACTTACAGAAACATTGTAACAGTTAAATCTTACCTTGGGTTTGTAGCATGGTCTGCCTGAAACCACCTGTTCTTCTCATATGTTCCAAAATCTTTTCGGGAAATAACTTTCACTTTTATCCCTGCAGCCTGTGCCACTAGAATTATTTTTTCTGCTAATGTATCAGCGACTAATAACAAGGAACATTCAGCATCCTTAAGAAAATACTCCCATTCTGAAGGAGGATGCGATTCACAAAGCGGAACAGAAATCCCATTGCATATCCATGTAGCATATTGACCAATGACATATGTGACATCCCGGTCTGTAAGTAAAGCTATTCTCTCTCCATTCAACTTCATTTCTTGGACTGCACCATGTAGACCAAGTATTTCTACAGCCAAGCACATACTGTGGTGCAAAATATCTGCGTAACTGAAGCTTCCTTGTGTGTCTACAATAGCTGTATTATTCAGATGCTTCTCAGAACTTAAGAAAATAGGCTGTGACAGGTCTACTGAACTGTGAGTGTCCCTGATCTGAAGGTGGACAAATGATGGCCAACAACTGTGTACAGGAGCTAGCAAAGTTTCTCTAGACCTAAAGGATGCTAGAGTATGATACACAGATTGGCTGATTCTGCCAATACTTGTGAGCCCTACAATCCTTTCATCACAGAATGGCAATTTCCTTTTTAACAACTGACTGCAAGCCTTTGTTGAATATGAAGAGAATGAAATATGGCAATTCTGTTGGCTGGGTAAATATCTTAATGCAGCAGGAATGCGACTTAAGAAACATCTGATTATTGAGTTTCTTACAGCCATCGTGTATCAGTTTCTATGAAAGAGAAAAATGAACAGACAAACTGCATCAATGCAGATCAAGGAAACAAAATAATTCATATACTGTGACAAAAACCCAGACTATTTAAAATTCACTACATGCACTAACAACCATCACATAACTCAGTGTAAAAAAAAAAATACACAAAGTGAAATTGATGAAAACACACTAATGTATGCGGCGAAGATAACCAGCAAGCAAAACACTATTCTGATCATCATCATCAAAGGCTTGTCAAATGTCAAAAAATAATGAGGCCTCTCGTAAGCGCTCTTTTTCCAACTAAACGTTACAATTCAACTGCTGATATCATTCAAGATGTTTCACAATGTTCTCTTGATGTCTTCCTCGTCTCTCTTTTCATTAATCTTTGTTATTGCAGTTTTTCGTTTCTTATGATGTGGCTAAAAAGGTTGGCTCTACCATCACTCTTCTTCTTCTTTAGCATTCTGAGTCCTTGAGGTTCACTGCTGCAGATATTACCTGACTGTCATCTCTTTTCAGTTGGTGACTCCAAGTGTTTGCAGGTCTGTTTGTATACAAGGGGAAGTTCTATTTCCACAAGACTGTAGTCAGGTTTGCACCACCAACATTATCTAATTTTCATCTGCAAATCTCTGACTCCACACATGTTCTTTCAATGGGCCAAACAAATAAAAATCCAATGGTACTGTATGCTGGGTATTTCACTACTTCAGACCACAGTTTGTAGTGTATTCACCGTGTGGGGGCAGGCAGACAAAATGAATTCCCCTCATATTACCTCTCCACTGTCTTCTTGGTCTACGATCATTCCATTCCTAGTCATCTGACATTCTCTCAATATGCCCCAGCCATTTCAGTATATTAGTCTTCATGATTCAGTTATCAACTGTGATTTAAATAGATTAGGAATTTAATTATTTCTTCTCAATCTTCATCCTCCCACCCAATTTTGCAATGTGATGGGTCCAAAGACTGTTTTCAAAAATGTATAATAAGACTTCATCTCTTTTAGTTGTGCTACTCGTCTTTTCAGTGTTTTGTTGTTGTTATTATTGATTCAGCGGCGCATGAGCTTTCACCCTTTGGCCCTTGCTGGGGTGTCTGTGGATTACCTCCCTCCCCGGGCAGCAGCCAGAAATGCCCTGTACCGGTTCTAAAGGAAATATGGGTTGTGTTTCTGCCTTGCCCTTTGACACGTAGCTGAGGTGGGGCTCACAGTGTGCTCATTCCCCGCCACCAGATTGCCTGCAGGTTTCGCTGAGCTCTTCTTGGCTCTAAGCATGGCCTAAGCATGAGTAGTTGGTGCAAATGGATTGTCACGTCCTGAGTCCCTGTGCCATCACGATAGTTTCCGGTATTCAGGGGGTTAGCATACTTGTTTCCACTCTTAAGGCTATTCAGCACCCCTCCGGCTCCTTCTCTCCCACAGGAGGCAGTGTGGTGTGGTGCACCGGTTTGAGGTTTGCTCTTCTAGATCCATTTTGTTTTGCCTAGGGATTCGCACCCCCAGTGACCAGGACTACCTCGGGGAGGGTGTGGCTCTTCGCCACGCACAATGGTCTTGGGGTAATAGAGGTTATGCTAGGTCAAGAGGCTGACACCGCAATGGACACTCCTTTCGTGAACAGATATTTACTAGACCCTATCAGTGTTTTAAATATATCTTGGTATTACGAGACAGAGACTTTGACTCTGCCATCACTATAATTATTAAAAACATGTTTAAGTTTTTTTTTTTTAATAGGCCATGCCTGGATGCACCTAATTTTGTCTGTCTCATGATGTGCCCCAGAAATGTGGATTGTCTGTCTCATGATGTGCCCCAGAAATGTGGATTGTCTGTCTCATGATGTGCCCCAGAAATGTGGATTGTTTGTCTCATGATGTGCCCCAGAAATGTGGATTATCTCTTATGATCTGAGTAATCAGTTCTCTTTGTAAGTTCACTGCTTTCAATGTCATCCTTATTTCGCCCTTTATCTGTCCATGATGTTCTCAGCATATTTCTCTCAAAAGTCATGTGGATTTGTAAAGCAACATAGTGCAGCAAGGAATATTTCACAAGTACTGAAGAAAAGAATTGGGCCTTAAGAATTGAAATGTTATAGAAAGATTTTAAAGGTATCAAAGACCAAGAAAGGAAAAATCCTGACCTTCTTCACAATCAGAATACTAGGGGAAATGGCTCATAAACAGAATAATTGCTTGTAAATTCAAATACTTTGTCTATATTTACCCTTTTGCCCTGTAATTCTTCTTCTTCTTCTTGTTCACCGGCTGTGAATTCCGGCGGTAAGTCACGGTTGTTCGTCCAAAATGGACTTTTGGCTTTTACCTTGACCTGAGTTTTGCGTGTACATCCGTTTTACTGGCTTATTTGTTTGCAGTACTCGTTCCCCGCCTTTGCCCTGTAATAATATTAAAGAATTACTTTTTTCTTCAAAATTTTGTTAAAAAGAAACACATTCTTATAATTCTCTGAAACATTACCCTAATAAACTAAAGGAAGAGAAGAAGAAGAAGAAAAAGAAGAAGAAGAAGAAGAAGAAGAAGAAGAAGAAGAAGAAGAAGAAGAAGAAGAAGAAGAAGAAGAAGAAGAGGAAGAAGAAGAAATATGTAGTCTTGGTCAGTTTTTATAAAGATTCAGGAGGTTGCAATCTCAGACTACTGAGCAAACAGACAAGTGAAATGGCCACTGAATATTGCGGCCGTCGAATTATTAAAATGGCTATCCTCCAAATAACGGTCCCAAATTATTGAGCCTGAAAATATACCCTAACAGGGCCTCAGTCACGTGTCAATTGCGGACTTCCGGGAATTGTACCGCCACCGCCGACAGCATCTCCCACGCTGCTGGGCGCGGCGTGGATTGGGGCTAAACTAGATGGGTGTGACTCACGAGCAAATAAAATGAAGGAAGCTGCAGGAGATGTGGTAGCTGCTGCTGCTCGTGAGTCCCAGCCATCTAGTTTAGCCCCAATCCATGCCACGCGTAGCGGCGTGGGAGATACTCTCGGCGGAGGTGGTAGTCGCCGGAAGTGCACAATTTAAGTCACCGGAAGTACACAATTGACACGTGACTGAGGCCCTGTTAGGGTATATTTTCAGCCTCGATAATTTGGGACCGTTTTTCGGAGTATAGCCATTAAAAAATGTAAAAGATCCCTTTACATAGCATTAGCACATAGGAGTTATGATGCTAGACTCACTTTTATAGACCAGTCAGCTTTTAGGGGGCGATGTGGTCAACATCAAGCAGGCCACTCTACTTTCCAAGACTTTACCTGTTATCTACTTAAGGCTAAACTGACCTGGGAGCCAAGATCATGTTTTAAAAAAAATGCTTCCATGCGGATTTGAATCCATGACCTTCAGATCTGCAGTTGAGCATCTAGCCAAGTAAAGGTTAAAGGTCCCTTTGCATACCAGAAGCACATCGGGCAAATACGGGCTAGATTCATACTTTTAATCACTAAAATAGTTTGTATTAATTTTTTTGTTGTTGAGCTAAATAATTATTTTAAGCAAAGGGATTATTCACCAAATTCAAATGGAGCAGAGAATTATTTTCCCATCTCTCTATGACAATGGTTAATGTGGTTGTGTTGGGGTATCTACATATCTACTTATTGTCATTCCTTGCTTTAATGTTGTTAGACATCACAGGCATGCTAATGTGGTTGTGTTGAGGTATCTACATATCGACTGATTGTCTTTTCTTGCTTTAATGTTGTTAGGCATCACAGGCATGGCTAATGGTCGGTTCTGGGTAAGTGCGCACTCATTATTTTGCTGCACAGTGATACTGTTGAGTTTTAGCAAGTTGTTAACTCTATCTATCATCTTCTTCTAAATCTACCATTCTAACGACATTTGTGTTTCTTTTATGGTCTCTTCTTGTTATGTTGACTGCTTTTCTCAAACATCTCATTTTACACGTCATCACTAGTACTACTAAAGGTCTGCAGCAAGAGTTTTAACTGAACTTAGGCTGTATACAATTTATATATTGATATACTCTAATTTTATTTATATATATATATATATATATGTATTGTCTGTATATTATTATATAAAGTATAATTGTCCAAGAGCACCTATGGCAGACGACAAGATAGCGTTTCAATTTCTTTTTCCCTCTTACTTAGCATGGATATCACACCTTTTGTTTTTGTTTTTAACAACCTTTATCCACACTGTCTGAACAGACTGAATATATCTTAATAAGATTCTTATTCATGAAATGAAACACTTTGTCGTTTAAAAAAAAAAAAAAAAAAACAGTAATGAGCAAACAAAATCTAGTTGTGCTGACGGAGACGCTGATACCCTGACAAAGTGACATTGGAGCCACCAAATTACCTTTGGACTCAAAGCAAAGAGATAAAAAAAAAGACATGTATATGATTTTATGGAGCTGCAATTGACATATTTAATATTTATAATAATATTATTCTCTTCTGACTTATCCCTGATGTTTGAGCAGAAAAAAGCTACATGTGAGCGCAAAACATACACTTAAGCATAATTCATTCAAATCTGCTAAGAATAGTTGTTAAACAAAAATTACTGTCTTCAAATTATGAAATATAGTACCAATATAGTAGCGAACCAGTTAACAGTATCTACTATCAGACTTCAAACATTCCAGAGGTCACCTGCAGCATGTAGGGTCAAAGTTGAAAGGTCAACATATGGCAGACATGTGTGCAATTTGATGCCAAGTCTAGAATTTGGTACTCCCATGTGGGTTCTGGGACCCTATTACAGAGAAAACAAGAATAGACCCACTGCCTACCTAGAAGCATGGGACTTCAAAGTTTGAGTGTATCTGCCTGAGAGGCAGGGAACCAAAGTCTGCATACAAATAAGTCAGATCTGAGAAAACGTATGTGTCGTATGCACTCGCAAAACGCAGGTTCTGGAACAAGACTGCAGCCCAGAAGTGGACGAACAACCAGAACTTTCCGCCAGAGTTTACAGCTGATGAACGTTA